GTCACGGACAAAAATCTACAGATTTTCCTAATTAATTATTCTGCTTTTCCCCAGATGTAAAGAATTGAACAAACATGAGGTTAGACCAGGAAACCCTTCCATGGATGCAGAGTGTAAAGAGAAGATGAACATAGCATTTATAGTATTGTCTATTGTAATACCTGTAGTGATTGGTGGTGTCCTTGGAATTTTGTGGTGGAAGAGACGAGATCTGAGAAAGTGTACAGGTTTGTGGCTTTAATACTATTGTTTTCTGAACCAACACATTTTTATTCTTTGTTTTGTATCAGTCAAATCAGAAATATTCTTCTTCCTTAGATGGGTATTGGACCCCTGCGGATGCCATCTAGGCCACCACACAAAATATTCTCATCGTGTGTTTTGTGGCTTTATTACTATTTTCTGAACCAACCCATTTTTATTCTTTGTTTTGTATCAGTCAAATCAGAAATATTCTTGTTCCTTATCCTTCATGAAGGATGTTACTGTATACAAAATGCAAGTTGTTGTTTCTCCTTCCATTTTTCACCCATTTTATGCTCATCCTAGTGCCCAGCGAGCGAGTTCTACCAGTTTATTAGATCTCAGCAGATTTGTTAATCTCGATGCCCCAGCCTTTTGTCATTTCCTTTAATACCTCGACTACCTACGTATCTGCTTAACTCTCTTTTAAACATTTACTGATCATTTTTATTACTGACTCAAATTGATTCATTTTTCTTGTATTATTATAACATTGGCATAATAGCACAGAGACTTGTAAACTGTAATCAATTGGTACGTATTCTTTCTATTAATTGATCTATATTTTTCTTGCAGCAAATGGTGAGAAGGAAAAAATGATGACGAAAAGGTATATTAAATGTTACTATATTTATATAGCACTGTGTGTAATGTATTGTCTAAAAACTTGAGTTGAAAATTATCAAGGCAAAATAGTGACATTCCACAAAACACATTCCAAAGCCATTGAAAACAGCATTACATCAGTGTCCACCCATTGATTCCCCTCTAGTCTCTTCAGTGACCTACATTTTATGCCAACAGTTAATGCAAACTAAATCCATGTTAATCATTCACTCACTGTACATGACAATGACATTATCTGCTCACAGGCTTGTTCTGTGCCAGACCCTCTATATGTGTAGAGTGTAAATATTGTACTGTACAGGTACGAGGCCAAAATAGATGCTGATTCAGAGTGACACTAGTTTGTCAGGTGGCTTCACTTATATACAGTTTAATTGGCTTCTGCTTTCTCCTACAATTGGTCTCTACACATTACAGTAAAATGTGAGGTGCTTTGAGATACAGTGGAATCTGCTTTAGGCGATGCCGGTTAATCCCAGATGATGGGTAAATTGAACAAAATGCCCGGCCCTGAATCATTTGTATTCTAACCTGTTTTAATTAAGCCGGTTGATTCAGACAAAAATCCGGTTACTCTGGGCAAAATGCCGCACTGTTCACCACTGAATGGACTCACTCGGGCCTTTGTGTGACACGCTGCTCCATGCAGTCCTGTGGCTCAGTGGTTAGAGCACTCGCTTGCACGCGAGAGACGTGAGATCGATTCCCGCAGGGTGAAATGTTGGGCAAGTTTCCTTACTCCACAAGACTCTGCTTACGTAGCAGTCAGTAGGAACCCAGTTGTTCAGGGGCAATAATTCCTTAAAAATAAATAATGAATTAGTCACTCAATCCATGGCTGTTTGTGGGACACGGCTGTGCGCAATTGGCAATTGGCTGCCGTGTTTCGCCCACAAAATACGCAGTCAATTCACTTTCAAGTATACTTTGTGAAGAGCTTTGAGACGTCTCGAAGACATGACAAGGCGCAAAATCGAATGGAAGTATTATTATTCAGCCATGAGGGTAGAAGGGAGGAGGCCATAAGATTGATTGCCAGCGGACTCCAGCCATTCACAAGGGGCTGGAGTTGGGCTGTAATCATTGAGGGGGCAGAGCAACGGAGAACAACAAGTGAGGGAATGGGAGGAGTCCACTCACGATTGAATGACAGCTGAGCCATATGAGAGTGGGTGAAGCCCATCCATTCACAAGTGGCTGCAGGCTATCAGTCACTTCAGTGTGCCGCTAATTGGTCCCCTTCCTGTCTAATGGGAATGGCAATGAGAGGGAGGGAGGGAGCTCCTCAGCCATTATTTTGCAGCCAAACAAAGGTAAATACTGTATAATTTACTGTATACTGTGAGAGAACAGGATTTTATCTTTAACTCCTTGGACAACTCCTTGGTGTCCTGTTTGGTTAGTTAACACTGAAGCCCATTAACATCCAAGGCCATTAACATCACTTTATTATTGCTTCAGGTCAAACAACGTTATTATATGTTATACAGAGTCGGCGGGGCTCCTCTGCTGGTATTTCAGTTAACCTTCGATGCCTCTTAAGCCGGACAAAATGGCTGTCTGATGTGTCTGTCTTAACTGGTTTCCACTGTATTTCAATGGCATAAGGCACTCTATCAATACAAGGATTATTGTCCACTTAAAAATGATCAGTAATTCTAAATTAACTTAGATTTTTTGTATTTTTCTTGTGCAGCTGACAATTTTGTTGGTGCGTTATAACCTTCTGAAAGAAAATGTGATTCAGGAAATGATACAAAAGAAGCAGCAAACACGTGAACACATGATCACTGATGGAGAAGGTTGGCTGTTCCTAGATTTTCTTTTGTTGCCCAAAAGACAAACTCACCCTCATGAGTCTTGAGACGAATGAAAAACGAAACCTATCACACAACAGATTGACTTCAAGATCCTCACACGTCTACAAATCCCTTCACACCCTGGCACCTCTCTACCTCTCCGACCTGCACCACTCCCCACTCCACCACCTCTATTCAGCTGTCCCAAAAGATTGGATCTCGCTCCTTCAGTACTTCCACTTTGCCGCCTCATTTTCCCTTTTCAGATCACGCCTGAAGACTTTCCTCTCGACTGTGATTACGGTCACCTCCTACACTCGGCGTTAGGCTCAGCCAGTGCATGACAACAACAACAAAATTATATTTATAAAGCACCTTTCACTTGTAAACGACATCCCAAGGCACTGATGACAGCCGCAATCAAAAATACAAGCGGCTGTTGTAAACAACAACAACAATAAGATTCCATTTATTGAGCGCCTTTCACGTCGGGAGGACGTCCCAATGCGCTGTACAGTTGGGTCAGGACCCGAGCATTGGGGGGAAATGGTCAGGGTGAGGGGAGGGAAGGGAGGGAGCGAGGAGGGGGTAGAGAGTCGAGAGGAGAGCTGAAGGCACAGTCAAAGAGAAAGGTCTTGAGACCGGCCTTGAAGGAGAAAAGGGTGGAGGCGGCGAAGGCACTGGGGGATAGAGTTCCAGAGCCTCGGGGCTGAAAGGCTGAAGGCCCGGCTACCAATGGTAGGGCGGTTGGGGCGGGGGATGTGGAGCAGACCGGAGCCAGAGGAACGGAGGGTACGGGCGGGTAGGTAGGGGGATAGTAGGTCGGAGAGGTAGGAGGGAGCAAGGCCGTGAATGGCCTTGTAGGTGAGGGTGAGGATCTTGAATTCAATCCTCTTGGGGATGGGGAGCCAGTGGAGGCGAGCAAGAGTGGGAGTGATGTGTTCCCGAAGCCTGGTGCGGGACAGTACACGAGCTGCAGATCTCTATCTGATCACTATCTCAGATCACTATCATGGAATATCTCAAGACAGCAGAACAAGGCGACATATTGCCTTTCCTATAACACCATTCACATTAGGATGTGCTTTGAGCTATTTCGATTCGAGGTATATGAACTGTTTGAGATAACTTTTTGCCATTGTTGAAATCTGCTTATCTTAGCATTAAAAGATTGAAGGGGAGTTATGGACCATTGGGAGAAAGCATCTAGCCAGCAATGTATAATAACATGTATTAATAAAAATTATGTGAGACACCTATTGCCAGTATCTTTATAATCCTTAACAATCCTTGCATTTGATATAGCGCTTTTCAGGTTTTCTAGACGTCTCAAAGCGCTTCACAGAATATACTGCAAAGTGAATTGACCATATTTGTGGGCAAAACTCAGCAGCCAATTGCGCACCACAACAACAACTTGCACTTATAGAACGTCCTCCACACAGGGTAGTGTCTCAGAGCGCTTAACAGTGGCGGATCCTGACTCCAAGCCAGGGAAAGGGTGGCCGTAAGGACGGTCGAAGAGGAAAGTCGGGAGAGGTAGGGAAGGGTCAGTGAGTGAATGGATTTGAATATGAGTGAGGATCTTGAAGGCGATCTGTTCAGTGATGGAGAGCCAATTGAGCCTGGACAGAATTGGTGAGATGTGGGCATGGAGTTTGGGCCGGGTCAGTATGCAAGCAGCAGAGTTTTGAATGAGCTGGATCTTGTGTGTCATCCAAGTTTACCCCGTGTCTGCAGATGACATCGCCCAGAGGCAGTATATAGATAAGGAAATGAAGAGTTTCGTAGCCTAATGGGTGAAGGCACGGCCACTGATGGTGGAGGGGATGAGGGACAAACGAGGTCTCCGACTCGCTCCTTCCCCTCTTTCGAAGCACGTCAAGATCATCTTTTCCCCTCCCACCCCACCTCCCTCGGCTCTCACCCCCAGCTCAGGTGTCCAGCCAACAGTGTCAAGAGCTTTGAGACATCTTTCCTATGTGAAAACGGTGCTGTGTAAGTGTTGTGTTTCTGGAAGAGAAATATTGCTTATATGGCCCACGGACATTTATCAAATACGGCATCCGGTCCTCAGCCGCCAAAAGGTTGTACCATCCTGACCTACATGAAGGATGTTATATAAAATGCCCCGCCCTTCTGCCATTTCCCTTAATACCTCTACTAACATATCTGCTTAACTTCCTTTTGGAAATTTGCTGAACATTTTTATTAGTGACTCCAGTAGATTTGTTTTTCTTGTATTATTATAACATTGGCATAATAGCCCAAAGACTTGGAAACTGTAATCAATTGATACATATTCTTTCTATTAACTGACTGTATTTTTCTTGCAGCAAATGATGTTGACAAAACACAATTAGGAAACAATCAGAAAGAGGTACATTAAATGTTACTATCTTTATGTGAAATGTATTGTCTAAAAACTTGAGTTCAAAATTATAAAGATAAAATAGTGGTATTCTAATGCTGCGTTAAGGATTATTATCCACATAAAAATGATCAGTAATTCTAAGTTAACTTAATTCCTTTTTTTTCTTTTGCAGGAGGATGTGAATTTGTCGATACAAATCTCTAACGAACGTCATGATTCAGGAATTGGTAGTTCAGATACCAGTCACAGGACTAATTTAGGAAATAGAAGGAGCAGCAAAACACCTGAACTACAAGATCACTCATTGAGAGGGTTGGAAGTGCTTGGATTGACGTTTGTGGAACTTCAGACTTGAAAACAAGTGTGTGCAGATCTTTTGGTGATGGGCAGCCAGAGGAGCAGACGCCAGGGCAGATACAAGGAAAGGTGATGGAAACCAACTCACTGCACTCATTTGAAAAGTAGTTTGAGGCAGTGATGTAGGTATGGTGGGGTGGGTGTTCTGGAGGTATGAGATTGGATATGCCGGAAGGTCATCATAGAGATCAATCTTGTGATCATGATCTTCTCATCTCACCCTGGAGAGAATCATCCTTCTTGTCTAAATCCGCAGAGCACAGGAGAGAGTTGGCAGAAGGAATCACATGAGGAAGTATATTGTCTTATAACTCTGAATCCTCTTAAACAGAAGTAACATTTCTTCTAATAATACAACCCTCTTCCCCCCCAAAAAAACGAAGGCAATGATAAGTCCAAACTGAGGTGGAAGTAAATATATGGCCTTTTCTGTGACTGAGGCCGAGACTTGAAGTTACTTCAGTTTTGTCCTTTGGTTAGTCCACATTTGGAGATCTGTGTACAGCTCTTGTTGCAATATTACAGGAAGGATATAGCAATGGTGAGAGTACAGTGAAGGAGTCCTGTAGCTCAGTGGTTAGAGCACTCGCCTTACAAGCGAGAGACCTGAGTTCAATTTCAGGCAGAGGGCGAAACCTTGGGCAAGTTTCCTTACTCCACACAGAGCCTAATAATATTCCCTCCAAAACCCAAAACAATAATAAATTGGTCATTTTCAATCTATGACTGTTTGTGGGACATTGCTGTGCGCAATTGGCTGCCGCGTTCGCCCACAAATATACAGTCAATTCACTTTACAGTGTGTTCTGTGAAGCGCTTTGGGACGTCCTCCTGACGTGAAAAGCGCTATATCAAATGCAAGGATTATTATTATTATTATTATGGACCCGACGTGCAGTAGCAGCAGATGGGCCACAGAGGGCGCGGCTGAGCACAGCTATGTGCCAGCGCATCGGCGCCTCCAAGTGGCACAGCAGTGGTAGCGCAAAAAACTAGTTACCAAACGCTCAAGAGGCCGGGAACGCCCAGCGGGTCAGGCAGCATCTATGGAGAGGGGAAAGTGGGTCAACGCTTCGGGGTCCGCGGCTCTTCGTCAGAATTCAGTTGTGAGGAAAGGTCGTGGACCCGAAACCTTGACTCCCTTTCCTCTCTCCGCAGACCCCGCCTGACTTGCTGAGCGTTCCCGGCCTCTTATTCTGTGGGAGAAGTAGATTTGTCATTTTGAGGCTGTCAGAGCAAAAGTGTTGATCTGCATTGTGAACATTGTTCGGATGCGTTGAAGCGCGTTCTGATGCCATCAACGCCACACGGCAGTTTGCGGAGAGAGTTAGGGAGCTGAGCCAAGAGGAATAAAACAGTCTTAATGTCAGCTTGAGGGTGACTGGTTTGTATAGGTTCAGCCGGCGGTAATAAATCTTATTGAGTGACCAAATTATTATTACAGAGGGTTATTATTACAGAGGCCTGTGCAGTAAGGAAACTTGCCTAATGTTTGCCCTGCCCGCGAATCAAACCCAGGTCCTCTCGCTCGCCAGGCAAATGCTCTAAACAATACTACAGGACTCCCAAGTAAAGCAATAAAGTTTAGTGTAACCACAAGTGGTGCAGCGAAGAACTTTTTTTAATTAGGCCACAGAGGCTGTAAATAACCATTTTTTTTATAACCTTGAAAACGCCACCAGTCGGCGCTTCACACCAATGGGTCCTGTTGTTTGTGTAACAAAAACCCGGGTCAGAAAATTATTTTAAAACGAAAACAGCAGAAACTCCCAAAAAGTCACTCGATCGTGGTTTGAAAGAGTCAATGTTCCATGTTTCAGCTGAAAGCTCAGCAAAATTTCTCTCTTGAAGAGAAGCGTGAATTGGCTCGATGAGCATTCACAGCACTTGTTTTTTTACAGAAGTTTCGGTTTTGCTGTTAACCATTTCTCACTCTGTCTGTCGCCAGTTGCTGTTACAATTCAATTTTGTTTTTAGGAAAAAAACGAGGACGGTCAGTGAGAGAGAGGGTGTGTTGAAGGAGGCACAGCTCAGGTTACTGTGACACAAAGGAGCTTCCGCGCCCCCACACACACACACATATTAGACTGAAAGCAACAAGGAACTCATATTATTTTCTAAACTGACACTCCAATGCAGTGCTGGGAATGTGCTGCGTTGTTGGAAGTGCGTCATTCAGATGAAAGATTAAACTATGTCTGAGTTTCTCTCTCCCAGTGCTCTGGCCAACAATCCCTTGGATAAAATTGCTCATTCACTCCATGGATGTTTGTGGGACTATCAAAGGCTCCATTAAATTTGAAACAGAAAGTGCTTTTTCCACTTCCTCTATCGGTGAAACTATCAAACCACGTCTGATATGATGTGCAACTGCCCACTTTGACTTTGTTCAAAGGTGAAAGAACATTTGGATTTGTTTGGAAGCTTCTGGATTGTACACTGCTGTGGGTTGCACTCCCTTTGAAAGTGAGAGACCTGAGTTCAATTCCAGACAGAGGGCGAAACCTTGGGCAAGTTTCCTTACTCCACACAGAGCCTAATAATAATCCCTCCAAAACCCAAAACAATAATAAATTGGTCATTTTCAATCTACGACTGTTTGTGGGACATTGCTGTGCGCAATTGGCTGCCGCGTTCGCCCACAAATATACAGTCAATTCACTTTACAGTGTGTTCTGTGAAGCGCTTTGGGACGTCCTCCGGACGTGAAAAGCGCTATATCAAATGCAAGGATTATTATTATTATTAACTTGTGATGCATTTGCCAGGCTCAATTTTTGTCAGATAGGTGAGGCAATGCCTCTTGTACCAACATAGTTGTGACTCCTGGGTTCCTGCTCATTGCGAGGTATACAGAGGCGTGGATTCAAATGCTGCTTTTAGAGCATTTGTGTCGCTCTGCGTGTGCCAGGTTTCACCTGCTCAGTCTCTTCTTCAGTGGCTGTTATTGCTACAACAGCACTTAGTGCTTTCACCCTCTCACTGTGTTCCCTCCAATCATTACAATACAATATTTCTTGGTTTCTGTGTTTACTAGAATGCTGCTGCTCTCATTCCTATCATTGAATTTTTTTAATGTGTTCACAACTTTCCTCAAAGGGATATTATGAAATGCTGAAATTTGACCTCTGTGCTGTTTCATTTTGGCTCTGATACTAATGAATTATTAGTAATAATGAATGAATTATTCGAGCTCTTTGTGTTTTCGTTTTTTTTTAGAAGCTCCACAGATGCGGCCTGACTTGCTCAGTGTTCCCAGCAACTTCTGTTTCTATTGGAGAAGAAGTCGTTTGAACGTGTGCTGCTCTCTCAAGTGTTAAATAATGATTCACGTAGGCAGGCAGTATGTAGCTCGTGTTTATTGCAAAATCTCTGGAGGCGTCAGAGTGTGATTTGCATCTTTTAATTTGGTTGAGTGGAGAACATGCAAAACTAAAACATTTAAGCATTTTCCCCCACTGACAAAATAACCAGCTGACTGTCTGTATGTTATACTTCCAGTGATAAGCACCCATGTGATTCGGGTTGATTAGCGGCTTATCACGCTAGTTGGCTTGGCAGCAAATTATGTTTATAATAGTACAAAGTTCAGGAATTACCCTTGTCTACTTCAACATTTTTATTAAGGGGAACAATACAGACTGTGTTGTTCACTGAGGAAGTTCACGAGGCAAAACCTAACATCTTGTTTTTTCCTCCATGGATGTGAAACTTGCAGAACAAGAGCTTTACTGAGTGCCGGTTAGGACACAGCTGCCTCAGGTCTTATGAAAGCATTTGATCGTTGCAGCTGCATACTTAAAGATAAGCCGTTGGGTGGATCTGTGTTGGTTCAAGATAATCTTGGGCTAAAGATGTCTGAGTGGTTGAATTATCCTTAGCAGCCCCCCACCCCCCCCCCCACCCCCATCGCTCAAACAAGGCCTACATCTTGTAATGTAAATATGTTTTAGAGTTTTCCGAGAAGCTTGGCAGACAGTGATCTCAATGATAAGCTGATGGGTTTAACCGGTTAAACTAGCAGTAAGCCAACCCGAAGCCTTGGTTCTTGCCAACCTGAGGCTGATACACTCAGCTAACAGTTAAGCTCCTGTTAACCCTGCGCCAAAGCCCCAACAGGGAGGGTGGTCCTTGCTGGACAAAGCGGGAAAGTTTGCCAGACAGCGATATCAATGGCAAGTTATGGGGTTTTAGCTCGTTAGACTCCAGCGATTATCCCAATGCCTTGACTCTTGCCAACCTGCGCCAAATACTTTCTGGAATTAGGTAAGCAGAATACTTCCCTCCAGGGAGAGAGAGAGAGAGAGAGAGAGAGAGAGAGTGTGCATTCCATTCCAACAACCTATCTCTGGGATCTCCATGCGTAGGTGGGATGCATGAAATTCTCGGTTTAGTTTGGATATTCTTAAGCACAGTGTTGTGCCTCCGCAGGTGTCAGACACTCAGCTGGGCAGAAAAATGGCATATGCATGATATATAGCCTAGTCCTGATCCTCAAGCACGATAATGGTAATAGTTTCCGCATATGTCAACAGGATGAGCAAAAAACCATGATTAATTGTGGTCTTTAGTCGTATCTAATGCTGATTGCTCGCTCCCGGCCTCTGCGTAGGTGTTTTGGCTGCAACCCCGACCTGAGCCGCTCCCCCTGAAAATGTTGCTGCTCCCACTCCCCACACTCTGCTACTCCCACTCTGCCCTTCTCTCCCAACGCCCTCCTCGCTTTCTCTCTCCTGGACTCCACCATTACCACACTCTCCTCCGTGAGGCTCATCATGGCTAACCCTCTACCATCCCTCCTCTCTCTCCCTCAAAATACTTCTAGTTTACCAACCCCCAAACCTCCTGGCTCCTTCCTCACTGATATCTCGGCTCTCCTCTCACTCCTGTCCCTCTGCACTGAGCACCTGCTCATAATGGGTGATTTCAACCTCCACCTAAACTCAAAACAATAAAAACACACAACACAATGCAGAGCAGTGTTGCCATGTTTTTATTTTAATAAAATAATAATAATTCTTGGAATTGATATAGGGCCTTATCACAACAACAACAAAATTACATTTATAGAGCGCCTTTCACGTCAGGAGGACGTCCCGAAGCACTGAACAGTCAGGTGTTGGGGGCCCGAGCATGGGGAGGGGTGGTGTGGATGGCCTTGAAAGTGAAGACGAGGATCTTGAATTTGATCCTCTGGGGGATGGGGAGCACGTGGAGTCGGGCGAGGGTGGGGGTGATGGGGTCACGGGCCTGGTGCGTGAGAGTACATGAGCTGCAGAGTTTTGGATGATCTGCAGCTTGTGAAGGGAAGAGTAGGGAAGGCCGATGAGGAGGGCGTTCCCATAGTCGAGCCTTGATGTGACGAATGCGTGGGTGAGGGGTGAGGCAGTAGTGCAGTCTGGCAATGTTGCGGAGGTGGTGGTAGGCAGTGCCGGTCATGGCGCGGATGTGGGGGAGACAGGACAGTTCAGGGCCAAACCAGACAACCAGGTTCCTGACTGGCTTAATGAGGTTGAGTGTGCAGCCGTGGAGGCTAATGCTGTCAGCGCCTGAGATTGCAAGCCAATCAGGAGGGCCTCGGTCTTGCTGACGTTGAGTTGGAGAAAGTTGGCCCTTGGCCAGGACTTGATGTGGGACAGGCAGTCGGTCAGGACAACAACAACAAGAACAAGATTCCATTTATAGAGCGCCTTTCACGTCGGGAGGACGTCCCAAGGCGCTGTACAGTTGGGTGAGGACCCGAGCATTGGGGGGAAATGGTCAGGGTGAGGGGAGGGAAGGGAGGGAGCGAGGAGGGGGTAGAGAGTCGAGAGGGGAGCTGAAGGCATGGTCAAAGAGAAAGGTCTTGAGACCGGCCTTGAAGGAGGAAAGGGAGGAGGTGGCGAAGGCACTGGGGGATAGAGTTCCAGAGCCTCAAGGCTGAGAGGCTGAAGGTCCGGCCACCGATGGTAGGGCGGTTGGGGCGGGGGATGTGGAGCAGACCGTAGCCAGAGGAACGGAGGGTACGGGCAGGTAGGTAGGGGGATAGTAGGTTGGAGAGGTAGGAGGGAGCAAGGCCGTGAATGGCCTTGTAGGTGAAGATGAGGATCTTGAAATCGATCCTCTGGGGGATGGGGAGCCAGTGGAGGCGAGCGAGGGTGGGAGTGATGTGGTCGCGGTGTCTGGTGCAGGACAGTACACGAGCTGCAGAGTTCTGAATGACCTGCAGTGTGGAGGGAGGTGTCGGGAAGGCCGGCGAGGAGAGAGTTCCCATAGTCGGCAGTAGTCCTGGAGTTCAGGGTGGAGGCGGAGAGGTAGAGTTGGGTGTCATCTGCACACATGTGTAAATTTACCCCGTGTCTGCAGATGATGTCACCAAGGGGGAACATGTAGGGGGTGAAGAGGAGGGGACCAAGGACAGAGCCCTGAGGAACACCGCACGAGATGGTGCGGGGGCTGGAGGAGAAGCCATTTGCTGCGACAAAGTGGAGGTGGTGTGAAAGGTAGGACCTGAACCAATCAAGGACAGAACCTTGAAGGTTGGAGTGGAGGAGGATTGAGTGGTTCACGGTGTTAAAGGCGGCAGAGAGGTCAAGGAGGATGAGGAGGCAGAGGGAGCCCTGGTCACACATGGTCAGGATGTTGTTTGTGACCTTGACCAGAGCAGTTTCCGTGCTGTGGGCAGCACGGAAACCCGATTGGAGGGGTTCATGGAGTGAGTGAGTGAGTGAGTGAGTGAGAGGAGAGGAAAGAGCGAAGCTGGGAGGCAACAGCTCTCAAGGACCTTGGATAGGAAGGGGAGATTTGAGATGGGCCGGTAGCTAGATAGCTGTGATGGGTCGAGAGGTTTCTTCAAGGTGGGGTGATAGTGGCTGTTTTGAGGGGGGAAGGAACAGTGTCAGGGAGTGGTTAATGATGTTGGCGAGTAGTGGGGCGAGGAGGTGGAGCTGGGATTTAAGGAGAAAGGTGGGGATGGGGTCCAGAGAGCACGTGGTGGGCTTCATGGAGGGTGGGGGAATGAGGGTGACAGAAGGCACCAACAAAGAGGGTCTTGAGACAGGTCTTGAAGGAGGCAATGGAGGGGTTGAGGCGGGGTTACTGCAGGATGGAGTTCCAGAGGTTGGGAGCAGAGTGGCAGAAGGCCCGCCCGCCACTGATGCGGCAGGCGAGGCGGAGGACGTGAAGCAGGCCTGAGTCAGATAAACAGAGTTGGTAGGGAGTTAGAAGGTTGCAGAGGGTGTGGAGGGCATTGAAGGTGAGGAACAGGATCTTGAACTGTATCTTCTGTGTGATGGGAAGACAGTGGAGTCGGGCGAGGATGGGGATGATGGGGTCGCGGTGTCTGGTGCGGGAGAGGACATGTACTGCAGAGTTCTGGATGATCTGCAGCCTATGGAGGAAGGAATTGGGGTGGCCGTGAAGCAGGGAGTTTGCATAGCCGAGCCTGGATGTTATAAATGTGGTGTGAGGGTCTCGGCACCTGCGTTGTGAGAGAATGGCAGAGACGGGCAATGTTGCGGAGTTGGGGGAAGATCATGGCGCAGATGCGGTATAGAAAGGATAGTTGAGGGTCAAACAAGACGCCAAGGTTCTGGACTGGATTGGCAAGGCGGAGTGTGCATCCTTGGATGATGATTCTGTCAGCGCTGACGGGAGCCAGTCAGGAGAGCCCCGGTCTTATTGATGTTCAACTGAAGGAAGTTAATAATAATAATAATAATAATAATAGTTAGCTCTCATCCCGACTTGATGTCCGACAGACATTCTGTCAGGACAGCAGTGGCCCTGGAGTCGAGGGTGGAGGCAGAGAGGTAGAGTTGGGTATCACCCGCATACATGTGGTTCTGACGAAGGGCCGTGGACCTGAAACATTGACTCACTTTCCTGTCTCCATAGATGCCGCCTGACCTGCTGAGCGTTCCCGGCCACTTCTGTTTTTTGTTCCCATATTGGAGCCTTTGGATGGTACAGCTCGTCATTTATAACATTATTTTGGAGGGATTGATTATTTCAAACCCGGCTCTTGCCAGGCAAGTGCTGCGCCCACTACACTCTGGAGACTTGGAGATGGTGCGGGGGCTGGAGGAGAAGCCATTTGCCACGACAAAGTGGAAGCGGTGTGAAAGGCAGGACCTGAACCAATCATGGCGAGTTTCATTATTTAGCAAACAACATCTGATTTACTGGAAATCCTGAGATCCTCTGAGGAAACACGTGACTGAGCTGCTCCCTCCCCCCCAGTGAATGTGAAAGTGTTGACAGATGAAGGAGCTTTGCTCGCTGTTGTTGTGGAAGCCGCCGAGGCAGTAATTGCTGCTCTTTCTCTCTCACTCACGGACATTTACTGGCCGTTCCCACAGATGGTTCTGCTTCTCTATTCACGAGGGGATCGGGCGGGCAAGAGAAAGGGAAGGGTCGCGCGGCTGACGGGCTGTCAGGTCAGTAAAAGTCACACCTGAAGGTTAACATTTCTGTTGTAATATAATTTGATGTTGTTTCCTTACATTTGATGCGGTGGCCGCTCGGGGGGGGGGGGGGGGGGGGGGGGGGGGGTGCGACAGGACAAACATACAACGGCTTAGACTGGGTTTGCGAAGGGTTATTCGGTTGTGTTAGCCTCAAAGTGAGTTGCCGGAACCAAAATTGAATGCGATGAAGTGGCGCCTTCTGGTGGCAGAGGACGTTACTGTAGGAGGGGCCTCAGCACCCTGATAGGGGCAGGGTCTCTGCACCCTAATCAGGGCGGGGCCTCAGCACCCTGATAGGGGCAGGGTCTCTCGAGAGCATGCGTGTTACTAAACTTTCCTTGCTACAGCTTTTATATTAAATATTATTAAATTCTACTGTTACTTTCTGTTTTTAGGGTCGACCATGTTTTGTAAACCAAATCCAGGGATGTGTACAAAAAAAATGAACTCAGTACAATTCCCGATAGTGGAGAAACGTGTTGGATTCACGGCTGTGTTGCTCAGTTTGTTGTTTAACTTGAGATGGGTGAAATTTGGCCCCAGAGACACCATACCTCATCCCAGGACTGTCCCCGGAAATAATAATAATCCTTGGATTTGATATAGAGCGTTATCACGTCTTCGAGACGTCTCAAAGAGCTTCACAGGATAAACTGTAATCAGGAATGCGTGGTCATCCTATATAAGTTTGCATGTAGAACAATGAATAAAAAAATGCCTATTATGATTAGTGTGATTTATCTCGGGGTTTGCAACTGTGGTTTGAATTCTTGAAATAAATCACCAGCTGGTGACCATCCTCTGAGTGTGTGTGTGGGGGCAAGAGAGGTGGTGGTGGGGTGGAGAGGTGGTTGGGGAGAGGGAGGTGGTGGAGTAGATGGAGGTGGTGGGTGGGAGAGAGGGAGGTGGTGGGGTGTTAGAGGGAGGGGGGGGAGGGAAGTGGTGCGGGGATGAAGGTAAGCAAAGTTTCCTTGGGGCTAGCCAGCTCTATGGCAATATCAGACTGGAGTCAATCCTCTCTGGTGGTCTTGACTGTCCAGCTCCTCGCCAGGCAGATCTGCAGTCCTTCAAGGGACTGCTGATGGCAAACCCACCAGCCTGGCTCATCAGCAACGCTTGGAAGGGTAGACCAGTCACTGGAGGTAGTAGGGCTTCTTCTCATTCAGCTACTATTAACCCTGCAGACCCAAACCAAAAGGGGTAGGTTGGACAAGCAGGTCAAAGCTTCCCAGGCAGTGGGTGTAATGGCAAGTCAACAGGAGCCATTGTGAGAAGAGTTCATGCCTTAAGTAAATGATCTGTCCCTTCAAGTCCTGGTCTAAGCCAAGTTGTCTGGTTTGTCATCAACACTGTCTTGGAATACTGCAGAACTGCCCGACAGTACACATTCCATTCCAACAATCTTACTCTGGAATTTCCACGTGTAGGTCGGATGTACGGCATTCTCGGTTTGGTTGGATACTCTTTAGCATGGTGATGGGTTGGCTGGTCTGGCATCAGCGGTGCCATAGTGTGCTGCGGACCTGCCTACATCCCACCTACTCAATTATATGCCATTGCCAGGCACAGCATTGGCACAAACTCAGGCCCAAAGTTACACTTCTGACAATGCAGCTCTCTCCCAGTTGTGCAGTAGAGTGAACTTGTGACATGTTTGTGTTTTTCAGGCTCTCATCCTCCGTGTTAGTGATTTGTTATGCACGTAAAGGGGAAGTAAAGTGATGTCTTTCAGGGTTGAATTCCTATTACATAAAAAAAGGTAATAGTTTTATTGCTGATATATTGTGGAAATATCTATGGTAGAATGTCCTCTTTACTGTTTATCATTATTTATTAATATTACTCTATTGTTATTCTTACTCGGGAAAGCTTTGAAGAAATTCAAGGGGAAGAAAAAATGTTATAAATTTGTTAGGACAAACCATAATTGTGATAAATATTGCTGGTGCCTTTCAGGTTTCTGAAGCTCTATCCAGGTAGATTGGATTTCCAATCACATTTCATGATTAGGAGTGGCAGAGTTGGACCCAAGCAAAAGATGTGTTGAGGTCATTGAATCAGGAGATTCACCCCTCCTAGTTCTGTAAACGGAAAAATAATGGCCATTCCATTAAGTTAAGTCTTTACTTAATGGAACTTAGCTAGGACTCACCACGTTAATGGAAAGTACTAGTTAGGAACAGACGGTATTCCTCAGGTTTGAAAAGTAAATTTTTATGGTGTTTTGAAATGGTTTTATAGTTAATCCTCTTTTGTTTCAGATTCGTGAACTTCTTTTGAGGTAAACAAAATGAATTCAGACTTCTTAATCCAACATGCCAAACTGGTGAGTATATATTCTTGCAATGCATTGTATTTGGGGTTAACTATATAGCTAATCTTTAAAAATATTGAACCTTTTCTATTAAGTGAGACGTTCAATTTTTTTTAGTACAATATAGTGAAAAGAAGGGCACAGCATACAGCTCTCGCTTGGCGTCCAACTCCGCCATACAGTGGTAGAGTTGGGCGCCAAGCGACAAAGATATGTCGAGGTAATTGAATCAGGAAATTCATTCTCCTCCTGGGAACGGAATTCGTTAAATGGAAAAAAATCATGGACATTCTTGATTTCTGGGAACTCAGGTCCCCACTGACTTCCCTTTGGGGGCACTATATACAGGAAGTGCCGCCGACATTACTTTCATTTCCTTCACAAAGTGATGTTACATGGTGCTTCCTGTGTAGGCTCAGTGCAGTTACTCTATGGGTAAAAAAATAATAATTTTGACCTAAATATAAATACTCTTATTTACATACAGAATGGTTATAAAATTCAATTGTTTCAATTTAGTGTATTTTTTCAATTTAGATGGTTTGGATCTTCTTATTGTTTGGCCATCTGCAACTGGTCAGCTGTTGTGGCCCAGGAGAATATTTAATCCATGGACAGTGCTGCCCGATGTGTCCAGTGGGTGAGTCCTCATCATAGAACCTTACAGCACAGAAAGAAGCCATTTAGCCCATTGTGCCTTTGGCGGCTCTTTGAAAGAGCTACCAACTAGTCCCACTCCTCACTCTTAACCCATAGCCCTGCATTTTTTTATTCTAAGTACCAATCCAATTCTCTTTTTCAAATCTATTATTGTATCTGCTCCACCGCCCATTCAGGCAGTGCATTCCAGATTGTAACAACTCTCTGGGGTAAAAAAAACTCTCGTCTCCCTGGTTCTTTTGCCAATTATCTTAAATCTGCGTCTTCTGGTTAACGATCCATCCGCCAGAGAAATAGTTTCTCCCTATCGACTCTTATCGAAAACCCCTAATAATTTCGAACATCTCTATTAAATCTCCCCTCAACCTTGTCTGCTCTAAGGAGAATAATCCCAGCCGCTCTTGTCCTTCCACGTAACTGAAGTCTCTCATTTGACACGTCTCGAAGATGTGATAAGGCGCTATATCAAATGCAAAGATTGTTATATTATTATTCCTGGTATCATCAGTGGTCCTTCTTTCTGAAAATGTTTAATATATTTACAACATTATTTTTAGCAGCTGAATAAAAACGCTGAATTGCAAAACAAAGTTCCTTGATGCTTATTATAAACCATATCATAGCCAACTTGCAAAATGTTCAATTCAGTCTCAAAGGTACCAAACTCACACAATGTTGTCTAATGTTTAGGTCTCTATTTAAATTGATTTGTTTAACACTCCTGGATATGCACTGCATTGTTTGAGGTGCCGTCCTTCGAATGAGGTATTAAATGAACCTGTCTGTTTAGGTAGATGTTAAAGAATCCTCATTGGAAAAGAGAAGGGAGTTTCTCCCACTGTCTCGCCTGACAATCGGTCAAACAAAATTGCTCATTCCCTTTATGGCTGTCTGTGGGGCATTGCTGTGTACAAATCGCCTGCGGAAAATATTTAAGCCATACTATAACTATATATAGCATAAAATATCAGGTGTTAATAATCCTTGCATTTGATATAGCGCCTTATCACGTCCTCGAGATGTCTCAAAGCGCTTCACAGAATATACTGTAAAGTGAATCGACTTCATTTCTGTGGTAGCAGAGAATGAGAAGGTAATTAGGATTCAGTCAATGTTCCCCAGTGAAGTGTTTTGTGAGGAAGAGTTACAGGATCAGACCAAATCACTTAGTTCAGTATTGCTAACTTTTGCTAATTTTTTTATATTTCAGGAAGTCGAGTGTCAAAACATTGCACAGCAATGACCAACACTGAATGTAGAGTTTGCACTCAAGGTGAATACAGCGACTATCCCAGTGGACGAGAAAAATGCATCAAGTGTGAAAATTGTGATTCAGGTAAATGTTACACTAATTTCGTGACAAACTCTGTATTTTGTCAGGAATGTTTATTAACAAATGGGCATTGTAAAATGCAGTCAAAACACAGGAGCGAGAAGCAAAATGGGTATTGATGAAAGAGTAATAGAGATCTGTAGTTTGTTGGAGTAATAGTTAGTCTGTGTGGATACAATAGAGAAAAACAATTAGATTTGATCTTTTCCCTGGTCCCTTGTGCTGTCAAGACACATTCAGGGAGAAAGCTTTGTTTACCATTCCTAAAATAATTGTTATTTCTTCATATCATAGACTGTTTACTCCATTGGCTATAAACAGCTTTGATTGCTTGTACAACAAATGAGCTCTTAGTTTTGAAGCAGATGCTGCTTCCTACATTATAATAATAATCCTTGCATTTGATATAATGCTTTTCACGTTTTCTAGACGTCTCAAAGCACTTCACAGAATTTACTGTAAAGTGAATTGACTGTATATTTGTGGGCAAAATATATATTGTTTACACTTGCAGCATTGAACCTTCACTGAATCTCATGATTTTTTTATTTTTAGGAATGGGACTTTTTGATTCACAGCAATGCACCTACTTTCAAAATACGATTTGTCATTGCAAAGAGGGTTATTTCTGTGTGGAGAGGAAATGGAGTGGATGTGAGATGTGCAGAAAGCACAGCCTGGGTCCTGTAGGTGAAGGAGTTAAGAAGAAAGGTAAGGTGCGAGATTAAAGCTTTACTGTGAATCTGCTCGACTGGCTCCGGCTTTGTGCAAGTCCCTTGTGCCCTCCGTTCTACCAGCGATGGCCGCTTTCAGCCACTACGCCCCGAAACTCTGGAACACTCTATCTCTACCCCTCCACCTCGTTATGATGTGGTGGTCGGGATTCATCAATTCTGTGCGTTGTGCAGGTGTCCAGCTGACACAGATCAGTTGCTGCGCTCTCTGAACCTCTCACAAGCAATTACAATTTGCTTCACACAGTGTGGCTGTGCTTCACAGGGAACTGCCTTCCTCCACAGTGATACAGGCACTCCCTCACCCCCAAGTCAATGCAGCCAGTACGAAATTAGTTGGTGTCCACACACAAACACAAGGCCCTCCTCCAACCTTCAGTCGTGACAAACACTGTTGTCTGAAAAGGCTGTAAAATAGTAACAGAGTCTCTGTCAAAGACTCCTTCACAGGGCAAACTTAGCTGAGTTAAGATTCTCCAATATTCTGTGGTTGCATATGTATTTTCAGGAACAATCTGGGAAGACGCTGTGTATGAAAAGTGTCGTGATGGAACATATTCAAATAATGTTTCTACTGAAGCGTGTAAACCATGGACTAAGTAAGTACTTTATAACTAATCTGGGAATCTCAAATTAAATGCATTGGAAATGGAAACATTGATAATAAATTACATTTGTATAGTGCCTTTCACATGAGGAGGAGTCCCACCAGAAAACAGGATTGATGGCTCAGTACAGAGTATAACTCTTAAGATTCAAGTGTTTCTGAATATTCCCCAAAATTACAACAAACATAACCAAGGAAAATTAGAGATTGGTTGAATTCCCGTTTAATGCAATTGAGCAAAAAGCTGGCTCCTGACGTTAATAATCCATTTAGCCCCAAAATACCAATAGTGAGTCTAATCAAACTATAGTGGTGTTAGAAAGACATTTCAAGAAGAAACAATCCCTAAGTGTGTTGGGATATGTCACGGACAAAAATCTACAGATTTTCCTAATTAATTATTCTGCTTTTCCCCAGATGTAAAGAATTGAACAAACATGAGGTTAGACCAGGAAACCCTTCCATGGATGCAGAGTGTAAAGAGAAGATGAACATAGCATTTATAGTATTGTCTATTGTAATACCTGTAGTGATTGTAGTGATTGGTGGTGTCCTTGGAATTTTGTGGTGGAAGAGACGAGATCTGAGAAAGTGTACAGGTTTGTGGCTTTAATACTATTGTTTTCTGAACCAACACATTTTTATTCTTTGTTTTGTATCAGTCAAATCAGAAATATTCTTCTTCCTTAGATGGGTATTGGACCCCTGCGGATGCCATCTAGGCCACCACACAAAATATTCTCATCGTGTGCTTTGTGGCTTTATTACTATTTTCTGAACCAACCCATTTTTATTCTTTGTTTTGTATCAGTCAAATCAGAAATATTCTTGTTCCTTATCCTTCATGAAGGATGTTACTGTATACAAAATGCAAGTTGTTGTTTCTCCTTCCATTTTTCACCCATTTTATGCTCATCCTAGTGCCCAGCGAGCGAGTTCTACCAGTTTATTAGATCTCAGCAGATTTGTTAATCTCGATGCCCCAGCCTTTTGTCATTTCCTTTAATACCTCGACTACCTACGTATCTGCTTAACTCTCTTTTAAACATTTACTGATCATTTTTATTACTGACTCAAATTGATTCATTTTTCTTGTATTATTATAACATTGGCATAATAGCACAGAGACTTGTAAACTGTAATCAATTGGTACGTATTCTTTCTATTAATTGATCTATATTTTTCTTGCAGCAAATGGTGAGAAGGAAAAAATGATGACGAAAAGGTATATTAAATGTTACTATCTTTATATAGCACTGTGTGTAATGTATTGTCTAAAAACTTGAGTTGAAAATTATCAAGGCAAAATAGTGACATTCCACAAAACACATTCCAAAGCCATTGAAAACAGCATTACATCAGTGTCCACCCATTGATTCCCCTCTAGTCTCTTCAGTGACCTACATTTTATGCCAACAGTTAATGCAAACTAAATCCATGTTAATCATTCACTCACTGTACATGACAATGACATTATCTGCTCACAGGCTTGTTCTGTGCCAGACCCTCTATATGTGTAGAGTGTAAATATTGTACTGTACAGGTACGAGGCCAAAATAGATGCTGATTCAGAGTGACACTAGTTTGTCAGGTGGCTTCACTTATATACAGTTTAATTGGCTTCTGCTTTCTCCTACAATTAGTCTCTACACATTACAGTAAAATGTGAGGTGCTTTGAGATACAGTGGAATCTGCTTTAGGCGATGCCGGTTAATCCCAGATGATGGGTAAATTGAACAAAATGCCCGGCCCTGAATCATTTGTATTCTAACCTGTTTTAATTAAGCCGGTTCATTCAGACAAAAATCCGGTTACTCTGGGCAAAATGCCGCACTGTTCACCACTGAATGGACTCACTCGGGCCTTTGTGTGACACGCTGCTCCATGCGGTCCTGTGGCTCAGTGGTTAGAGCACTCGCTTGCACGCGAGAGACGTGAGATCGATTCCCGGCAGGGTGAAATGTTGGGCAAGTTTCCTTACTCCACAAGACTCTGCTTACGTAGCAGTCAGTAGGAACCCAGTTGTTCAGGGGCAATAATTCCTTAAAAATAAATAATGAATTAGTCACTCAATCCATGGCTGTTTGTGGGACACGGCTGTGCGCAATTGGCAATTGGCTGCCGTGTTTCGCCCACAAAATACGCAGTCAATTCACTTTCAAGTATACTTTGTGAAGAGCTTTGAGACGTCTCGAAGACATGACAAGGCGCAAAATCGAATGGAAGTATTATTATTCAGCCATGAGGGTAGAAGGGAGGAGGCCATAAGATTGATTGCCAGCGGACTCCAGCCATTCACAAGGGGCTGGAGTTGGGCTGTCAATCATTGAGGGGCAGAGCAACGGAGAACAACAAGTGAGGGAATGGGAGGAGTCCACTCACGATTGAATGACAGCTGAGCCATATATGAGTGGGTGAAGCCCATCCATTCACAAGTGGCTGCAGGCTATCAGTCACTTCAGTGTGCCGCTAATTGGTCCCCTTCCTGTCTAATGGGAATGGCAATGAGAGGGAGGGAGGGAGCTCCTCAGCCATTATTTTGCAGCCAAACAAAGGTAAATACTGTATAATTTACTGTATACTGTGAGAGAACAGGATTTTATCTTTAACTCCTTGGACAACCCCTTGGTGTCCTGTTTGGTTAGTTAACACTGAAGCCCATTAACATCCAAGGCCATTAACATCACTTTATTATTGCTTCAGGTCAAACAACGTTATTATATGTTATACAGAGTCGGCGGGGCTCCTCTGCTGGTATTTCAGTTAACCTTCGATGCCTCTTAAGCCGGACAAAATGGCTGTCTGATGTGTCTGTCTTAACTGGTTTCCACTGTATTTCAATGGCATAAGGCACTCTATCAATACAAGGATTATTGTCCACTTAAAAATGATCAGTAATTCTAAATTAACTTAGATTTTTTGTATTTTTCTTGTGCAGCTGACAATTTTGTTGGTGCGTTATAACCTTCTGAAAGAAAATGTGATTCAGGAAATGATACAAAAGAAGCAGCAAACACGTGAACACATGATCACTGATGGAGAAGGTTGGCTGTTCCTAGATTTTCTTTTGTTGCCCAAAAGACAAACTCACCCTCATGAGTCTTGAGACGAATGAAAAACGAAACCTATCACACAACAGATTGACTTCAAGATCCTCACACGTCTACAAATCCCTTCACACCCTGGCACCTCTCTACCTCTCCGCACCACTCCCCACTCCACCACCTCTATTCAGCTGTCCCAAAAGATTGGATCTCGCTCCTTCAGTACTTCCACTTTGCCGCCTCATTTTCCCTTTTCAGATCACGCCTGAAGACTTTCCTCTCGACTGTGATTACGGTCACCTCCTACACTCGGCGTTAGGCTCAGCCAGTGCATGACAACAACAACAAAATTATATTTATAAAGCACCTTTCACTTGTAAACGACATCCCAAGGCACTGATGACAGCCGCAATCAAAAATACAAGCGGCTGTTGTAAACAACAACAACAATAAGATTCCATTTATTGAGCGCCTTTCACGTCGGGAGGACGTCCCAATGCGCTGTACAGTTGGGTCAGGACCCGAGCATTGGGGGGAAATGGTCAGGGTGAGGGGAGGGAAGGGAGGGAGCGAGGAGGGGGTAGAGAGTCGAGAGGAGAGCTGAAGGCACAGTCAAAGAGAAAGGTCTTGAGACCGGCCTTGAAGGAGAAAAGGGTGGAGGCGGCGAAGGCACTGGGGGATAGAGTTCCAGAGCCTCGGGGCTGAAAGGCTGAAGGCCCGGCTACCAATGGTAGGGCGGTTGGGGCGGGGGATGTGGAGCAGACCGGAGCCAGAGGAACGGAGGGTACGGGCGGGTAGGTAGGGGGATAGTAGGTCGGAGAGGTAGGAGGGAGCAAGGCCGTGAATGGCCTTGTAGGTGAGGGTGAGGATCTTGAATTCAATCCTCTTGGGGATGGGGAGCCAGTGGAGGCGAGCAAGAGTGGGAGTGATGTGTTCCCGAAGCCTGGTGCGGGACAGTACACGAGCTGCAGATCTCTATCTGATCACTATCTCAGATCACTATCATGGAATATCTCAAGACAGCAGAACAAGGCGACATATTGCCTTTCCTATAACACCATTCACATTAGGATGTGCTTTGAGCTATTTCGATTCGAGTGTCATGAACAGTTTGAGATAACTTTTTGCCATTGTTGAAATCTACTTATCTTAGCATTAAAAGATTGAAGGGGAGTTATGGACCATTGGGAGAAAGCATCTAGCCAGCAATGTATAATAACATGTATTAATAAAAATTATGTGAGACACCTATTGCCAGTATCTTTATAATCCTTAACAATCCTTGCATTTGATATAGCGCTTTTCAGGTTTTCTAGACGTCTCAAAGCGCTTCACAGAATATACTGCAAAGTGAATTGACCATATTTGTGGGCAAAACTCAGCAGCCAATTGCGCACCACAACAACAACTTGCACTTATAGAACGTCCTCCACACAGGGTAGTGTCTCAGAGCGCTTAACAGTGGCGGATCCTGACTCCAAGCCAGGGAAAGGGTGGCCGTAAGGACGGTCGAAGAGGAAAGTCGGGAGAGGTAGGGAAGGGTCAGTGAGTGAATGGATTTGAATATGAGTGAGGATCTTGAAGGCGATCTGTTCAGTGATGGAGAGCCAATTGAGCCTGGACAGAATTGGTGAGATGTGGGCATGGAGTTTGGGCCGGGTCAGTATGCAAGCAGCAGAGTTTTGAATGAGCTGGATCTTGTGTGTCATCCAAGTTTACCCCGTGTCTGCAGATGACATCGCCCAGAGGCAGTATATAGATAAGGAAATGAAGAGTTTCGTAGCCTAATGGGTGAAGGCACGGCCACTGATGGTGGAGGGGATGAGGGACAAACGAGGTCTCCGACTCGCTCCTTCCCCTCTTTCGAAGCACGTCAAGATCATCTTTTCCCCTCCCACCCCACCTCCCTCGGCTCTCACCCCCAGCTCAGGTGTCCAGCCAACAGTGTCAAGAGCTTTGAGACATCTTTCCTATGTGAAAACGGTGCTGTGTAAGTGTTGTGTTTCTGGAAGAGAAATATTGCTTATATGGCCCACGGACATTTATCAAATACGGCATCCGGTCCTCAGCCGCCAAAAGGTTGTACCATCCTGACCTACATGAAGGATGTTATATAAAATGCCCCGCCCTTCTGCCATTTCCCTTAATACCTCTACTAACATATCTGCTTAACTTCCTTTTGGAAATTTGCTGAACATTTTTATTAGTGACTCCAGTAGATTTGTTTTTCTTGTATTATTATAACATTGGCATAATAGCCCAAAGACTTGGAAACTGTAATCAATTGATACATATTCTTTCTATTAACTGACTGTATTTTTCTTGCAGCAAATGATGTTGACAAAACACAATTAGGAAACAATCAGAAAGAGGTACATTAAATGTTACTATCTTTATGTGAAATGTATTGTCTAAAAACTTGAGTTCAAAATTATAAAGATAAAATAGTGGTATTCTAATGCTGCGTTAAGGATTATTATCCACATAAAAATGATCAGTAATTCTAAGTTAACTTAATTCCTTTTTTTTCTTTTGCAGGAGGATGTGAATTTGTCGATACAAATCTCTAACGAACGTCATGATTCAGGAATTGGTAGTTCAGATACCAGTCACAGGACTAATTTAGGAAATAGAAGGAGCAGCAAAACACCTGAACTACAAGATCACTCATTGAGAGGGTTGGAAGTGCTTGGATTGACGTTTGTGGAACTTCAGACTTGAAAACAAGTGTGTGCAGATCTTTTGGTGATGGGCAGCCAGAGGAGCAGACGCCAGGGCAGATACAAGGAAAGGTGATGGAAACCAACTCACTGCACTCATTTGAAAAGTAGTTTGAGGCAGTGATGTAGGTATGGTGGGGTGGGTGTTCTGGAGGTATGAGATTGGATATGCCGGAAGGTCATCATAGAGATCAATCTTGTGATCATGATCTTCTCATCTCACCCTGGAGAGAATCATCCTTCTTGTCTAAATCCGCAGAGCACAGGAGAGAGTTGGCAGAAGGAATCACATGAGGAAGTATATTGTCTTATAACTCTGAATCCTCTTAAACAGAAGTAACATTTCTTCTAATAATACAACCCTCTTCCCCCCCAAAAAAACGAAGGCAATGATAAGTCCAAACTGAGGTGGAAGTAAATATATGGCCTTTTCTGTGACTGAGGCCGAGACTTGAAGTTACTTCAGTTTTGTCCTTTGGTTAGTCCACATTTGGAGATCTGTGTACAGCTCTTGTTGCAATATTACAGGAAGGATATAGCAATGGTGAGAGTACAGTGAAGGAGTCCTGTAGCTCAGTGGTTAGAGCACTCGCCTTACAAGCGAGAGACCTGAGTTCAATTTCAGGCAGAGGGCGAAACCTTGGGCAAGTTTCCTTACTCCACACAGAGCCTAATAATATTCCCTCCAAAACCAAAAACAATAATAAATTGGTCATTTTCAATCTATGACTGTTTGTGGGACATTGCTGTGCGCAATTGGCTGCCGCGTTCGCCCACAAATATACAGTCAATTCACTTTACAGTGTGTTCTGTGAAGCGCTTTGGGACGTCCTCCCGACGTGAAAAGCGCTATATCAAATGCAAGGATTATAATTATTATTATTATTATTATGGACCCGACGTGCAGTAGCAGCAGATGGGCCACAGAGGGCGCGGCTGAGCACAGCTATGTGCCAGCGCATCGGCGCCTCCAAGTGGCACAGCAGTGGTAGCGCAACTAGTTACCAAACGCTCAAGAGGCCGGGAACGCCCAGCGGGTCAGGCAGCATCTATGGAGAGGGGAAAGTGGGTCAACGCTTCGGGGTCCGCGGCTCTTCGTCAGAATTCAGTTGTGAGGAAAGGTCGTGGACCCGAAACCTTGACTCCCTTTCCTCTCTCCGCAGACCCCGCCTGACTTGCTGAGCGTTCCCGGCCTCTTATTCTGTGGGAGAAGTAGATTTGTCATTTTGAGGCTGTCAGAGCAAAAGTGTTGATCTGCATTGTGAACATTGTTCGGATGCGTTGAAGCGCGTTCTGATGCCATCAACGCCACACGGCAGTTTGCGGAGAGAGTTAGGGAGCTGAGCCAAGAGGAATAAAACAGTCTTAATGTCAGCTTGAGGGTGACTGGTTTGTATAGGTTCAGCCGGCGGTAATAAATCTTATTGAGTGACCAAATTATTATTACAGAGGGTTATTATTACAGAGGCCTGTGCAGTAAGGAAACTTGCCTAATGTTTGCCCTGCCCGCGAATCAAACCCAGGTCCTCTCGCTCGCCAGGCAAATGCTCTAAACAATACTACAGGACTCCCAAGTAAAGCAATAAAGTTTAGTGTAACCACAAGTGGTGCAGCGAAGAACTTTTTTTAATTAGGCCACAGAGGCTGTAAATAACCATTTTTTTTATAACCTTGAAAACGCCACCAGTCGGCGCTTCACACCAATGGGTCCTGTTGTTTGTGTAACAAAAACCCGGGTCAGAAAATTATTTTAAAACGAAAACAGCAGAAACTCCCAAAAAGTCACTCGATCGTGGTTTGAAAGAGTCAATGTTCCATGTTTCAGCTGAAAGCTCAGCAAAATTTCTCTCTTGAAGAGAAGCGTGAATTGGCTCGATGAGCATTCACAGCACTTGTTTTTTTACAGAAGTTTCGGTTTTGCTGTTAACCATTTCTCACTCTGTCTGTCGCCAGTTGCTGTTACAATTCAATTTTGTTTTTAGGAAAAAAACGAGGACGGTCAGTGAGAGAGAGGGTGTGTTGAAGGAGGCACAGCTCAGGTTACTGTGACACAAAGGAGCTTCCGCGCCCCCACACACACACACACATATTAGACTGAAAGCAACAAGGAACTCATATTGTCTTTTAAACTGACACTCCAATGCAGTGCTGGGAATGTGCTGCGTTGTTGGAAGTGCGTCATTCAGATGAAAGATTAAACTATGTCTGAGTTTCTCTCTCCCAGTGCTCTGGCCAACAATCCCTTGGATAAAATTGCTCATTCACTCCATGGATGTTTGTGGGACTATCAAAGGCTCCATTAAATTTGAAACAGAAAGTGCTTTTTCCACTTCCTCTATCGGTGAAACTATCAAACCACGTCTGATATGATGTGCAACTGCCCACTTTGACTTTGTTCAAAGGTGAAAGAACATTTGGATTTGTTTGGAAGCTTCTGGATTGTACACTGCTGTGGGTTGCACTCCCTTTGAAAGTGAGAGACCTGAGTTCAATTCCAGGCAGAGGGCGAAACCTTGGGCAAGTTTCCTTACTCCACACAGAGCCTAATAATAATCCCTCCAAAACCCAAAACAATAATAAATTGGTCATTTTCAATCTACGACTGTTTGTGGGACATTGCTGTGCGCAATTGGCTGCCGCGTTCGCCCACAAATATACAGTCAATTCACTTTACAGTGTGTTCTGTGAAGCGCTTTGGGACGTCCTCCGGACGTGAAAAGCGCTATATCAAATGCAAGGATTATTATTATTATTAACTTGTGATGCATTTGCCAGGCTCAATTTTTGTCAGATAGGTGAGGCAATGCCTCTTGTACCAACATAGTTGTGACTCCTGGGTTCCTGCTCATTGCGAGGTATACAGAGGCGTGGATTCAAATGCTGCTTTTAGAGCATTTGTGTCGCTCTGCGTGTGCCAGGTTTCACCTGCTCAGTCTCTTCTTCAGTGGCTGTTATTGCTACAACAGCACTTAGTGCTTTCACCCTCTCACTGTGTTCCCTCCAATCATTACAATACAATATTTCTTGGTTTCTGTGTTTACTAGAATGCTGCTGCTCTCATTCCTATCATTGAATTTTTTTAATGTGTTCACAACTTTCCTCAAAGGGATATTATGAAATGCTGAAATTTGACCTCTGTGCTGTTTCATTTTGGCTCTGATACTAATGAATTATTAGTAATAATGAATGAATTATTGGAGCTCTTTGTGTTTTCGTTTTTTTTTAGAAGCTCCACAGATGCGGCCTGACTTGCTCAGTGTTCCCAGCAACTTCTGTTTCTATTGGAGAAGAAGTCGTTTGAACGTGTGCTGCTCTCTCAAGTGTTAAATAATGATTCACGTAGGCAGGCAGTATGTAGCTCGTGTTTATTGCAAAATCTCTGGAGGCGTCAGAGTGTGATTTGCATCTTTTAATTTGGTTGAGTGGAGAACATGCAAAACTAAAACATTTAAGCATTTTCCCCCACTGACAAAATAACCAGCTGACTGTCTGTATGTTATACTTCCAGTGATAAGCACCCATGTGATTCGGGTTGATTAGCGGCTTATCACGCTAGTTGGCTTGGCAGCAAATTATGTTTATAATAGTACAAAGTTCAGGAATTACCCTTGTCTACTTCAACATTTTTATTAAGGGGAACAATACAGACTGTGTTGTTCACTGAGGAAGTTCACGAGGCAAAACCTAACATCTTGTTTTTTCCTCCATGGATGTGAAACTTGCAGAACAAGAGCTTTACTGAGTGCCGGTTAGGACACAGCTGCCTCAGGTCTTATGAAAGCATTTGATCGTTGCAGCTGCATACTTAAAGATAAGCCGTTGGGTGGATCTGTGTTGGTTCAAGATAATCTTGGGCTAAAGATGTCTCAGTGGTTGAATTATCCTTAGCAGCCCCCACCCCCCCCCCCCCATCGCTCAAACAAGGCCTACATCTTGTAATGTAAATATGTTTTAGAGTTTTCCGAGAAGCTTGGCAGACAGTGATCTCAATGATAAGCTGATGGGTTTAACCGGTTAAACTAGCAGTAAGCCAACCCGAAGCCTTGGTTCTTGCCAACCTGAGGCTGATACACTCAGCTAACAGTTAAGCTCCTGTTAACCCTGCGCCAAAGCCCCAACAGGGAGGGTGGTCCTTGCTGGACAAAGCGGGAAAGTTTGCCAGACAGCGATATCAATGGCAAGTTATGGGGTTTTAGCTCGTTAGACTCCAGCGATTATCCCAATGCCTTGACTCTTGCCAACCTGCGCCAAATACTTTCTGGAATTAGGTAAGCAGAATACTTCCCTCCAGGGAGAGAGAGAGAGAGTGTGCATTCCATTCCAACAACCTATCTCTGGGATCTCCATGCGTAGGTGGGATGCATGAAATTCTCGGTTTAGTTTGGATATTCTTAAGCACAGTGTTGTGCCTCCGCAGGTGTCAGACACTCAGCTGGGCAGAAAAATGGCATATGCATGATATATAGCCTAGTCCTGATCCTCAAGCACGATAATGGTAATAGTTTCCGCATATGTCAACAGGATGAGCAAAAAACCATGATTAATTGTGGTCTTTAGTCGTATCTAATGCTGATTGCTCGCTCCCGGCCTCTGCGTAGGTGTTTTGGCTGCAACCCCGACCTGAGCCGCTCCCCCTGAAAATGTTGCTGCTCCCACTCCCCACACTCTGCTACTCCCACTCTGCCCTTCTCTCCCAACGCCCTCCTCGCTTTCTCTCTCCTGGACTCCACCATTACCACACTCTCCTCCGTGAGGCTCATCATGGCTAACCCTCTACCATCCCTCCTCTCTCTCCCTCAAAATACTTCTAGTTTACCAACCCCCAAACCTCCTGGCTCCTTCCTCACTGATATCTCGGCTCTCCTCTCACTCCTGTCCCTCTGCACTGAGCACCTGCTCATAATGGGTGATTTCAACCTCCACCTAAACTCAAAACAATAAAAACACACAACACAATGCAGAGCAGTGTTGCCATGTTTTTATTTTAATAAAATAATAATAATTCTTGGAATTGATATAGGGCCTTATCACAACAACAAAATTACATTTATAGAGCGCCTTTCACGTCAGGAGGACGTCCCGAAGCACTGAACAGTCAGGTGTTGGGGGCCCGAGCATGGGGAGGGGTGGTGTGGATGGCCTTGAAAGTGAAGACGAGGATCTTGAATTTGATCCTCTGGGGGATGGGGAGCACGTGGAGTCGGGCGAGGGTGGGGGTGATGGGGTCACGGGCCTGGTGCGTGAGAGTACATGAGCTGCAGAGTTTTGGATGATCTGCAGCTTGTGAAGGGAAGAGTAGGGAAGGCCGATGAGGAGGGCGTTCCCATAGTCGAGCCTTGATGTGACGAATGCGTGGGTGAGGGGTGAGGCAGTAGTGCAGTCTGGCAATGTTGCGGAGGTGGTGGTAGGCAGTGCCGGTCATGGCGCGGATGTGGGGGAGACAGGACAGTTCAGGGCCAAACAAGACAACCAGGTTCCTGACTGGCTTAATGAGGTTGAGTGCGCAGCCGTGGAGGCTAATGCTGCCAGCGCCTGAGATTGCAAGCCAATCAGGAGGGCCTCGGTCTTGCTGATGTTGAGTTGGAGAAAGTTGGCCCTTGGCCAGGACTTGATGTGGGACAGGCAGTCGGTCAGGACAACAACAACAAGAACAAGATTCCATTTATAGAGCGCCTTTCACGTCGGGAGGACGTCCCAAGGCGCTGTACAGTTGGGTGAGGACCCGAGCATTGGGGGGAAATGGTCAGGGTGAGGGGAGGGAAGGGAGGGAGCGAGGAGGGGGTAGAGAGTCGAGAGGGGAGCTGAAGGCATGGTCAAAGAGAAAGGTCTTGAGACCGGCCTTGAAGGAGGAAAGGGAGGAGGTGGCGAAGGCACTGGGGGATAGAGTTCCAGAGCCTCAGGGCTGAGAGGCTGAAGGTCCGGCCACCGATGGTAGGGCGGTTGGGGCGGGGGATGTGGAGCAGACCTTTGCTGCGACAAAGTGGAGGTGGTGTGAAAGGTAGGACCTGAACCAATCAAGGACAGAACCTTGAAGGTTGGAGTGGAGGAGGATTGAGTGGTTCACGGTGTTAAAGGCGGCAGAGAGGTCAAGGAGGATGAGGAGGCAGAGGGAGCCCTGGTCACACATGGTCAGGATGTTGTTTGTGACCTTGACCAGAGCAGTTTCCGTGCTGTGGGCAGCACGGAAACCCGATTGGAGGGGTTCATGGAGTGAGTGAGTGAGTGAGTGAGTGAGTGAGAGGAGAGGAAAGAGCGAAGCTGGGAGGCAACAGCTCTCAAGGACCTTGGATAGGAAGGGGAGATTTGAGATGGGCCGGTAGCTAGATAGCTGTGATGGGTCGAGAGGTTTCTTCAAGGTGGGGTGATAGTGGCTGTTTTGAGGGGGGAAGGAACAGTGTCAGGGAGTGGTTAATGATGTTGGCGAGTAGTGGGGCGAGGAGGTGGAGCTGGGATTTAAGGAGAAAGGTGGGGATGGGGTCCAGAGAGCACGTGGTGGGCTTCATGGAGGGTGGGGGAATGAGGGTGACAGAAGGCACCAACAAAGAGGGTCTTGAGACAGGTCTTGAAGGAGGCAATGGAGGGGTTGAGGCGGGGTTACTGCAGGATGGAGTTCCAGAGGTTGGGAGCAGAGTGGCAGAAGGCCCGCCCGCCACTGATGCGGCAGGCGAGGCGGAGGACGTGAAGCAGGCCTGAGTCAGATAAACAGAGTTGGTAGGGAGTTAGAAGGTTGCAGAGGGTGTGGAGGGCATTGAAGGTGAGGAACAGGATCTTGAACTGTATCTTCTGTGTGATGGGAAGACAGTGGAGTCGGGCGAGGATGGGGATGATGGGGTCGCGGTGTCTGGTGCGGGAGAGGACATGTACTGCAGAGTTCTGGATGATCTGCAGCCTATGGAGGAAGGAATTGGGGTGGCCGTGAAGCAGGGAGTTTGCATAGCCGAGCCTGGATGTTATAAATGTGGTGTGAGGGTCTCGGCACCTGCGTTGTGAGAGAATGGCAGAGACGGGCAATGTTGCGGAGTTGGGGGAAGGTCATGGCGCAGATGCGGTATAGAAAGGATAGTTGAGGGTCAAACAAGACGCCAAGGTTCTGGACTGGATTAGCAAGGCGGAGTGTGCATCCTTGGATGATGATTCTGTCAGCGCTGACGGGAGCCAGTCAGGAGAGCCCCGGGCTTATTGATGTTCAACTGAAGGAAGTTAATAATAATAATAATAATAATAATAATAATAATAATAATAATAATAGTTAGCTCTCATCCCGACTTGATGTCCGACAGACATTCTGTCAGGACAGCAGTGGCCCTGGAGTCGAGGGTGGAGGCAGAGAGGTAGAGTTGGGTATCACCCGCATACATGTGGTTCTGACGAAGGGCCGTGGACCTGAAACATTGACTCACTTTCCTGTCTCCATAGATGCCGCCTGACCTGCTGAGCGTTCCCGGCCACTTCTGTTTTTTGTTCCCATATTGGAGCCTTTGGATGGTACAGCTCGTCATTTATAACATTATTTTGGAGGGATTGATTATTTCAAACCCGGCTCTTGCCAGGCAAGTGCTGCGCCCACTACACTCTGGAGACTTGGAGATGGTGCGGGGGCTGGAGGAGAAGCCATTTGCCACGACAAAGTGGAAGCGGTGTGAAAGGCAGGACCTGAACCAATCATGGCGAGCTTCATTATTTAGCAAACAACATCTGATTTACTGGAAATCCTGAGATCCTCTGAGGAAACACGTGACTGAGCTGCTCCCTCCCCCCCAGTGAATGTGAAAGTGTTGACAGATGAAGGAACTTTGCTCGCTGTTGTTGTGGAAGCCGCCGAGGCAGTAATTGCTGCTCTTTCTCTCTCACTCACGGACATTTACTGGCCGTTCCCACAGATGGTTCTGCTTCTCTATTCACGAGGGGATCGGGCGGGCAAGAGAAAGGGAAGGGTTGCGCGGCTGACGGGCTGTCAGGTCAGTAAAAGTCACACCTGAAGGTTAACATTTCTGTTGTAATATAATTTGATGTTGTTTCCTTACATTTGATGCGGTGGCCGCTCGGGGGGTGGGGAGGGTGGGGAGGGTGGGGGGGGGTGCGACAGGACAAACATACAACGGCTTAGACTGGGTTTGCGAAGGGTTATTCGGTTGTGTTAACCTCAAAGTGAGTTGCCGGAACCAAAATTGAATGCGATGAAGTGGTGCCTTCTGGTGGCAGAGGACGTTACTGTAGGAGGGGCCTCAGCACCCTGATAGGGGTGATTTCAAGATCCTCATCCTCACCTACAAGGCCATTCACGGCCTCGCTCCCTTCTACCTCTCCAACCTACTATCCCCCTACCTACCTGCCCGTACCCTCCGTTCCTCTGGCTCCGGTCTGCTCCACGTCCCCCGCCCCAACCGCCCTACCATCGGTGGTCGGGCCTTCAGCCTCTCAGCCCCGAGGCTCTGGAACTCCATCCCCCAGTGCCTTCGCCGCTTCCACCCTTTCCTCCTTCAAGGCCGGTCTCAAAACCTTTCTCTTTGACCTTCAGCCTTCAGCTCCCCTCTCGACTCTCTTCCCCCTCCTCACTCCCTCCCTCCCCTCACCCTGACCATTTCCCCCCTGCTCGGGTCATGACCCAACTGTGCAGCGCCTTGGGACGTCCTCCTGACGTGAAAGGCGCTTTATAAATGGAATCTTGTTGTTGTTGTTGTAGGGGCGGGGTCTCTGCACCCTAATCAGGGCGGGGCCTCAGCATCCTGATAGGGGCAGGGTCTCTCGAGAGCATGCGTGTTACTAAACTTTCCTTGCTACAGCTTTTATATTAAATATTATTAAATTCTACTGTTACTTTCTGTTTTTAGGGTCGACCATATTTTGTAAACCAAATCCAGGGATGTGTACAAAAAAAATGAACTCAGTACAATTCCCGATAGTGGAGAAACGTGTTGGATTCACGGCTGTGTTGCTCAGTTTGTTGTTTAACTTGAGATGGGTGAAATTTGGCCCCAGAGACACCATACCTCATCCCAGGACTGTCCCCGGAAATAATAATAATCCTTGGATTTGATATAGAGCGTTATCACGTCTTCGAGACGTCTCAAAGAGCTTCACAGGATAAACTGTAATCAGGAATGCGTGGTCATCCTATATAAGTTTGCATGTAGAACAATGAATAAAGAAATGCCTATTATGATTAGTGTGATTTATCTCGGGGTTTGCAACTGTGGTTTGAATTCTTGAAATAAATCACCAGCTGGTGACCATCCTCTGAGTGTGTGTGTGGGGGCAAGAGAGGTGGTGGTGGGGTGGAGAGGTGGTTGGGGAGAGGGAGGTGGTGGGGTAGATGGAGGTGGTGGGTGGGAGAGAGGGAGGTGGTGGGGGTGTTAGAGGGAGGGGGGGGAGGGAAGTGGTGCGGGGGTGAAGGTAAGCAAAGTTTCCTTGGGGCTAGCCAGCTCTATGGCAATATCAGACTGGAGTCAATCCTCTCTGGTGGTCTTGACTGTCCAGCTCCTCGCCAGGCAGATCTGCAGTCCTTCAAGGGACTGCTGATGGCAAACCCACCAGCCTGGCTCATCAGCAAAGCTTGGAAGGGTTGACCAGTCACTGGAGGTAGTAGGGCTTCTTCTCATTCAGCTACTATTAACCCTGCAGACCCAAACCAAAAGGGGTAGGTTGGACAAGCAGGGCAAAGCTTCCCAGGCAGTGGGTGTAATGGCAAGTCAACAGGAGCCATTGTGAGAAGAGTTCATGCCTTAAGTAAATGATCTGTCCCTTCAAGTCCTGGTCTAAGCCAAGTTGTCTGGTTTGTCATCAACAGTGTCTTGGAATACTGCAGAACTGCCTGAGAGTACACATTCCATTCCAACAATCTTACTCTGGAATTTCCACGTGTAGGTCGGATGTACGGCATTCTCGGTTTGGTTGGATACTCTTTAGCATGGTGATGGGTTGGCTGGTCTGGCATCAGCGGTGCCATAGTGTGCTGCGGACCTGCCTACATCCCACCTACTCAATTATATGCCATTGCCAGGCACAGCATTGGCACAAACTCAGGCCCAAAGTTACACTTCTGACAATGCAGCTCTCTCCCAGTTGTGCAGTAGAGTGAACTTGTGACATGTTTGTGTTTTTCAGGCTCTCATCCTCCGTGTTAGTGATTTGTTATGCACGTAAAGGGGAAGTAAAGTGATGTCTTTCAGGGTTGAATTCCTATTACATAAAAAAGGTAATAGTTTTATTGCTGATATATTGTGGAAATATCTATGGTAGAATGTCCTCTTTACTGTTTATCATTATTTATTAATATTACTCTATTGTTATTCTTACTCGGGAAAGCTTTGAAGAAATTCAAGGGGAAGAAAAAATGTTATAAATTTGTTAGGACAAACCATAATTGTGATAAATGTTGCTGGTGCCTTTCAGGTTTCTGAAGCTCTATCCAGGTAGATTGGATTTCCAATCACATTTCATGATTAGGAGTGGCAGAGTTGGACCCAAGCAAAAGATGTGTTGAGGTCATTGAATCAGGAGATTCACCCCTCCTAGTTCTGTAAACGGAAAAATAATGGCCATTCCATTAAGTTAAGTCTTTACTTAATGGAACTTAGCTAGGACTCACCACGTTAATGGAAAGTACTAGTTAGGAACAGATGGTATTCCTCAGGTTTGAAAAGTAAATTTTTATGGTGTTTTGAAATGGTTTTTATAGTTAATCCTCTTTTGTTTCAGATTCGTGAACTTCTTTTGAGGTAAACAAAATGAATTCAGACTTCTTAATCCAACATGCCAAACTGGTGAGTATATATTCTTGCAATGAATTGTATTTGGGGTTAACTATATAATAATAATAATAATCCTTGATTTTGATATAGCGCTTTTCACGTCGGGAGGACGTCCCAAAGCGCTTCACAGAACACACTGTAAAGTGAATTGACTGTATATTTGTGGGCGAACGCGGCAGCCAATTGCGCACAGCAATGTCCCACAAACAGTCGTAGATTGAAAAATGATCAATTTATTATTGTTTGTGGTTTTGGAGGGATTATTATTAGGCTCTGTGTGGAGTAAGGAAACTTGCCCAAGGTTTCGCCCTCTGCCTGGAATTGAACTCAGGTCTCTCACTTGCAAAGCGAGTGCTCTAACCACTGAGCTACAGGACTCCGAATAATAATCATTAAATGGGATAGTTATCTGAATTTTAATGAATCAACCTGGTTTCTTCGCTCTTCTTCTAAAGGCCTTGTTTCAAGTTGGGAGTACTCCTTTCACAGAAGCACCTAGTCATCCACTGTCTTATCCTACGGGCACTCTTCACCTGTGAGCCTAAACAACGCCAAGAAATATAGCTAATCTTTAAAAATATTGAACCTTTTCTATTAAGTGAGACGTTCAATTTTTTTTTAGTACAATATAGTGAAAAGAAGGGCACAGCATACAGCTCTCGCTTGGCGTCCAACTCCGTCATACAGTGGTAGAGTTGGGCGCCAAGCGACAAAGATATGTCGAGGTAATTGAATCAGGAAATTCATTCTCCTCCAGGGAACAGAATTCTGTAAATGGAAAAAAATCATGGACATTCTTGATTTCTGGGAACTCAGGTCCCCACTGACTTCCCTTTGGGGGCACTATATACAGGAAGTGCCGCCGACATTACTTTCATTTCCTTCACAAAGTGATGTTACATGGTGCTTCCTGTGTAGGCTCAGTGCAGTTACTCTCTGGGTAAAAAAATAATAATTTTGACCTAAATATAAATACTCTTATTTACATACAGAATGGTTATAAAATTCAATTGTTTCAATTTAGTGTATTTTTTCAATTTAGATGGTTTGGATCTTCTTATTGTTTGGCCATCTGCAACTGGTCAGCTGTTGTGGCCCAGGAGAATATTTAATCCATGGACAGTGCTGCCCGATGTGTCCAGTGGGTGAGTCCTCATCATAGAACCTTACAGCACAGAAAGAAGCCATTTAGCCCATTGTGCCTTTGGCGGCTCTTTGAAAGAGCTACCAACTAGTCCCACTCCTCACTCTTAACCCATAGCCCTGCATTTTTTCATTCTAAGTACCTATCCAATTCTCTTTTCAAATCTATTATCGTATCTGCTCCACCGCCCATTGAGGCAGTGCATTCCAGACTGTAACAACTCTCTGGGGTAAAAAAAACTCTCGTCTCCCTGGTTCTTTTGCCAATTATCTAAGGAGAATAATCCCAGCCGCTCTTGTCCTTCCACGTAATTGAAGTCTCTCATTTGACACGTCTCGAAGATGTGATAAGACGCTATATCAAATGCAAAGATTGTTATATTATTATTCCTGGTATCATCAGTGGTCCTTTTTTCTGAAAATGTTTAATATATTTACAACATTATTTTTAGCAGCTGAATAAAAATGCTGAATTGCAAAACAAAGTTCCTTGACGCTTATTATAAACCATATCATAGCCAACTTGCAAAATGTTCAATTCAGTCTCAAAGGTACCAAAATCACACAATGTTGTCTAATGTTTAGGTCTCTATTTAAATTGATTTGTTTAACACTCCTGGATATGCACTGCATTGTTTGAGGTGCCATCCTTCGAATGAGGTATTAAATAAACTAAGGTCCCACCTGTCTGTTCAGGTAGATGTTAAAGAATCCTCATTGGAAAAGAGAAGGGAGTTTCTCCCACTGTCTCGCCTGACAATCGGTCAAACAAAATTGCTCATTTCCTTTATGGCTGTCTGTGGGGCATTGCTGTGTACAAATCGCCTGCGGAAAATATTTAAGCCATACTATAACTATATATAGCATAAAATATCAGGTGTTAATAATCCTTGCATTTGATATAGCGCCTTATCACGTCCTCGAGATGTCTCAAAGCGCTTCACAGAATATACTGTAAAGTGAATCGACTTCATTTCTGTGGTAGCAGAGAATGAGAAGGTAATTAGGATTCAGTCAATGTTCCCCAGTGAAGTGTTTTGTGAGGAAGAGTTACAGGATCAGACCAAATCAACAACAACATGATTCCATTTATTGAGCGCCTTTCACGTCGGGAGGACGTCCCAAGGCGCTGTACAGTTGGGTCAGGACCCGAGCATTGGGGGGAAATGGTCAGGGTGAGGGGAGGGAAGGGAGGGAGCGAGGAGGGGGTAGAGAGTCGAGAGGGGAGCTGAAGGCACGGTTGAAGAGAAAGGTCTTGAGACCGGCCTTGAAGGAGGAAAGGGAGGAGGCGGCGAAGGCACTGGGGGATAGAGTTCCAGAGCCTCGGGGCTGAGAGGCTGAAGGCCACCGATGGTAGGGCGGTTGGGGCGGGGGATGTGGAGCAGACCGGAGCCAGAGGAACGGAGGGTACGGGCAGGTAGGTAGAGGGATAGTAGGTCGGAGAGGTAGGAGGGAGCGAGGCCGTGAATGGCCTTGTAGGTGAGGATGAGGATCTTGAATTCGATCCTCTGGGGGATGGGGAGCCAGTGGAGGCGAGCGAGGGTGGGAGTGATGTGGTCCCGAAGCCTGGTGCGGGACAGTACACGAGCTGCAGAGTTCTGAATGACCTGCAGTGTGGAGGGAGGTGGCGGGAAGGCCGGCGAGGAGAGAGTTCCCATAGTCCAGCCTTGAGGTGATAAAGGCGTGGACCAGAGTTTCAGCAGCGTGAGGGGTGAGGTAGTGCCGTAGTCTGGCGATGTTCCGGAGGTGATGGAAGGCGGTGCCAGTTGTGGCGCGAATATGAGGGAGAAAGGACAGCTCAGGGTCGAACAGAACCCGAGGTTCCTGATTGGCTTTGAGAGGTGGAGAGTGCAGCCTTGGATGCTGATGCTGTCAGCGCCTGAGGTGCGGAGGCGCTGACGTGAGCCAATCAGGAGGGCCTCAGTTTTGCGCACGTTGAGCTGAAGAAAGTTGTCTCTCGTCCAGGACTCGATGTCGGACAGGCAGCTGTCAGGACATCGGTGGTCGTGGAGTTGAGGGTAGAGGAGGAAAGGTAGAGTTGGGTGTCATCCGCATACATGTGGAAGTTAACCCCATGTCTGCGGATGATGTCACCAAGGGGGAGCATATAGAGGGTGAAGAGGAGGGGACCGAGGACAGAGCCTTGAGGGACACCACACGAGACAGTGCGGGGGGGAGGAAAAACCATTCGTGGAGACAAAGTGAAGACGGTGGGAGAGGTACGACCTAAACCACTCAAGCACAGGGCCTTGAAGGTTTAGGTGGGAGGACAAGCGGTGGAGGAGGATACCATATCGAATGCTGCCGATAGGTCGAGGAGGACGAGGAGGCAGAGGGAGCCCTGGTCGCAGATGGTCAGGATGTCATTGGTGACCTTGACCAGGGCAGTTTCTGTGCTATGGGCAGCACGGAAACCCGACTGAAGGGGTTCGAATAATGAATGGTTGGAGAGGAAAGAGCGCAGCTGGGAGGCGACAACTCGTTCCAGGACCTTGGACAGGAAGGGGAGGTTGGAGATGGGCCGGTAGCTTGATAGCTGCGACGCATCAAGGGAGGGTTTTTTCAAGGTGGGAGTGATGGTGGCAGTTTTTAAGGGAATGGGAACAGAGCCAGAGGAGAGGGACAGGTTGACGATGTCTGTGATATGTGGGGCAAGGAGGTGGAGCTGGGAGATAAGGAGTGGAGTGGGGATGGGGTCAAGGGAGCAGGTTGTGGGTTTCAGGGATAGGATGAGTTTGGTGACAGAGGGTGGGGAAACGGGTACAAATGTGTGTAGGGGAGGATGGGTAGGAGTCGGAGTGTGGGAGGGAAGGGGTGGGGGTGGGTGGATGTTGGAGGGGAAGTGACTGCAGAGCGAATTCCCTTGATTTTGGATTCAAGGAAATCCAGCATCTCCTCGCTGTGAAGGTTGGAGGAGATGACCTGCGCGGGGTGGCGGGGGAGACGGAGGAGTTGGGATGTGGTAGAGAACAGTAGCCTGGGGTTGTCCTTCGCCTCCAGGATTATCCTGGAGTAGAAGGACGATTTGGCCGAGGCTAGAGTGGAGCGGTAGATTTTGAGGAGGTCCAGCCAGATTTGTCGGTGGACCGTTAGGCCAGATTTGACCCAGGTGCGTTCAGCGGCCCGCACCTGGCTCTTCAGTGAGCGGAGGTGGGTGGTGAACCAGGGGGAGGAGCGAGAGTAGGAGACAGTACGGGAGGTGATGGGGGCAAGAGTGTCAAGTGTGGAGGAGAGGGTGTTGTGGAGGAGGGTGAGAGCAGAAGAGGGGTCAGTGAGGGTTGAAGGCCAGAGGGAGAGGAGTTCAGAGGACTCCAAGGCAGCGGTTAGGGATTGAGGGGGTAACTTCTTCCAGGGGCGGTAGAAGATGGTGGTGGGTCTGGTGGAGGTGGGGAGGGGGGTGGAGGTGGTGAAGGAGATGAAGTGGTGGTCGGAGATGGCCTTGTCGGTGATAGTGACATCCGAGACACTGAGGCCCCGGGTGATCACCAAGTCGAGTGGGTGGCCGTGACTGTGAGTGGGGGAGTTGATGTGGAGGGAGAGGTTGAGCGAGGAGAGCAGGGAAGAGAAATCTGAGGAGATGGAGCAGGAGGGGGTGAAGTGCAGGTTAAAGTCGCCCAGGATGATGAGGCGATCAGAGCAAAGGCAGAGAGATGTAAGAAGTGTCGAAATATCAGAGATAAAGGTGGGAGAGGTTTTAGGGGCCGGTAGAGGAGGAGGATTTTAAGTGAGAGGAAGGAGGGGTGGGAGAGGGTGAGGTGCTCAAAAGAGGGGAAAGAGCCAGAGGAGTAGGGGGATAGGGCAAGTGGTGTCCTTGAGATAAGGGCAACACCACCGCCACGGCGGTTGGGGCGAGGGATGTGGTGGGAGGTGTAGCCGGGTGGTGTGGCCTCCATGAGGGGGAAGGTGTCGCCTGGGGTGAGCCAGGTTTCTGTTAAGGCCATGATATCAACGTTCTCATCAAGGATGAGATCGTTGATGACCAGGGCCTTGTTACAGAGGGAGCGGACGTTTTGTAGTCCGATGTGGAGGGAGAGGTTGACAGAAGGGTGTGTGGGAGGGGAGGGGGGTTCAGGTTGTGAGGCAGGAGTGGGGGAAATGGGGATAAGGAGGTGGGAGGGTTTGGGGGTAGAGAGGAGGGACGAGGGAGGGAGGGGGTGAGGGGGCTCGGGTCATAGCGGCAGCCATATTGCACACGCGAGGACCGGGGGCGAGCGGTCAGGCGGATGGAAACATTATCCCATAGGCTGGGGCTGGGGCAGCCAACCCAATGGTGGGTTCTGATGTGAGCCCTGGTGGGGTGGGGGGGCGGGGGCGCAGAGGATTTATTTTTTTTTTTTGTTGCGCGCGTACACCTCTGAAAACTACAACTATGACGTCAGCGGTTCCCCCGCTCCGCCCCCACCCGTTCCCTCCTCAGCCCCACGGCTGTGCTGCACTCCCTTCCGCGTCGAGTTTAAGTACCTGAGAGGTAGGCCCAGGCTCCTCCCCGCGCTGTCCTGGCGCCGCTCCCTGTCTGCTAAATCACTTCGTTCAGTATTGTTAACTTTTGCTAATTTTTTTATATTTCAGGAAGTCGAGTGTCAAAACATTGCACAGCAATGACCAACACTGGATGCAGAGTTTGCACGCAAGGTGAATACATCGACCATCCCAATGGGCTGGAAAAATGCCTCAAGTGTGAAAGTTGTGATTCAGGTAAATGTTACACTAATTTCGTGACAAACTCTGTATTTTGTCAGGAATGTTTATTAACAAATGGGCAGTGTAAAATGCAGTCAAAACACAGGAGCGAGGAGCAAAATGGGTATTGATGAAAGAATAATAGAGATCTGTAGTTTATTGGAGTAATAGTTAGTCTGTGTGGATACAATAGAGAAAAAACAATTAGATTTGATCTTTTCCCTGGTCCCTTGTGCTGTCAAGACACATTCAGGGAGAAAGCTTTGTTTACCATTCCTAAAATAATTGTTATTTCTTCATATCATAGACTGTTTACTTTAATGACTATAAACAGCTTTGATTGCCAGTACAACAAATGAGCTCTTAGTTTTGAAGCAGATGCTGCTTCCTACATTATAATAATAATCCTTGCATTTGATATAATGCTTTTCACGTTTTCTAGACGTCTCAAAGCACTTCACAGAATTTACTGTAAAGTGAATTGACTGTATATTTGTGGGCAAAATATATATTGTTTACACTTGCAGCATTGAACCTTCATCGTACCAACTATATGTCTTGTTGTAGGTCAGACAGATTCACTGAATCTCATGATTTTTTTATTTTTAGGAATGGGACTTTTAGATTCACAGCAATGCACCTACTTTCAAAATACGATTTGTCATTGCAAAGAGGGTTATTTCTGTGTGGAGAGGAAAGGGAATGGATGTGAGATGTGCAGAAAGTACAGCCTGGGTCCTGTAGGTGAAGGAGTTAAGAAGAAAGGTAAGGTGCGAGATTAAAGCTTTACTGTGAATCCGCTCGACTGGCTCCGGCTTTCTGTAAGTCCCTCGTGCCCTCCGTTCTACCAGCGGTGGCCGCTTTCAGCCACTACGCCCCGAAACTCTGGAACACTCTATCTCTACCCCTCCACCTCGTTATGATGTGGTGGTCGGGATTCATCAATTCTGTGCGTTGTGCAGGTGTCCAGCTGACACAGATCAGTTGCTGCGCTCTCTGAACCTCTCACAAGCAATTACAATGTGCTTCACACAGTGTGGCTGTGCTTCACAGGGGACTGCCTTCCTCCACAGTGATACAGGCACTCCCTCACCCCCAAGTCAATGCAGCCAGTACTAAATTAGTTGGTGTCCACACACAAACACAAGGCCCTCCTCCAACCTTCAGTCGTGACAAACACTGTTGTCTGAATAGGCTGTAAAATAGTAACAGAGTCTCTGTCAAAGACTCCTTCACAGGGCAAACTTAGCTGAGTTAAGATTCTCCAATATTCTGTGGTTGTATATGTATTTTCAGGAACAATCTGGGAAGACGCGGAGTATGAAAAGTGTCCTCATGGAACATATTCAGACAATGTTTCTACTGAAGAGTGTAAGCCATGGACTAAGTAAGTACTTTATAACTAATCTGGGAATCTCAAATTAAGTGCATTGGAAATGGGAACACTGATAATAAATTACATTTGTATAGTGCCTTTCACATGAGGAGGAGTCCCACCAGAAAACAGGATTGATGGCTCAGTACAGAATATAACTCTTAAGATTCAAGTGTTTCTGAATATTCCCCAAAATTACAACAAACATAACCAAGGAAAATTAGAGATTGGTTGAATTCCCATTTAATGCAATTGAGCAAAAAGCTGGCTCCTGACGTTAATAATCCATTTAGCCCCAAAATACCAATAGTGAGTCTAATCAAACTATAGTGGTGTTAGAAAGACATTTCAAGAAGAAAAAATCCCTAAGTGTGTTGGGATATGTCACGGACAAAAATCTACAGATTTGCCTAATTAATTATTCTGCTTTTTCCCAGATGTAAAGAATTGAACAAACGTGAGGTTAGACCAGGAAACCCTTCCATGGATGCAGAGTGTAAAGAGAAGATGAACATAGCATTTATAGTATTGTCTATTGTAATACCTGTAGTGATTGTAGTGATTGGTGGTGTCCTTGGAATTTTGTGGTGGAAGAGACGAGCTCTGAGAAAGTGTACAGGTTTGTGGCTTTAATACTATTGTTTTCTGAACCAACACATTTTTATTCTTTGTTTTGTATCAGTCAAATCAGAAATATTCTTCTTCCTTAGACAGGTAATGGACCCCTGCGAATGCCATCTAGGCCACCACACAAAATATTCTCATCGTGTGTTTTGAGGCTTTATTACTATTTTCTGAACCAACCCATTTTTATTCTTTGTTTTGTATCAGTCAAATCATAAATATTCTTGTTCCTTATCCTACATGAAGGATGTTACTGTATACAAAATGCAAGTTGTTGTTCCTCCCATTTTTCACCCATTTTCTGCTCATCCTAGTGCCCAGCGAGCGAGTTCTACCAGTTCATTAGATCTCGGCAGATTTGTTAACCTCGATGCCCCAGCCTTTTGTCATTTCCTTTGTTAGAATATACACTTTTTGTATACTGCTAGAATCATAATAGATATTGTGAATGGGTTAACTTTTAAGTTAAGTGTGGGGGACAACTGGACTGATAGTCATGGGATAGGACTCATCTGGTTTTCTGTTTTTGAAAGAATAACAGACAGGGGCAGGGGGTCACCTCTTATCAGCAAATGACAACAAGCCACAGAGCTGATGGTCCAAGGTACCAGTCGACACAGGATCTCGACTGAGAAATAAGTCGCTAGATTCTGACAGGGCCAACCGACAGAAGGCAACCCTCAAGAATAGCAATTAATGAGCAAGTTGTTTAAACTAGAGGGCCTTGGTACCATCCCGGGATACTGATAAGAAATAACCAGTCACTTAAAAGGAATGATCCCACACCACAAAATAATGAGCACCAGATACAGCCCTAAACTGATCAATCCTCTATCGTAGACAATTAGATCAGATAACAGGGGTCTTAAGGACAATGTGTATGTGTGCTGAGGCACGTACAGCCGATGAGGTGCTCACGTGAACCCAGCATGATTTCGACCGGGTGATCTAATGTCCGCACCATGATTGGATGAACATTGGTATAAGAGTTCCGTTAACTTTGTGTACAGTGCCGTCCCGGGTCGTGGAGACAAGGATAAGAGAGATGGGGCCGTCCCGGGTTGTAGAGACAAGGATACAGGAGATGGAGCCGTTCCGGGCTGCGGCGACAAGGGTATGGAAATGGAAGACAGAGAGCTGGAAACACTAAGACTGAGGATATCAGATGGAAGATTGAAAGCTGTCAGCAAGAAGACTGAAAGCATGAAGAATCAAGCTTGTGTGCTGGAAAGACAGTGTTGAACTCTTGAACTCGAGATATCTATAGTGGTGTTATTCTGTTGTAAGATCTGTTGATTGTACCCGCCTTTGGTCTGACCCATCGGAATATTGGGGAATAACGAACGAATAATAATAAAACAGTTTGATACCTGGTTAAAGGAATTAGCGTTATTTCCTTACAGATTTGGCTGATTTTATTTTCTAACACCTTTAATACCTCGACTACCCACATATCTGCTTAACTCTCTTTTAAACATTTACTGATCATTTTTATTACTGACTCAAATTGATTAATTTTTCTTGTATTATTATGACATTGGCATAATAGCACAGAGACTTGTAAACTGTAATCAATTGGTACGTATTCTTTCTATTTATTGATCTATATTTTTCTTGCAGCAAATGGTGTGAGAAGGAAAAGATGAGGATGAAAAGGTATATTAAATGTTACTATATTTATATAGCACTGTGTGTAATGTATTGTCTAAAAACTTGAGTTGAAAATTATCAAGGCAAAATAGTGACATTCCACAAAACACATTCCAAAGCCATTGAAAACAGCATTACATCAGTGTCCACCCATTGATTCCCCTCTAGTCTCTTCAGTGACCTACATTTTATGCCAACAGTTAATGCAAACTAAATCCATGTTAATCATTCACTCACTGTACATGACAATGACATTATCTGCTCACAGGCTTGTTCTGTGCCAGACCCTCTATATGTGTAGAGTGTAAATATTGTACTGTACAGGTACGAGGCCAAAATAGATGCTGATTCAGAGTGACACTAGTTTGTCAGGTGGCTTCACTTATATACAGTTTAATTGGCTTCTGCTTTCTCCTACAATTGGTCTCTACACATTACAGTAAAATGTGAGGTGCTTTGAGATACAGTGGAATCTGCTTTAGGCGATGCCGGTTAATCCCAGATGATGGGTAAATTGAACAAAATGCCCGGCCCTGAATCATTTGTATTCTAACCTGTTTTAATTAGGCCGGTTGATTCAGACAAAAATCCGGTTACTCTGGGCAAAATGCCGCACTGTTCACCACTGAATGGACTCACTCGGGCCTTTGTGTGACACGCTGCTCCATGCGGTCCTGTGGCTCAGTGGTTAGAGCACTCGCTTGCACGCGAGAGACGTGAGATCGATTCCCGGCAGGGTGAAATGTTGGGCAAGTTTCCTTACTCCACAAGACTCTGCTTACGTAGCAGTCAGTAGGAACCCAGTTGTTCAGGGGCAATAATTCCTTAAAAATAAATAATGAATTAGTCACTCAATCCATGGCTGTTTGTGGGACACGGCTGTGCGCAATTGGCAATTGGCTGCCGTGTTTCGCCCACAAAATACGCAGTCAATTCACTTTCAAGTATACTTTGTGAAGAGCTTTGAGACGTCTCGAAGACATGACAAGGCGCAAAATCGAATGGAAGTATTATTATTCAGCCATGAGGGTAGAAGGGAGGAGGCCATAAGATTGATTGCCAGCGGACTCCAGCCATTCACAAGGGGCTGGAGTTGGGCTGTCAATCATTGAGGGGGCAGAGCAACGGAGAACAACAAGTGAGGGAATGGGAGGAGTCCACTCACGATTGAATGACAGCTGAGCCATATATGAGTGGGTGAAGCCCATCCATTCACAAGTGGCTGCAGGCTATCAGTCACTTCAGTGTGCCGCTAATTGGTCCCCTTCCTGTCTAATGGGAATGGCAATGAGAGGGAGGGAGGGAGCTCCTCAGCCATTATTTTGCAGCCAAACAAAGGTAAATACTGTATAATTTACTGTATACTGTGAGAGAACAGGATTTTATCTTTAACTCCTTGGACAACTCCTTGGACAACTCCTTGGTGTCCTGTTTGGTTAGTTAACACTGAAGCCCATTAACATCCAAGGCCATTAACATCACTTGCAAAGATTATTATTGCTTCAGGTCAAACAACGTTATTACATGTTATACAGAGTCGGCGGGGCTCCTCTGCTGGTATTTCAGTTAACCTTCGATGCCTCTTAAACCGGACAAAATGGCTGTCTGATGTGTCTGTCTTAACTGGTTTCCACTGTATTTCAATGGCATAAGGCGCTCTATCAATACAAGGATTATTGTCCACTTAAAAATGATCAGTAATTCTAAATTAACTTAGATTTTTTGTATTTTTCTTGTGCAGCTGACAATTTTGTTGGAGCCGTTATAACCTTCTGAAAGAAATTGTGATTCAGGAAATGATACAAAAGAAGCAGCAAACACGTGAACACATGATCACTGATGGAGAAGGTTGGCTGTTCCTAGATTTTCTTTTGTTGCCCAAAAGACAAACTCACCCTCATGAGTCTTGAGACGAATGAAAAACGAAACCTATCACACAACAGATTGACTTCAAGATCCTCACACGTCTACAAATCCCTTCACACCCTGGCACCTCTCTACCTCTCCGACCTGCACCACTCCCCACTCCACCACCTCCCCACTCTATTCAGCTGTCCCAAAAGATTGGATCTCGCTCCTTCAGTACTTCCATCCTTGCCGCCTCATTTTCCCTTTTCAGATCACGTCTGAAGACTTTCCTCTCGACTGTGATTACTGTCACCTCTTACACTCGGCGTCAGGCTCAGCCAGTGCATGACAACAACAACAAAATTATAATTATAAAGCACCTTTCACTTGTAAACGACATCCCAATGCACTGATGACAGCCGCAATCAAAAATACAAGCGGCTTTTGTAAACTCAGATCACTATCATGGAATGTATCAAGACAGCAGAACAAGGCGACATATTGCCTTTCCTATAACACCATTCACATTAGGATGTGCTTTGAGCTATTTCGATTCGAGGTATATGAACTGTTTGAGATAACTTTTTGCCATTGTTGAAATCTGCTTATCTTAGCATTAAAAGATTGAAGGGGAGTTATGGACCATTGGGAGAAAGCATCTAACCAGCAATGTATAATAACATGTATTAATAAAAATTATGTGAGACACCTATTGCCAGTATCTTTATAATCCTTAACAATCCTTGCATTTGATATAGCGCTTTTCAGGTTTTCTAGACGTCTCAAAGCGCTTCACAGAATATACTGCAAAGTGAATTGACCATATTTGTGGGCAAAACTCAGCAGCCAATTGCGCACCACAACAACTTGCACTTATAGTGTGGAAAGTGAGGTAATGTTGTTCATCTTTGGGCAATCGCAAAAGTTATAGAATAAGCAAAGGCAATGAGACAAAACATGTTTTCGCATTTGGTGTAATATTAGCTTTGTTTTGGTTTGCAACTATCAATGTATATGTTATTGTGCTAAGGAACCCGGGACCCATATCTCTTTTCTGAAATAAACAGACATCCAATTTTGGAAAGTGGAACCTGTATAAAAGACAGATGTTGTTTTTATCTGGTGTGCAGTATGGGGAGCAGTATCTTGAAAGAGTTATTGCTACCGCTCTGCACCACATATATGAAATAAAGTGTTTTTTGGATGTTTACCGCACTGACTCCGTTTTGAGTTTTTCAGGTCTTTAAGAGCAATCGCACATCGCAATTTGGATTTTAACAATAGAACGTCCTCCACACAGGGTAGTGTCTCAGAGCGCTTAACAGTAGCGGATCCTGACTCCAAGCCAGGGAAAGGGTGGCCGTAAGGACGGTCGAAGAGGAAAGTCGGGAGAGGTAGGGAAGTGTCAGTGAGTGAATGGGTTTGAATATGAGTGAGGATCTTGAAGGCAATCTGTTCAGTGATGGAGAGCCAATTGAGCCTGGCCAGAATTGGTGAGATGTGGGCATGGAGTTTAGGTCGGGTCAGTATGAAAGCAGCAGAGTTTTGAATGAGCTGGATCTTGTGAATGGTGAAGCTGGGGAGAGCGTCGAGGAGTAATCCAGGCTGGAGGTGACAAACGCATGCACAAGGGTTTCAGCTGCATTTGGAGTAGGTACGGTCAGAGGTGGGCAATATGGCGGAGGTGGTCAGGGACCGGATGTGGGGGAGGAAGGACAGCTGGGAGTCAAGCCGGACGCCTAGGTTGAGCACTGGTTTGGTGAGTCTGAGTGAGAGCCCAGGGAGGTTGAGGAGTTCAGATTCGCAGGAGTGAAGACGTTGATGGGAACCAAGGAGCATGGCTTCCATCTGTCCATATTCAGCTGCAGGAAGTTTACATTCATCCAGGCCTTGATGTCTGCCAGACAAGCTGATAGAACTTTGGTGGACCTGGAGTTGGTACTGGAGGAGGCAAAGTAGATTTGTGTGTCATCCGCATACATGTGGAAGTTTACCCCGTGTCTGCAGATGACATCGCCCAGAGGCAGTATATAGATAAGGAAGAGGCTAAGGATGGAGCCCTGGGGTACCCCGCAGGTAACTGGGCGGTGGAGGGAAGAGAAACCATTTACTGAGGTGAAATGGAGGCGGTTAGTTAAGTAGGACTCAAACCATGCGAGTGCAGTCCCACTAAGGGTAGATGAGGGAGGAGAGCTGATGGAGGAGGATGGCGTGGTCGACTGTGTCGAACGCGGCAGTGAGATCCAGGAGGATGAGGAGGCAGAGGCAGCTCTGGTCACAGATAGAGAGAATGTTGTTTGTGACTTTGACAAGCGCTGTCTCTGTGCTGTGGGCACTCAGAACGAAAACCAGACGGCAGGGGCTCGAGGAGGGTGTGGAGGGAGAGGTGTGACTGAAGTTGACCTGCAACAATGGATTCCAGGACTTTGGCAAGGAAGGGTAGGTTGGAGATGGAACGGTAGTATGAGAGATTAGAGGGATCGAGGGTGGTTTTCTTGAGGAGGAGTGTGATGACAACGGTTTGCAGGGGGAGCGGAACAGAGCCTGAGGAGAGAGACTGGTTGACAGTATCGGAAAACAAATTCCATTTTTTTTAGCTCCTTTCACATTGGGAGGGTGTCTCAAGGCGCTGGACTGTGAAGGGTTTGCACCTGAGCTGAAGATTGGAGTCTAGAGTGATAATGAACAAAAGGGTGGAAAGATGACCAAAGCCATGGTCAAAGAGGAAGGTCTTGAAATACGACTTGAAGGAGGCTAGGGAGAGGGTGAATCGGAGGGGCACTAGGATGAAGTTCCAGGGGATGTCGGGCAGGAAGGTTGAAGGCCTGACCGCCAATGGAGAAGCGGGCTGGCTGGGGGATGTGGAGCAGACCAATGCCCTCTGAGCAGAGGGAATGAGAAAGGTGATAAAAGTTTTATTAGGTAGCAGAAATGGGGAGGAGGAAGACAGTGGAGGGCTTTAAAAGTCAGGACGAAGATCTTGAACGCAATCTTCTGGGGGATGGGGTGCCGCTGAAGCCAGGTGAGGATGGGGGCGGTCAGCTAATGGAGGTTACTGCGAAAGAGTTCTGAATCTGCAACTTGTGGAGGGAAGAGTTGGGAAGCCCTGTGAGCAAAGAGTTGGGAAGTCTTGTGAGCAAGGAGTTAGCATAGTCAAGCTTGGATTGATGAAAGCATACATGTGGGTCTCGACGGCCTGAGGTGAGAAAGAGTGGAGGAGTTGGGGTATGTTGCGGATATGGAGGAGGACAGAACGGGTCAACGGGTACTAACTTATTACTAACAAAATGTGCTTTGGTGAATTAATTAGGAGAACCAATTGTCACTAGGGCACCAGTTTTATGAACCCTAATCCTCAGCGTTTAATACTAAATGGTGAGCAATGTGAGACTGGTAAGTTTAAAGGAGTAGTGGTTTCACCGGCTCTCAAGCGCAAGGTGTATATTCAATCCCACTGTTCTACCTTTTCTGCAGGAAGTCTCTATTCTCCTTATACCTGTCTACGTCCCTCTCAAAACTCCCAAATGGCCTCCAACACCTGACTTGGCAGGGCGTTCCACACCTCAACAACTCTTGTGTGGAAACATTTTGCCTAAGTTTTCCTTTCACTTTTCTACAACAACTTGCATTTATATAGCGCCCCTCAGGCAGAGTAGCGTCCAGTGCGCGTGACAGCGACAGAGCACAGTACCGAGCCAGGGAGTCGTGACGGTAATAATATATAACAATAATCCTTGCCTTTGATATAGCTCCTTATAACGTCTTCGAGACGTCCAAAGCGCTTCTTAGAATATACTGTAAAGTGAATTGACTGTATATTTTGTGGGCGAAACTCGGCAGACGATTGCGCACAGCAGCGTCACACAAACAGTCGTGGATTGAGTAACCAAATTATTATTAATTAATTAATTAATTGTGGAGTCCTGTAGCTCAGTGGTTAGAGCACTCGCTTTGCAAGTGAGAGACCTGAGTTCAATTCCAGGCAGAGGGCCAAACGTTGGGCAAGTTTCCTTACTCCACACAGAGCCTAATAATAATCCCTCCAAAACCAAAAACAATAATAAATTGATCATTTTGAATCTACAACTGTTTGTGGGACATTGCTGTGCGCAATTGGCTGCCGCGTTCGCCCACAAATATACAGTCAATTCACTTTACAGTGTGTTCTGTGAAGCGCTTTGGGATGTCCTAACGACGTGAAAAGCGCTATATCAAATGCAAGGATTATTATTATTATTATCATGGCTGGGGGAGGGCAGGGGGAGTGACCGAAGTCGAAGAAGAGGGTCTTAAGACCCTCTTCTTATTATTATAAGTACGGTGTTATTATTATTATTAGCCAATCGACTAACAACTGGGTTTCTACTTACTGCCAGGTAAACAGAGGCGAGAGGAGTAATAAGGAAACTTGCCCAATGCTTGGCCCTGACCATAAATTGAACCTTCTAAACCACTAAACTATAGGGCTCCTCAAGATTCATATGTTTATCTGTTTTTGAGCCCAATTTACAACCAGGATATTGGGTTTGCAAGCATGTGATTTCTAAGAAATCGAGCTCAATTGACAATCAACAAGTTACAGCAGGGTGCAGCTTCCTTAGTGAATGTGAAAGTATAAGTGAACATTGTGTAGTGTTGCTGTTGGACGCCATCGGGGCAGAAGTGCTGAAACTGTCTCTCTCTTACACACGGACATTAATCTGCTTCTCTCCCCCAACGAGGTGAGCGGGTGGGAAAGGAAAGGGTCACCTGCACGACTGACAGACTCTCAGGTGAATAAAAAGTCACCTTGCCTCTTCCTTTTGAAAAGCACCACAGGACCAGTTACATGGTCAATCTTTTGGTGATTTTTTTTAAACTGGTTATTTTGGGGTTGGTCAACATAATAAATGTTCTTGATTGATTATTTCTTGGATTATGCCATAAATAAACCATAATATTAATCACAAGAAGAGCCTGGAAACACACCATTGATGCTTGTTACGGGGCTGTAGAATAGTGCGGTTGGAAGCCAAGCGAAAAGCATGTGTTGAGATCATTGCATTAGGAGATTCACTTTCGTTCTGGGAAACCACTCGGTAAATGGAAAAATTAATGGATATCCATCACGTTAAGTGCTTTAGGACTCACCATATTAATGGAAAGAACAGACTTTATTCCTCTGGGTTTAAAAGTAATTTTTTATCGTTATTTCAAATCAGTTTTATGGTTTAATCTTCTTTTATTTCAGTTTCTTTAACTTCTCTTGAGTAAAACAGAATGCATTTGGACTTTGTAATCCAACGTGGCAAACTGGTGAGTATTAATTGTTGTGTAATGAATTGCATATTAAGTTTAACTACATAACTAATCTTAAACTATATTTGACCTTTTCTTTTAAGTGAGACATTTAATCCTTTTATTAAGTACGGTGTAATAATAATCCTTGCAATAATAATCCTTGCATTCGATATGGTGCCTTATCACGTCTTCGAGACATCTCAGTGGGCTTCACAGAATATACTGTAAAATGAATTGACTGTATATTTTATGGGCGAAATGCGGCCGCCAATTATGCACAGCAGCGTCCCACAAACAACAACAACAAGATTCCATTTATTGAGCGCCTTTCACGTCGGGAGGACGTCCCGAGGCGCTGTACAGTTAGGTCAGGACCCGAGCATTGGGGGGAAATGGTCAGGGTGAGGGGAGGGAAGGGAGGGAGCGAGGAGGGGGTAGAGAGTCGCGAGGGGAGCTGAAGGCACAGTCAAAGAGAAATGTCTTGAGACCGGCCTTGAAGGAGGAAAGAGAGGAAGCGGCGAAGGCACTGGGGGATAGAGTTCCAGAGCCTCGGGGCTGAGAGGCTGAATGCCCGGCAACCGATGGTAGGGCGGTTGGGGCGGGGGATGTGGAGCAGACCGGAGCCAGAGGAACGGAGGGTACAGGTAGGTAGGGGGATAGTAGGTCGGAGAGGTAGGGGGGAGCAAGGCCGTGAATGGCCTTGTAGGTGAGGGTGAGGATCTTGAATTCGAACAGTCGTGGATTGAGTGACCAAATTATTATTATTTATTTTGGAAAGGATTATTACCCCTGGAAAAGCAATCTGCCAATTGACTAACAACCGGGTTCCTACGTATTGCTAGGTAAACAGAGGCGTGTGGAGTAAGCGAACTTGCCCAACCTTTCGCAACTAGGTCCTCTCACATGAAAATCCTGTTGTGTGAATGTCTGGGTGCAATATCTCAGTGGCCATGTTATAATGAAGTGCAAAAAATCCGCTGATTTCTGAAAAGTCAGGTCACCGCTGACCTTCCTTTCCGCACACTATATGCTTGGGGAGTCCTGTAGCTCAGTGGTTAGAGCACTCACTTTGCAAGTGAGAGACCTGAGTTCAATTCCCGGCAGAGGGCGAAACCTTGGGCAAGTTTCCTTACTCCACACAGAGCCTAATAATAATCCCTCCAAAACCAAAAACAATAATAAATTGGTCATTTTCAATCTACGACTGTCTGTGGGACATTGCTGTGCGCAATTGGCTGCCGCGTTCGCCCACAAATATACAGTCAATTCACTTTACAGTGTGTTCTGTGAAGCGCTTTGGGACGTCCTCCTGACGTGAAAAGCGCTATATCAAATGCAAGGATTATTATTATTATTATATGCAGGAAATGCCGCTGACATTACTTCCTTCACAAAGTGAAATTACACGGTACTTCAAGCGTATGCTCAGAGTATAGGAAGTGACATTAGCAACATGTAATGTGCAGCAATTGACTTTAGTGATAAACTGAAAGTCAGGCATCAGGCATCTTTTGATATGGAAGCTGGCTAGTCAGCTTCTGGTTAACACAGGTCCACATGATCCCAAAACTTTGGAACTTTGCTTTATACCGGCATTCTGCTGCTGTATTTTTGTGTGTAGGAAGAGTGGACAGGCAGAGCGATAGAATGGGGTATCATCCACATATATGTGGAAAATAGTCCCATGCCTGCAGATGATATCACCGAGTGGGAGTATGCAAAATATTAAAGCTGAGAGGATGGTGGAGAAGCTATTGATGGATGCAAAGTGGAGACGAAGGGAAAGATAAGAGTGAAACCAGGCGAGGAAAGAGCCATTGTATATATTTCTATATCAAATTCAATTCAGTGTTTTTTTTCCTCCCCCCCCCACCCAATTTAGATGTTGTGCATCTTCATATTGTTTGACCACTTGCAATTGGTCACCTGTTGTGACGAAGGACAGTATTTTATCCATGGACAGTGCTGCCAAAAGTGCCAAGCGGGTGAGTTCTCACGAATGGTCCTTCTTTCTCAAAACGCTTAATATATTAACAGCATTATTTGTAGCTGTTGAATAGAAAATGTTTGAATTCCCTCAAAGATTAGTGCCCGGATAATTATTGCAAATCAAATATCACAGCCAACTTGCGAAATGTTCAATTCAGAAAGCAGTCTAATGTTGAGGTCTCTCCAATTTTAACTGATTTGCTTAAAACTTCAAAGTTACACATTATTGCGATCTTACGTCAAAACGTGTCAGTCTGACTCAGTTGGTGGTATGCTCACCTCTGAGTTGTGGGTTCAAGGCCCATTTTGGCACCGCACTGCAATGGAGAACTCACAATTCTAGGCTGACACTGCATGTTGGCTGCATTGTTGGAGGTGCCATCCTTCAAATGAGACATTAAATTAATATCCCCTCTGCCTGTTCAGGTTGATGTTAAAGAACCCAATTGGCACTGTTTGAAAAGGGAAGGGAATTTCTCCCATTGTCTTGCGCAACAATCCCTAAACCAAATTGGTCATTCCCTTTTATGGCTGTCTGCGGGACACTGCTGTGTACAAATTGGCTGGAAAGAATATCTCTTACACTTATTTGAAGTCACACTTCAACTATTCTACAGAATTACTATACATGTCGTATCAGTCGGGACCATACATTTAATATGACAACCGAGTTACAGGTAAACTGTATAAAGTTGTGTAAAATTCAATCTAATCAAAAATGTACAATCCACGTGGGGTAAGTGTGCATGCATTAGTTCATTACTGCAGCCTGTGAGTGCACAGGCGGTGACGGGTCAAAACTACGTCTCCCGCAATTCAGTGTGTCTTGACTTGTCATTGCATGTGCACTTACTGGCAAGATTGGAATCGCGGGAAATGAAGTAAGCGTTAGAGTAATGGAGAATAGGGGAGCGGTGTTATGAGTTATGAGGCGACTAATACGACTATTGCAAAGCAATCTAAATGGTTTTGATAGGAAACTGAATGGGACTCGGGTGAATATATGACTTAGGCGATAAGACCTATGCGAGGTTTACAGTGTAGCACAAAATATCAGGAAGCAGAGTGTGAGATAATGTCAGGGAGTCTAATTTTAGGATTCAGTCTCTGCTACAAACTGTTCTCCATTCACCCGTGTGTTCTGTGTTATTCTCTACTATGTGTTATTGTGTAATAGTTCTCATGTGAGCTGCAGTTTGTAGCAGCTTGAAATGTTTTCCAGTGAAGTGTTTCGTGGGTAAGAGTTACGGGATGAGACCAGTATTGCTAACTTTGGCTAATATATTGTTTTTATATTTCAGGAAGTCGAGTGATGGAGCATTGCAAAGAGGGATCTTACTCTAAATGTATAACATGCACTCAAGGTGAATACATTTCGCATCCCAGTGGGCTGGAGAAATGTCTGAAGTGCGACACTTGTGATTCAGGTAAATATTATACTGTAATTTCATGACAACCTCTGTCAGGAATGGTTATTAACAAACAAAACTAATTCAAACTTCTCAGTCACAACTCTTGCTTCCATTGGTAGCAAGGACCATTGGAGTCCTGTAGCTCAGTGGTTAGAGCACTCGCTTTGCAAGTGAGAGACCTGAGTTCAATTCCAGACAGAGGGCGAAACCTTGGGCAAGTTTCCTTACTCCACACAGAGCCTAATAATAATTCCTCCAAAAAAAAACCCAAACAATAATAAATTGGTCATTTTCAATCTACGACTCTTTGTGGGACATTGCTGTGTGCAATTGGCTGCCGCGTTCGCCCACAAATATACAGTCAATTCAGTGTGTTCTGTGAAGCGCTTTGGGACGTCCTCCCAATGTGAAAAGCGCTATATCAAATGCAAGGATTATTATTATAGTAGTAGATCTGCTCTATTTATGTTTTTCAGATATCTGTGCACTCTATCATTGCCGAGCTTTAAGTTTTAAGTTATCAAGTTTGTAAACTTTAATGATAGTAATCCTTGTATTTCATATAGCGCCTCTAATATTGAAACATTATAGGAGTTATATCAAACAAATTGGTCTTTCTCCGCTTTGCTATTTGTGGGACATTTCTGTGTACAAATTGGCTATTGCATTCACCTACAGAATACATTCATTCCACTTGGCAGTGTATCCTATAAAGCGGTTTAAGACATCCTCCAAATGTTTAAGGAGCTGTATCAAACACAGCTCAGGAAGGTTGAGTAGGAACAGTAACTGAAACATGATTGTCGTGTTTCTAGCTGAGAGTCTCACTTTGTAATCCCCAATTATACAGGGCACTTGATAAAGCCTGTAATAGTTTGTATAGTTTTAAACATGCAGTCCAAACACAGGAGCCGGGAACAAAATGGGTATTGATGAAAGGTTAGTAGAGCATTGTAGTTTCTTGGAGTTATAGTTAGTCTGTGTGGATACAATAGAGAAAAATCAATTAAATTCTGTCTTTTCCCTGGTCCCTTGTGCTGTCAAGACACTTTCAGGGAGAAAACTTTGTTTACCATTCCTGAAATAATTATTATTTCTTCATATCATAGGCTTTTATTTTAGTGTCTATAAACAGCTTTGATTGCACGTAGGATAAATTCGCTTTGAAAGAGTTGCTGCTTCCTACATTGTTTATACCTGCAACAATGAACCTTCAGGTTTTCATCATTCCCAAACTATAGTAACTTGAAGTAGGTCAGACTGATTCACTGAATCCCATGATTTTTTATTTCTAGGGATGGGACTTATCACTGCACAAGAATGTTACAACATCCAAAATTCTATTTGCCATTGCAAAGAGGGTTATTTCTGTGTGCAAAGAGAAGAGAGTGGATGTAAGACATGCAGAAAGCATAGCCTGTGTCCTGTCGGTGAAAGAGTTAAACAAAAAGGTAAGGTGCTAGTTCAAGTTTTACTGTGAATCCGCTCGACTGCTCCAGCCTCCTGCATGTCCCTCATGCCCTCCGTTCCCTCCGTGGCCGTGCTTTAAGCCACTCCTCCCCTATTCTTCTGCTTTGCCCTACTCTGAAGCCAGAAGACTTACCTCTTCGATCTATGGTCACCTCCTCCCAGCTCGCGGGTTGTGCTCCACCACTGTCAAACGCTCTGGGACGCTGCCCTGCGTGAGGGGCCCTATATAAATGCAAGTTGTTGTACGTTTCTGTAATCTTAGGAATTGGTTTCATGTTTAGTGTAGTGATATAGTGAAACCTTGTTATAACATGGTGATCGCGATTCATCAATATACTTAAAGACTCCTTCACAGGGCAAACTTAGCTGAGTTAAGATTCTCCAATATTCTGTGGTTGTACATGTTTTTTCAGAAACAATCTGGGAAGACGCTGTGTGTGAGAAGTGTCCTCATGGAACATATTCAGATACAGTTTCTACTGAACAGTGTAAGCCATGGACTAAGTAAGTACTTTATAAGGAATCTAAATTAATCACATGGGAAATGGGAACCACGAAACAGGAGTTGTGGCTCAGTACAGATGCTGTACAACTCTCAGATTCAGGTGTTTCTGAATATTCCCCAAAATTACAACATACGTAATTTTCCCAGGGAAAATCATAGATTGGTTAAATTCCTGTTGAATCTGATGTTAATCATAATCTATTTAGTCCCAAGGTACCAAAAGTGAGTCTAACTCAAACTGTTGTGGTGTTAGAAACATTTCAATAACAATTATTTCTTAAGTGTGGGTATAATGTATAGATTTTTGTACGAATTAATTATTCTGCTTTTCCCCAGATGTGAAGAATTGAACAAACTTGAGGTTAGACCAGGAAACCCTTCCATGGATGCAGAGTGTAAAGAGAAGATGAACATAGCACTTATAGTATTGTCTATTGTAATACCTGTAGTGATTGTAGTGATTGGTGTTGGAATTTTGTGGTGGAAGAGACGAGCTGTGAGAAAGTGTACAGGTTTGTGGCTTTAATACTATTGTTTTCTGAACCAACACATTTTTATTCTTTGTTTTGTATCAGTCAAATCAGAAATATTCTTCTTCCTTAGATGGGTATTGGACTCACACGGATGCTGCCCAGACCATAAAATATTGTCAACCAAGTGACGCACATGAGCCGCACATGGCAGCGTCAGGAACTGAAGGTCAGTAAAAGGACCTCTTTGCCGTCCCTTCAGCTCGAGGGGGATTTCCTGACACACTGCAACGCATTGAGCTTCGGGGAGGAACAATATCAGCCGTTACTGAGTCTTGTCAGGAAGCCCCTCCCCAGCTGAGAGGAGAGGAACTGAGAGAGTGTGTGAGAGAGGGAGGGGGAGAGAGTGTTTGTGTGAGAGAGAGCGTGAGGGAGAGAGAGAGAAACAACCACTTGCATTTATATAGCGGTCCTCACACGGAGTAACATCCCGGAGTGCTTGACAGTGGGGGAATCTGACACCGAGCCGGGGTAGAGGGAGGGGGGAGGTGACCATAAGCACGATCAAAAAGCAAAGTCTTTTCTAGGCGGGATTTGAAAGTGGGGAGGAGGGGGCAAGTCGGAGGGGGGGGGGGGGTGTTGAGAGAGGGAGTTCCAGAGTTTCGTAGCCTATTGGTGAAGCCACAGCCACTGATGGTGGAGGGGACGAAGGACAAACGAGGCTGGAGCCGGCCGAGCGGAGGCAGCAAGTGGGGGGGTGGTGGGTAAGCAAATTCGAGAGGGGGGAGGTGCGAGGCAATGAAGGAATTTGAAAACGAATGAGAGGATCTTGAAATCCGTTTGGGAATTGGGAGCCCGTGGAGCCTGGCAAGGACTGGGGTGATGGGAGTAGAGAGTTTTGTGCTGGTGAGTATCCAGGTGGCGGAGTTTTGAATTAATAAACAGAAAGGGAGGGAGAGGTGAGAGAGGGATTCCGAGAGAGAGACTGAGAGAGTGTAGGAGAAAGGGTGATAGAGTGAGTGCGAAAGGGAGTGAGATAGAGAGAGAGGGGGAGGGAAGAGGTGATTGAGAGAGAGTGGGAGAGAGAGGAAGTAAGGGTAGCGTTTCATGGTTCACTGTTGGGACAGATGATCAGAGTCTCCCTCGGCTGCCGTGGTGGGGGGACTGCGGACAGCAAGCTCCCCCTAAACCCCAGGAGAAACTCCTCTCTGTGATCTCCTGCCCCGGCTGTTCCCTTTGCTCAGCAAACACCAGTTTGCTAACATATCTAACATATCTCCTTAACTTCCTTTCAATGATTTGCTGAACTTTTTTTTGTTACTGACTCCGATAGCTTTGTTTTTCTTGTATTATCATAACATTGGCATAATAGCCCAAAGACATGGAAACTGTAATTAATTAGTACATGTTCTTTCTATTAACTGACCTATATTTTTCTTGCAGCAAAAGATGTTGACAAAATACAATTAGGAAACAATCAGGAAGAGGTAAGTTAAATGTTACTATCTTTATGTAGCACTATGTGTAATGTGTTGTCTAAAATCTGGAGTTAAAAATTATAAAGATAAAATAGTGACATCATTCTGCATTCCAATGCCATGAGATATTTCAAAGGCCTAAGGTGCTATGTCAAATGAAAGGATTGTTATCCACATAAAAATGATCAGTAATTCTAGATTAACTTAATTAATTCCTTATTTTTCTTCTGCAGGAGAATGTGATGTTGTCGATATCAATCTCTAATGAACGTCGTGATTCATGAATTGGTAATACAGGAACCAGTCATAGGACTAAACCAGGAAATATTGAAGAAGGAGCAGCAAACACATGAACTACATGATCACTCATGAAGAGGGTTGGGTGTTCTTGGATTGAATTTTGTCAAACTTCAGACAAGCTCAGGGGATTTGAAAACAAGTGTGTGGGGATCTTACAACCCTGAATCCTTTTAAACAGAAAACGAGAGAAACTTCCACATTTCTTCTTATAATAATAGTAATAAAACTTTAATTTGATATCACGTCAGTGAGTCAACAACGCATTTCACGTCAGGACGACGTCCCAAGGCACTGGACAGCCAGGGATTTGGACCCGAGCAGGTGGCTGGGATCAGGAGAGGTGAAGGGTAGAAGTAGGAAAGTGACCAAAGATGCGGTCAAAGAGTAGGCTCTTGAGACGGGCCATGAAGGAGGCAAGGGAGCGGGCCAGACGAAGGGACTGTTGGATGGAGTTCCAAAGGTAGGGACTGGGAGGCTGAAGGTCCGATGGTGAGGAGTGTCAGGCGGGGGATGTGGAGCAGGTCAGAGCCCACTGAGCAGAGGGAATGGTATGTTGCGGAGGTGGGGAATGGCAGATCGGGTCATGGCACCGGTGATGAATGGCACAACCAAACAGGTTTCAAAACAGATCAGTTTTATTAGAATACAAACTCTTACAAATTTTCTCTCTTCCTCTCAATCACTCTTCCCTCTCTCTCAATTATTCTCTCCCTCCCGTGGTCCTCAATCACTCTCTTCCCCTCACCCCCCTCCTCTGTTTCTCTAATGCATTCAATACAATACAATAAATACATTTAAATTTAAGTGGATTTAATAGGAAATTCGACAGGACGTGGGGAGCTGTACGACTTAAGCAATGTGTATAATTTATACAGATCAGACTTATGGGAGGTTTTACTGTATTTTTCTAGATACCAATTTTCAATGAGTGCATTATATATTTCAAAATATGTACATTTGAGCGCTTTAAAATCCCTTTTAAAAGAAGCAATATGCATTGTTATACCTGATCATGTGAAGCAACTGATTTTCTGTCAAGTTCAATCATTTTGCACACAGCAAGTTCCCACAAACAGATCTGCTCAATTTTTCAACACAATCCGCGCACTTCAACCAGTGTCTGCATTAAAGGATTAAGGAGGAGTTGTGGACAATGTTGATGAGAGAAAGCATCTAACCAACAATGTATCAATGTGTTTGAGTGAAAAATATTTGAGTCAGTTATTGTTAGTGTCTGTCAATATTGGAAACTCAATGAATGTAAATAAAACAATGTTTTGGATATAGATTTGTGTAAAAGGAGATTTAAAGAATGAGAGACTGAGAAAGTAATGGTGAGGAGAATAACTAAATTTACATTGGATCTGAAACTCACCGAATGTGGTAAGCAAGTCAGAAAATTAATTTACTTAATTTTCAAATGGTCTGAATACCCTTTAGGCTTATTGATTTATCCTGTTCACAAGATACAATCATAGAAATTTGCAGCACCGAAGGAGGCCATTCAGCCCATCGAGTCTGCACCAGCTCTCAGGGCAAGTTGTTCATTCAATCCCACTGCCCTGCCCTAACCCCACAACGCTTCAATCCTCTATCCTTCATATACCGCTACCACCTTACTTGGCCGGGCATTCCATACCCCAACAACTCTGTGTGAAAATAAATCTCCTAAACTCTCCTTACGCTCTCCCTGTGACTATCATAACTACAGCGGCCAATGGTCACCGACTCCCCTTCCAGTGGAAAAAGCTTCTCCCTATTTTCCCTGTCAAAACCCTGTCATAATTTTGTACGCCTCTATTAGGTCCCCTCAACATTTCGCTGCTCCAATGGAAATAGACCCAACTTCTCCAACCTCATATCTAAAGCTCTTCATCCCTGGTATTATTTTAAACAATAATATAGCATAAGCTTTGTCCCCCGGTCAAAGCTTCAACGACTTTCCTGTCGCGAGGCGCTTAAAACTCCAGTTGCTTTGTATAGACTTAGCGTCATTTGCTTTGTTTTGTGCTGTACGTCCCTATGTATAAAACCCAGAGTACTATTTAGCTTTTTGTTTTCAACCACAGCCCTTTCCGGTTGTGTTGCCGCTTCCAAAGACTTGTGGCGCTGTCCTCCCGAGTCCCTTTGGTCTCTCCAAGACGCCGCCATTCAGTATATAATCCCCTCGTTGTTTCTACCGCTACCCCCGACCCTCTGGAACCCCCTCCTCACCCATCTTCAGATTATACCTCCCTCTTTAACCGTGGGCTGTGGTCAACCCCACTCCTCTCTCTCTCTCTCTACACCCAAACCCGCGCCGTTCGGGGTCAAACGCGGCTGCTATTGAACGCTCGGAGACGCCACCCGGTGCGAAAGGTGCCGCGGCGACGTAAGTTGTTGCAGTGGACGTACCTTACTCCACACGCGCCTCTGGTTGCCCGGCAGTCAGTGGGAACCCCAGTTGGTCGTTGAGTCCTGTAGCTCAGTGGTTAGAGCACTCGCTTTGCAAGTGAGAGACCTGAGTTCAATTCCAGGCAGAGGGCGAAACCTCGGGCAAGTTTCCTTACTCCACACAGAGCCTAATAATAATCCCTCCAAAACCAAACACAATAATAAATTGGTCATTTTCAATCTACGACTGTTTGTGGGACATTGCTGTGCGCAATTGGCTGCCGCGTTCGCCCACAAATATACAGTCAATTCACTTTACAGTGTGTTCTGTGAAGCGCTTTGGGACGTCCTCCCGACGTGAAAAGCGCTATATCAAATGCGAGGATTATTATTATTATTATCATTGGCGGATGGCTTTCCGGGGGGCAATAATCCCTGCGAAAAAAATAAAAAATTAGAAGCGGTCACTCTATCCGCAGCCGTTTGCGGGCCGGTCACCATCGCTTTATAGCGTTACCTGCGAAGCGCTTTGGTAGTAATAATAATAATATGGCAATAATAATAATTTGGTCACTCAGTCCGCGGTTGCCGGGGTTTCGCCCGCAAAATAAACGCTTGACCGCGGGTTCCTGCGGAGCGCGTCTGAGGCGTCTGGAGGAGGTGATCAGGTCCCCCGTGTCAATGGCGAGGATTGTTATGGTTAAGTGGCGTTAGTGTCGGGATCGGCACTGAGAGGGGACTCGGCCCCTCAGAGCCCGTGAGCAACGGTCACCGGGCGGCCGTTGACGTTTGAATTCGAATTTTTGGCGCGCGGAGTCGGGCGCCCCTGAGGCGCGGACGGCAGCCGACGCACGTGGCACCGGTGGGGGGCTCCCTCCCTCCCTCCCTCCATCCCTCACACACACACAGACTGACTGACTGAGAGAGAGAGAGAGGGAGAGGGATAGAGGCGGCGTCGTCGTCGTCGATTCCAGCGAGAGGCTTAAATCGAGCCCGAGGCTTCCCGGTGGTTTGGAGGCCCCGCCGCTCTCCCTCGGGCTGGACGCACGCACGACCGACCGCTGGTGAGTGATTCCCTGCGGGAGATGATCATCGTCAAGTTCCCCCCCCACCCCTCAGCTCAGCTTCTCCGGCCTCTCGGTGCCCCCCCCCCCCCCCGGCCATCCACACGCGGGCACACACACGCGCGGCCCCGGGGTTGGGATTCCTATCTTAACTCTATTTGTAGCCCAAACTCAACCAAAACACTCGCCCCCCCCAAAAAGTAGCCCAAAGTCAACCCAACACTAGCCCAAAAAAATAGCCCAAAGCCAACCAAACGCCAGCTCCCGAAAAGTAGCCCAAAGTCAACTAACACTAGCCCAAAAAAGTAGCCCAAAGCCAACCAAACGCCAGCTCCCAAAAGTAGCCCAAAGTCAACCAAACTAGCCCCAAAAAGTAGCCCAAAGTCAACCAAACACTCGCCCAAAAAAAGTAGCCCAAACGCCAGCTCCCAAAAAGTAGCCCAAAGCCAACCAAACGCCAGCCCCCAAAACATGTCCCAATATTGTATTATGATAAATATTATTATTATTGTATTATGCTGTGCGCACTTGGCTGCCATGTTTCGCCCACAAAATACACAGTGGATTCGCTTTCCGGTGCATCCTGTGAAGCGCTTTGAGACATCTCGAAGACGTGACGGCGCTATTGCAAATGCAAGGATTATTATTCGTGTCATACTTGTAGTGAGTAGGAACCTAGTCGCTTTCCAAGGGTAATAATTCCTCCGTGTAAAAAAAATGCGGTCACTCAATCCACGATTGTTTGTGGGACGCTGCTGTGCGAAATTGGATGCTGCGTTTTCGCCTACAAAATACACAGTCAATCCACTTTACAGTATATTCTGTGAAGCTCTTTGAGACGTCTCAACGATCCGATAAGGAACTATATCAAATGCAAGGATTATTATTATAATGCGTAGCCACTATTTTTTAAAGAGCTTTGCGATGCACACAATCATTTTGAGAAGGTGACCTTGCCCTACTCTGCCATATTTAAGATCTTGTTCTCTCAGTTATTTTTTGATTACCATTAAGAACAGTTCATTCTGTTCCTTCCCATAAGGAGAAAAAACTCATTTTGCCATTTATGGGTTATGTACTTTTCATTTAGTCCAGTGTATTTTCTACAATCTACAACCAGTTTAACTTTTTTGAAACATTTTTGTTTTATTAATTCATTAGAACCTAACTAGTACTTGGCATATCTCACTCTTTGCCAATAGCACTTAGTTAAGTCCAGGTTGGCACCTCTTTATTGTTCAATGGCATATATTGACATTCTTGACTGAATGACCGAACCATCAAACGTCTTATTAATCTCCTTCTGCGCTTCCTCTTCCCCTACTGCATGGGAGTGGAGTTGAGATTTAGAGTTGATGTACAGATCAGCCATGATCTAACAGAATGGCAGAGCAGTCTCAAGGGGCTGAATGGTTTCTATGTTCCTAGTCTTGCCTACATTGAGAACAAAAAGTCTCAGAGAACTTTAATGAGCTGAAAAAAACTAATAACTCATTGCTAACAAACTGAGCGCGGGCGAATGAATTATGATACCTATTTGTCCCACTGGGGAACCAGTTCTTTGAACTCTAATGTGGAATGATACTTAAAGTTGATGTTACTGATGTTTTCAAAGAAGACTGATTTGAAATTGTTTTTCTTTGTTTCAGAATCTAAAGAATCACAATTCTGAGCATGTCTGAAGAATGAATCCTCATCCTTTAGTACTAATTGGTGGGCAATATGTCAGACTGGTAAGTTTAAAGAACCAGTGGGTGTAGTAGTTTGGGTTTGTCATGCATCATGTGCAAACGCAGTGCTAACCATGGATTGGAGTGTGGGGGGAAAGAAAGAGGCGTTGGTAGGTATTAATGAGCTTCAGGGGAGCAGACCTGTCACTGGGGACGAAATCCTCCCACTCAGCTCCTGTTAACCCTGCAACTCCTGTTAACCCTAATGGGTAGGGTGGTCCTAGCTCGACAAGCAGTGGAAAAGCTTGCCAGACAGCAATATCAATGGCAAGCTATGTGGTTTTAGTTGCTTAGATTCCAGCAGTTACCCCAACGCACACTCTGGGCTCCCCAAGCCTTGACTCTTGCCAACCTGCACATAATACGTTCCGAATGCAGGAGCTTACCTCCAGGGAGAAAGTGGGTATTCCATTCCAACAATCTATCTCTGGGATTACCATTTGTAGGTGGGATGCATGGATATTTCAGCTTGGTATGGATACTCTTAGGCATGGTGATGGGTCACCTGGTTGACCAAAAAAAATATAGGGGAGCAGGCTTAAGGGGCCAAAAACCCTTTCTTAAATGTCAGATTTTCTTTTGATCATTGGCGAAGAGCAGCATTCATGCAACAGGAAAATTCTGCAACTCATCCTGGCCCACCTTTGTATCATGAGAACATAAACTCAGCTGAATGCTTCATAGAATTTTACAGCACAGAGGAGGCAATTCGGCCCATGGTGTCTGTGTGCCTGTACCTGGGGGGAATAAATTCAATTTTTTTTTAAAAAAAGCAAGAGAAGCCAAAAAAAACTGTAAAGATAAGTGAAGAATTTTTTTTATTTCAATTTAGATTTGCTGTCTTCTTTTAACAATTCCTCATCTACAAAAGGTGACCTGCTGTAAGGAAAATGAGTATTTATTTCAAGGTCGCTGCTGTGCTCTTTGTCTTCCAGGTGAGGTTTAAGTCGGGCACAATTCTGAAGTAATATCTTAAGATTGGTAATGTTATAAGTATTGTAATAATAATCCTCGCATTTGATATAGGACATTATCACATCAGTGAGATATCTCAAAGCACTTCACAGGATATATTGTAAATACAATTCCATTCATCTTTTTGATATGATTTCTTCTGAGACCATTTTCATGTGAGATTTAAAGAGGGGGAGTTATGTACGTCTAATAGAATAATTATTGTATGTTAACGGATTGGTGTGCCTGACGTGAATCTGGTTGTTCATAAACATTAACAATGCAACCAAAAATTCACTCTGTAAAAAAAAGTTCTGCAAAAGTGCCAGCGAAGCCTATTAAGATGACTGTGTTCTGGTGATTCTGACTGTTCTGATGGTCGATTCTCACTTCAACTGTCCCTCATTGATGGCTGAGTCTTCAGGCATTATAACCGCCTTATTTAAAATTTCTTCACAATATCTGTTTTCTTTCATCTCTTTCCCAGCCTTCCTTCCCAACCTTCAGATCGAGTCTGAAGACCTTCCTCTTCGACCGTGTCTACACCCCCCCACCCAGCTCAGCATATGCTCTGACACTGTTAAGCACTCTGTGACGCTTCCCTACATGAGGGGCGCTATATAAATATAAGTTGTTATTGTTGCAAGATAAAAGCCATACACGATTTGGTGCTTGCCTTGTTATAAGGCTCCATGCATTACCTGTACATTTTTACATGGGTGGAAGCAGGGTTAAACACTTTTTAACGTCATTTTTACATGATGAATCTCCCTAAAGTGCAGTTGCTGTTTTTACATTTAGACATTGCAGGTTTCCATTATTTTGTCCTGTCCTGGAGATGCATCTGAACATCAGGCAACTTATACTCAGGCCTTTTTCTTTTACTCACACGGTTTCACTACATTTCTTAGGTAGCAGTTGATTGAGGAAGAATGCCGCCAGAAAGGCTTTGCACACTCAGGGGCAGTGGTTCAATGTCAAAAAAAGGTTCACATAAGATCAGCCCTGTGAAATTTATCTCTTTTTCATTGCAGATTGCCAGCTGAAATGAGCAGCTTCATGGTGCCTGTGTGTGCATTTCTTTACACTTATCCAATAAACTATTGGGTTTCATAGATCATCTATGAGGAGCTGAATGGCCTACTTCAGTTCCTATGTTCCTATGTCTGCGTTTTGTCCACAAAATACACAGATCAATCGACTTTAAATATATTCTGTGAAGTTCATTGAGACGTCTCAAAGATGTGATAATGGCTGTGCTTAGAGACAGATTAAGCAGTTCCTTATATTGTGACGTGTGTATTTTTAACCTGTCTTCCCACTTTTATAAAACTCAGGTTCCATTTCCCACAATTTGACTCCATTTCTCTCTGTGTTTCAGCGCCTTAGGACGTCCTCCCACCATGAAAGGCGCTGTACGAATGTAATTTGGTGGTGTTATTGTTGTTGTCGATGCGTTTATAAGGTTCAATTCCACAGAGACATATTTTGGGAGAGGGAGGGAACTGAGGGCCAGATCGATTTTGTGATTTCCTCCATATGTATCAATATATATAAAAAATATATTAATATCAATATATCAAAATATTTGATCATTATTTTCACAGGCCACCGAGTGTTAAGACACTGTACAAACTTCTTTCCAACCTTATGTGGGCGATGTGCTGGTGGGACGTACACTGAAAGCTCTAATCAATTACCAACATGTCACAAATGTCAACTTTGCAATCCAGGTAATGATATTAATATTACTTTTAATATCTTTCTCGAAACTTAAGTGTTTTTTCCAACAACAGACATCAAACAGAATTGAGCAAAAAGAATTTCTTTAAGGTCCCATGGAGGTTGGAAAAGAAAATTGAGAGAGGCCCTCAGAGGGATGAAAAAAAAGAAGGAAGGTAAAGAGTGGAATACAGAAAAACAATTCCTTTAAGCTTCAGGTATTCACTGCTGCTGAGCACAGTCAGCAACTGATGAATAAAAACAAATAATCTTTATGTTCGATATAGTGCCTTTCATGTTGGACAATGTCTCAAAGCGCTTCACAGTATATACCGTTGTGTAGTGACTGTATGTTTTGTAGGTAAACTGACCAGAATCTCCTCAAACAGCCGGTTACCATTTTCTTAAAACTTAAACCAGTTTTCTTAAAACCGTGCACATAATAACAATAATAATAATAATTAATAATAATAATCCTTGCATTTGATATAGCGCTTTTCACGTCGGGAGGACCTCCCAAAGCGCTTCACAGAACACACTGTAAAGTGAATTGACTATATTTGTGGGCGAACGCAGCAGCCAATTGTCCCACAAACAGTCGTAGATTGAATATGACCAATTTATTATTGTTTGGTTTTGGAGGGATTATTATTAGGCTCTGTGTGGAGTAAGGAAACTTGCCCAAGGTTTGGCCCTCTGCCTGGAATTGAACTCAGGTCTCTGGCTTGCAAAGCGAGTGCTCTAACCGCTGAAGGGAGAAGGGAGGGGAAGGGGGGTGACCGATGGCATGGTCGAAGACGAGGGTTTTGAGGCGGGACCTGAAGGAGGATAAGGAGGGGGCGAGGCGGAGTGATTGGGGGAGGGAATTCCAGAGGTTGGGGGCAGAGTGGCTGAAGGCTCTCCTGCCAATGGTGGGGCGGGTGGGTCAGGGGACGTGGAGCAGGCCAGAGCCGACTGAGCGGAGGGAGCGGGCGGGTTAGTAGTGGGTTAAGAGGTCGCAGAGGTAGGGTGGGGCGAGGGCCATGGAGGGCTTTGTAGGTGAGGACCAGGATCTTGAACTGGATCCTCTGAAGAATAGGGAGCCAATGGAGTCGAGCGAGAATGGGGGAGATGGTATTTGGTGCGGGAGAGGACACGGGCTGCAGAGTTCTGGACTATCTGCAGCCTGTGGAGGGAGGAGTTGGGAAGGCCGACAAGCAGGGCGTTTGAATAGTTTAGCCTGGAGGTGACAAAGGCATGAACAAGAGTTTCAGTGGCCTGAGCATGAGGTAGTGGTGGAGTTGGGCGATGTTACGGATGTGAGGGAAGGCAGAGCGGGTCATGGCTTGGATGTGGCGGAAGAGAAGACAGTTGAGAGTCGAACAAGATACCTGGGTTCCTGACTGGCTGGTGAGTTGTAGTGTGCAACCATGGAGGTTGATGCTGCCATAGCCTGAGGTGCTGAGGTGCTGGCGAGAGCCAATCAGGAGGGCCTCAGTCTTGTTCACATTCAACTGTAGGAAGTTTGCCCTCATCCAGGACTTGATGTCCGACAGACAGTCTGTCAGGGCAGCAGTGATCCTGGAGTTGAGGGTGGAGGCAGAAAAATAGAGTTGGGTGTCATCCGCATACATGTGGAAGTTGACCCCATGTCTGTGAATGATGTCACGAGGGGGAGCATGTAGATATTAAAGAGGAGACAAGGACAGAGCCCTGGGGGACGCCAGACGTGACAGTGCGGGAGCTGGAGGAGAAACCGTTAGAGGCAACAAAGTGGAGACGGTGAGAGAGATAGGAATCAAACCAGAGAAGGGCAGGTCCACGAAGATTAAGTAAAGAGGAGAGGCGATGTATGAGGATGGAGTGGTCAACAGTGTTGAAGGTGGCAGAGAGGTCGAGGAGGACAAGGAGGCAGAGGGAGCCCTGATCGCAGATGTTCAGAATGTCATTAGTGACTTTGACCAGGGCTGTTTCCGCGCGGAAGCCGGATTGGAGGGGTTCAAAGAGGGAATGGTGAGAAAGAAAGGAGCGGAGCTGGGACGCAACGACTCGTTCCAAGACCTTGGAGAGGAATGGGAGGTTAGAGATATATATGGCATCTTTTCACCCTGAAACATCTCAAAGCACTTCACTGGCGGCTCGTCAGGTGAGGCAAGTGTGTCTCACCTGGAGGGAGCCATTGGAGTAAGGGAGTACCGGCTCGGGAACCAAGGGTATATTGGCACAGGAGCCACTGGAACAAAGCCAGCATGAGAGAAGCCAAGACATTGCCTATGCATAAAATGCCTGTTGCCATGTAACAAGATAGCTTGGCGAGATAAACTCAGATCGCCTTTTCCACCAACGCAGCACTTTCCAACATTGCAATACAGTATCAGCCTAGACTGAGTTGAACGTCCTAGCATGGGACTTGAACCCCAACACAACCTTCCATCTCAGTGATGAGAGCCAGCCCTTGAATTCACTCAAACTTCATGTTGTTTCTCATTTGTAGTAACTGGATTTCGGACTGTAAAGAAATGCATCCACACACACAACTCTGTGTGTACTTGCAAAATAGCATACTTCTGCAAAGAGAAAACACCCGATGGCTGTCTTCGGTGTAAGAAACACTATGCTTGCCCTCCAGGCGAAGGGGTTAAAGAACAAGGTATAATGCTAGTTTGTCATAAGTTTTATAGGCAAATAAGAGTCTGTTGATTATTGAAGTAATGATTATTGAAAGTAATACATGCTTCATTGTGCTCTTGTATTACGTCTTGAGAGTTTTAGCTTTTAGACCAGATTATTTTGGGAAACATTACAATAGAAAGCATGTGCTTCCTTTGAAAGGTCCAAAGGGAGGAACTCAATTATGGGTGGAGGGAGGGTCAACCTCAAACTATTCGGCCTTGTTTCCTCTGTCGGTCTCTACTTTTGTTCTTTGTCTTTGCACTCTCTTTACTTGTTCTCCTCCTTGCTTTCTCTTTTGTTTTGTATTCACTCTTTACCTTCCTCCTTTTCTTTCCTTTTATCCCTCTGAGGGCCTCTCTCCATTTGCTTTTCCAACCTCCACGGGTCATTAAAACAAAGAAACCCAGTGTGGGACCGACATGACTGAATATTTGATCTTGGAGGCTAAGGTGACATTTAGGTGTGAAGAATGGGGAGAAACTGCTTCCTCGGAGAATGTCTGAAGAACCAAATGTGCAAGACTCTTCATACCCAGTGTTCACTTTAAAGGTAACTCCATCAAATAATGTCCAACCAAACACTTTTTGATACCCAATCTTTTTAGTTTGCTATCACAGGACAATCAATATTTTACGATAGAAATCTCTTTCAACTCACTGGTACATTCCCAACTCAAATTCACCGATCTGAAACTCTTGAAACGCTGCATTACCAACAACAACTTGCATTTATACAGTGCACCTCAGGCAGGGTAGCGACACGGAGCACTTTGTTAAGCATGTTGTGATCACAGGTTGTAGACCAGCCAGCAGACATTTTCGTGACAATTTATTGTGTCCGGAAGTTGACATCAAATGTACCAATTGGCTGGCTAATGGGGAATTCCTGGAAAGTGGAATCCATTTTTACGTTGACTTCCTGTCATCTTTTAGTGTCTTTGTCTACACCTACCAATGTCATTCGGTGATATCATGACTTATTGTATTTTAAGTTGTAGGTCTGGCTAAAATACATTTGTAACTTTTCTCTTTAGTTTTACTCAGTGTGTAGTAGCGATGAATAATTAATTGTATTGATTTTGAAGTTCAGACATGAGAAATTCCACCTAGGTTTATCTAGATTTACTCTATTTGTGAAGTATTTTAGAGCATCCAGAAGTGATTCTCAACCAGTGAGAAGGATCAACTAATCCAGCTAGCTTCAATGTGACTCAAACAATATTGGGCTTTTAGGGTGTTGTAACAGAGATGTTATTCTTGAAACATCACTAAAAGGACCATAGAAGGTCCAGCCCATGAGTTCAATCCATCAATTTTATACTGATGTTAGCACGTCCACTGGAGCTAGCTATTCTAATCCCTACTCTAATCCCAATTCTCAGCATATTTCATTGTATCTCTTCAAATAAATATTCTATGTTGTTACAATCTAGGCTTCAAAATCACACGTGGCAGGGCAATCTGTATTCTGTTAAGACTCGTTTGGAAGAGAGTCTTCTAATCTCCCTTTACCTCTTCCAGTAACTCTTGCAGAGACAATACTGAAGATCTCTATTAGATCTCCTCTCAACGCTTCCTGTTCCGGTAAAACAGACCCAATGTTTTGAAGCTATCTGGTTCTGACTCTTCTAAGTCAATGTGGACGTGCAATGTACCCATTCTGTGTCTCTGATGTTCCCAGTGGTACAAACTATGCTAAAAGTTGTAATGCACTCATTTTCTGATATTTGAAATATTGTTATATCTGCCTTTCAGGGACACTTCTGTCTGATACTGTGTGTCATATGTGTGTTAATGGAACCTTTTCATGGAGATATTCAACTCACGAGCCATGTGTAAAATGGAGAGAGTAAGTTCTTCAAAATGGATACCAGAATAATTTAATTTGATTCCTACATGGCAGAATTTTTTTTACAACATTATGCAAAATTACTTTGTTGCATGAAATATAATGTAATGCTTCCTAATTCTACACTTGAAACAATTTGGCTAGATTTCTGTTAGGAAAGGAGTGTCTGTTAACTTTTGTGTTTTTTTCCCCCTCCAGTTGCGATGCTATTAACAAAATTGAGGTAGCTCCAGGAACTCCACATTCCAACACAAAGTGTGCATACCCAATGCCTATAGTTCTGCCTGTTTCACTTGTGTTATCCATTATTATTGTTGGAATATTGGTGTGGTGGTGGAAACGTGAGCTGAGAGATAGGTTTCGAATTTTGCTGCGGCAACATTTAGGTATGTGATTCATTCAGAATCTTCGGATCAATTCAGGAAGTAGTCCTGTTGAACGAGTAACATATGGACAAAAGGCAAAATACTGCGGATGCTGGAAATCTGAAATAAAAACGGAAGTCACTGGGAACACTTAGCTGGTCAGGCAGCATCTACGGAGAGAGAGAGGAAACTCATCCTCACCTACAAGACCATTCACGGCCTTGCTCCTTCCTACCTCTCTGATCTACTATCCCCCTACTTACCTGCCCATACCCTCCGTTCCTCTGGCTCCGGTCTGCTCCACATCCCCTACCCCAACCGCCCTACCATCGGTGGCCGGGCCTTCAGCCTCTCAGCCCCAAGGCTCTGGAACTCTATCCCCCAGTGCCTTCGCTTTGCTTCCTCCCTTTCCTCCTTCAAGGCCGGTCTCAAGACCATTCTCTTTGACCGTGCCTTCACCTCCCCTCTTGACCCTCTACCTCCTCCTCGCTCCCTCCCTTTCCTCCCCTCACCCTGACCATTTCCCCCCTGCTCGGGTCCTGACCCAACTGTACAGCACCTTGGGACGTCCTCCCGACGTGAAAGGCGCTCTATAAATGGAATCTTGTTGTTGTTAATGTTTCAAGTCGATGACCTTTCGTCAGAACTGAATAACGTATTGTCTTGCTTCAGTCAGATTCTTAATAATAGTAATTTTATCTGCCAGCACTACTTTGACGTATACTTCACAGTCCCGAATGTCTACCTTATCCTTTTTATCTGATCTTAGCCATAAGACCATTGTCTTCGATTTTAAGATTGCGTGAATTTTTGGAAACGTTCTTAAATTTGGTCACTCAATCCACGACTGTTTGTGGGACACTGCTGTGCGCAATTGACTGAATATAGTAATAAAGGCAAAGCAAACCAGTAAAGGGTGAGAAGTTACAAAGAGGGTTAATATACAAAGCTGTAAACCATGAAGTGGCTCCTAATTTACATGTAGATGCTTTCTACTGCCTGCAATTCCTCTCAGTAAATTGTACCCATTTTTCTTATGTAACCAGATCGAATCAGAAGAATACAGCTTCGTGAGGTGAGGCATTTTAAATTTTATTTGTTAATGTAGCCATTTATGTCATATCAGAGTTGTGTAATATCAAAATTGTGGTGTTTCTAAATATATATGGACCTTATTTAAGAAATCATTAAGGTTGAAATGTGTTTGGCAGATGCTGGCCAGTGTTTCCTGGAGTCCATGTTGGTGAACACAGATTCTTATATCCAGGGCTTGTATCCACTTTGATTATTATGCAGAGGTCCGGAATCACCACTTTATGGGTAGAGCTATGTGTCCAAGCCAAAGCCCTAATTGGCGAGGTGGTCTTTGCAGAACAACCAGCGGAAGCTAGTGTTCTCAATGGCATACTGTGTAGTGTTTCCAGGTTTAATCACTGAATAGGAATCTGAAGCAGTGGCCAAACTGATTCACCTCCCTCTAGTGGCTAATAATAATAAAAATAATAATCCTTGCATTTGATATAGCGCTTTTCACGTCGGGAGGACGTCCCAAAGCGCTTCACAGAACATACTGTAAAGTGAATTGACTGTATATTTGTGGGCGAACGCGGCAGCCAATTGCGCACAGCAATGTCCCACAAACAGTCGTAGATTGAAAATGACCAATTTATTATTGTTTTTGGTTTTGGAGGGATTATTATTAGGCTCTGTGTGGAGTAAGGAAACTTGCCCAAGGTTTGGCCCTCTGCCTGGAATTGAACTCAGGTCTCTCGCTTGCAAAGCGAGTGCTCTAACCACTAACCAATGTCAGGGATGTACCAAATTTGATTGCTGAATTTCTTTCATTAAACTGTTCTACACAAAATTTTTGAACGTGTAGTAATGCTTGGTGTTTTCTTATAACTTTTGTCAACACAAGGTGAAAGCCCAATTCAGAAAGGTTAGTGCAAGCTGAAGTTGTGATGCGGAAACTCAAAGTAATGAACTGCCACCTACAAAATGAATAACTATTGTTTTTATTTCCTCTTTAAAGAACACTAGGGACACCAGAAAACAGTCCAGGAAAGATTCTCTCACAGAAAGCCACATACACTCGATAATAGAAACTGAGGGCAGTGCTTCCAACATAAGCAATATCAGTGGGACCACCTTTGACACTTTAGGCACAGGGACTAAATCAGGATCAGAAATCAAATCAGAATTGGAAACCTTATCGAACAAAGCAGCTGAGATAAGTACGTCACATTTATGGGGGAGCCTGAGATTCGCATTGTTCTATGTAGAAAGACTATTTGACAAAGGGATATTCCAGCTGTAAGATGGTTAGAACCTTTAATCTGGAATAGAATTATTTCAGTGTTCAGACCCTGCACTGTAAGTGATCACTTTATACTACGCTCAGCGGGCTCTGCTCAGCGGGCTCCGGCCTGCTTCACGTCCCCCGCCTCGCTCACCCCACTATTGGCAGGCGGGCCTTCCGCCACTCTGCCCCCACCCTCTGGAACTCCATCCCACAGTCCCTCCGCCTTGCCCCCTCTCTTGCCACCTTCAAGACCCATCTCAAGACCCTTTTTGACCATGCTTTCAATCTCCCTGCTTTCCCCCCTGCCGTCAACCCTCCCCGATCCCGAGCTCGAGTCCGTAACTCTGTCTGTCCAGTGCCTTGGTATGTCCTCCCGTGAGACGTGAAAGGCGCTATACAAATTTAATTTTGTTGTTGTTGTTGTCTGTTGGTCAGCGTTGCCAGCCTCTCCCCCCAAAAAACTCTCACTGTTGGCCATGTCTTCAGTCACTAAATTTCTTCCGTTCTTTGCGCTCGGTCACTGCACTTTGTTCAGCACTTTGAGATGTTGTTTTACATGAATGCCACTGTATGAAAGAAGATTAGCAGTGGTTAGAATTTCAGATGAAACCAGTAAAGTAGGACAGTAAAGTCGCAGATACATTTAAACTACATTTAAAACAGAAACCCAAATGAATGCTATTAGTCAAGCGATAACTTGGTTTGTCAAAGGCAAAATGTGTGAGGATAGTTAAAAAGACACTTGATGTTATATGGCTAAAATATATGACCTGTTCCCACTGGCTTTTTTTTATGTTCTTATGTTCTCCGTCTTAAGAGTTCACTGTGTTATATGAACAGTTGGATTGATGATAACTTTTTTAAAAAAATAATTGAGTTTGTCTTTCACTTGTAGAACATCCTCAAAACATTTCATATGTTGTTACCATGATGCGGATCATGCATGTCACGGTGTGTGTTTACCGTATTTGGATGGGGAGGGAGGGAGCCTGCTGAGGTGCGGTTGACATGCTCTAGCAGCTGGTTATTGTGTGTGCCGCTGTGGCTGGCTATTTGTGCCAGTGTCTATCTGGTTGGTTTGGGCTGGACGTACAAGCTGTCACAGCATGGCAGTTAAATGTGTAACTTTCAGATGGGGATAGTTGCCAGTCACCCTCTGACCATATAACTTTAATCTCTTACAGGTTGAGACTGGGTGTAGTGTATCACAAATGGATTTCCATCTGGCGTCAGACAGGGGTCGATCGAGCTCTCTCTCATTGTCTCTCCCAGGCTGTTGTTACTGTGTTTGTACTTTCTGAGCACACAGAAATAAAGATTGAATATCTTCACAAAATCAGGTTGATGGTGTCATTACTGAAGGCGAGGTTTTTATTGCTAGGAGATGGCAGTTGTTTCTATCTTAGCTAACCTGGTTGGATTTGAACATAAGAGCATAAGAAAATCTGGAATGAGGAAAGGCAAATTGGTCATCAAGCTTGTTCCCTCCTCAGCTCCAGCCTAGGAAAGTAGGTACTTGGGACAGTAAAAGTGGTAAGGGATATGGGAAATTAGATTATTAGATCTGCCATTGTCCTTTCTCTAATGGTGACCAAATTATTTGCGTGAATCTTTCAAATCTTAGTTTCCAATGACCTATATTGGACCTAACATTAGCTTTCTTTCAGTCTGTCTTTGGGAAAGTGAAGCCCCCATAATCACCATGCAATTATTTTTACCGGCTTTGCTTATGTGTCTACACATACCTTTTTCTAAATGTCTCTAAATATAGGTGAAACTCTTAAGAGGTTTGTCCAGTGGTTCCATTAACATTTGATAAGGGTGAGGGAGTGAATTTACTGATCATTTTGTTAAAAAGTAATGCATCTTCTATTTTGCTAGCATGCAAAATAAAACAGGGAATCTCATTAACAGCACGATACTAAAGTCAGTAACTTCTCTGACCAGCTGAAATATGCACTCCAAATATATACAGTAATATTAAATTCCCATTTTAAACACCTCATTAAACAATTGACCTGAGAACTGCCTCCATTGCCACGGACTCGTAATTCATTATTAATATTATTTAAAAAATGATAATAATAATTTGGACACTCAATCCAATGGGCTGCCACGTTTTGCCCACAAAATGTAATTTGCTTTACAGTATATTCTGTGAAGCGCTTTGAGACGTCTTGAAGATGATAAGGCGGTATATCAAATGCAAGGATTATCACTGTTATGTCAATTTTTTTCAATGATTTGCAGAATTGTTGTATTTTTCTTCCTCAGTTCTGACGTATCGAACTTCAGAAGGTGAATTTTTAGTTCCAGAACCCGGTATTTCAGACCAGGAGAAGGATGATATATTCCATGTGTATTATTGAGAATTATAGCAGGGAATTAATTAAACTACCTGAACCGCACAAAAGTATCCAGAACACTCCACACTGCAGAGTTGCTCTTATTTGTCAGCCCTTAGATATTACTGTAAAACAATGAGGATCAGTTGAGCCCTTTTAGAAGATTTCTGCCTGTACTGCACTGTTGAACTGAAGTAAGCTCTTTTCATGCATTCCTGTCAATGCCATTGAAAGATGGTGCTGGGGAGAGAGAAGAGCATTAAATCCCACATATAAATAGCTATTATATTTGAAAATGTTCTAGGTAGAACAGGAGGAGGCCATTCAACCAAATGATACGGTTTTATTAAATCAGAGCAAATCTTCCAATCCAATTTTTGACACCCTTTTCCATTGAAATCCTTACTTCCCAAGAACCTATCTTTTAAATTAATTCCATACATATGATCTTCTGTGGCCATGTATTACATATTTTAACAATCTTTTGTGTGAAGAAATTGCCAGCCACCCAGTAATTTGAACATTACTTTAATAAAATGTCTATATTAAAGTAATACGCAATTGCAGTGCAATATTTTGCTGAATGTAAGTGAATACGTACACTGCAATTAACATTTATAGCTTAACTCTTATGTCTGCATCATTTGTAGTTAAGATAAATAGGGTGGAGAATATACTTATAATAAAATCTTTTTTTGTTTATTGATATACAGCTAACTAGCTTTGTTGTGAACTGTTAGTGATCAATAACAATTACTGCAATTCCATTGATATACAGCGTGGATGTGGCTTATCATTTTCGTTAGAGATAGCAAAATGTCCTCCGAAAAAAATTGCAGTCCTGTGACATAATAATAATCCTTACATTTGATATAGCGGCTAATCACATCTTTGAGACGTCTCAAAAGCTTCACAGAATATACTGTAAAGTCAGTTGACTATAATTTGTGAGAGAAATGCAGCAGCCAATTGCGCACAGCAGTGTCCCGCAAACAGTTGTGGATTTAGTAACCAATTCCTCCCCCGCCCCCCACAAACCCATATATGCATGTCTGTAACTTTATTTTTCTTTAACGTGTGCATCTTTCCTCTGTTGAATTCTGCATTAATTTTTAGTGCAAATTAAACCCAGGTCGAGGTTCATGCAAAGACTCATTGGGAAAATGTGCCACCTGCTGTTCACTGCAGGTTACATAGCAGCAGACAGGATTGGTTTGATTCCTGTTAGCTGATTTCTTTTCAGAACGATGACAAGCTTGTTATAATGGGCCTCAGCCTTCCCTGGGCTGCTTAAGGGGAAGAAAATCAAACGAGGTTGCAGCTCGGACTGCTCTCTGGAGAGCCCAACTGGAAAGAAATGATCCCCAGGTGAGTTCGGAATAAGGCTGGAGAACGTTTGGCTCAATAATCCGATTTAATCAACGTCACTGATACCCATGAGCTCTACCCAGCACATGTCGGCTATTTCGGAGAGAAGGGAGAAAATTAGGAAAATATCCCACAGCAGGATATGATTATAGCAGGAAAAGCAATCTATGTTCTACAAACCTTCACTCACTTACCTGATGAACCCAAATTCCGCTGATCCCAGCACCCAGATAACAAAATCCAGTTGATGTGGTTTTGCCTAAAGCTTTCCTAATGTATTTGTTATAGAAGACAACAGAGACGCTGCCCAAGTGATCCAAAACCCTGCCTCGCTTGAAGGGCGCTATAGAAATGCAAGTTGTTGTTGTGCTTGTTACCAGAGGGCACTGTACTGTTGTTACTAATGTGAGCCAATCCCCAGAACGGTGGGGACATGCGCAGCGATGTATCTTTCACTTAATGTCCCGGGTAGTACAAACCAGAGGAGCTGTACGCAGGAGGCACTTTCATTGACCACTGAGGGCAGATTACAGCTCCATCCAGAGCTCAGCACCATCCTGACCGTCTGGTCGAGATTTGAGGAACGTTAATTTCTCCTAAGGAGGTAAGTAAAAAAAAAATCCTTGACAATAAAAGTTTGCTCTCTTCAGAAGTTCAGATTTCCACTGCTAACTTTGTACATTGTAATAATGTTGCATCCCCTCAGTTTGTTTTGTGTTTGACATTTCAGGGGGTGGAGGTAGGACAAAATGCTGAAGTTTAAAAAGTAAAAGCTGATTATGTTATACATTTTAGTTATACAGAATGAAAGGGTTTCAGTTCACTGAGGTGCCCGACAGTTAAAGTAAATGTGTTCTTCCCAAACCCCAGCTCGGGTGCAAATCCTTGACTGTCCAGCGCCTTGGGACGTCCTCCTGACATGAAAGGCGCTACACAAATGTAATTTATTGTCCTTCTTCATAAGACCTGCTTGCTCTAAATAAGAAATGTAAAAACCACGTCCGGGTTTCTTCTCCAGCTGTTTTCCAATGACCGAATTAAAGTTGTTACTTAACTATTTGAACTTATTAATGGCAAGGGGGATTCACACAAACATGTGGAGTGAATGGTAAGGAGGAAACCACAAATGTTAAAAGAAACAAGGCCAGGCAGACTCGGAGAAAGCGAAGATGTGGTTGAAGAGGAAGGTCTTGAGACATGCCTTGAAGGAGGCAAGGGTGGGGGCATGCGAAGGGGCTGGGGGATGGAGTTCCAAATGGTGGAATTTGGAAGCCGTTTCCTCTTAAGAACTACAGAAAGCCAGTTTTCAAACTCAGGCTGAATTTAAGAGTTTTCCACGATTCTACGCAATCTTAAATTTAAGACAAAGTGGTCTTACAGGCTAACACTGGGTGGCATTTCAGGTCTCCGGTGCCTTTATATGGCTCCATTGTACACTCCGCGGTACCTTCTCGACCATTATCATGGAGCTTGGTACAAATTCTAACAGAAAACACAATAAGTCCTTGTTCTCACGTAAAATTGATATCGAAAGAAAACCCAATACAATGAAGCAATTTCAATGACAAATAATGTCAATGACAATGTCATTCCGTTTTGTCCAGCGTTAGCTTCTTGATACATTTCAGACTCTTAAATGCTGAGAATATCCTGCACTTTAACTTGACCTTGGAATGTTCCCTGTTCACAACATAGCAGGAATGTGATGTTGACGTTTTTTTGGAAAACACAAAAAAAATCTATACTCACACAACAACAACAAAATTACATTTATAGAGCGCCTTTCACGTCAAGAAGACGTCCCAAGGCGCTACAGTAGAATTGCTCATTGTGCTATTGAAATGGAAATGTAAACCCATGTACATTTTTTTACATATATATATGTGCAATTTGTGGGCGAAACGCAGCAGCCAATTGCGCAGTATTATATGCAGTATTCAATGATTTCTAATTACATTTTTGTTTCAGAGCTCAGAAAAGCTAAACCCTGGATTTCTACAGACGTATGTGAAAGATGGGACAATCCAAGGTGAATTAATCAAGTCAACGCACCGAGCAAATGATGTGCTTAGAAACAGTAAGGGTTTGCCAACGAATACTGATGCTTGTGAGGGTTCCAACAAAATCAAAACTACTGTATTCTCATTTGAAATGAAAGTCCTGCAGCTTAGTGGTTAGAGTACTCGCCTCACAAGCAAGAGGACCTGGGTTCGATTCCTGGGCAGGGCAAAATGTTAGGCAAGTTTCCTTACTCCACACGTCTCTGTTTACCTAGCAGTAAGTAGGAACCCGATTGTTAGTCGATTGGTGGATTGCTTTCCCCGGGGTAATAATCCCTTCAAAAATAAATTAAATTTTTTAAAAATATATATAATTTGATCACTCAATCCACTTTACAGTATGTTCTGTGAAGCGCTTTGAGACGTCTCTTATTGCTGCACAGTGCAGTAAGTATTTGCCTTGTCCCACCTAAGATGGGGGGGGGGGGGTGGGAGACAGTTTTTGTTATTTGTTTTCATCTTGGTAATTAATTAAGTAGCTCTTATTTCCACTTAGATTTTCTGCTTCCTCTTACTGCTTTCTTCCCCGCAACTGGTGACCAGCTGTAATACAGGAGAATACCGTGCTAATGAAATATGCTGTACCATGTGTCCCTCAGGTGAGTGACAGCCTTTTGAAAGAACTTTTTTTTTTGGTCAGCCGGGTGTCTGATACACCATTACTATGCTTGAGTAACCAGACCAAATTGAGAATTCCATGCATCCCACCCACAAATGGAAATCCCAGAGATAGATTGTTGGAATGGAATGCCTTGGAGTCTAACCAGCCCAAAGCCACATAGCTTCCCATTGATATTGCTGATTGGCAAGTTTTCCCACTGCTTGTACAGCTCGGAACAACCTCCCCATTAGGGCTTTGCCTTGCAGGGGTAATATAATAATAATTCTTGCATTTGATCATGTCGTTAAGACGTCTCAAAGTGCTTCATAGAATATATTGTAAAGTGAATTGACTGTGTATTTTGTGGGGATTTTATTTGGGGGATTGTTGGCCAGGACACAGGAGAAAGAAACCCCCTTCTTTTTTGGAATAGTGCTATGGGATCCACTTGAATAGGCAGACAGGATCTTGGGTTTAACATCCGAAGTCCCCTTATTTGCGACTTGAACCCATGACTTTCTGAATCAGTGCGAGATTGATACCAACTGAGTCAGGCTGAGGCACGAGCGCTTGTTAACTACAGTCCAAGTGAAACAGTGCTCAATTTTAATAGTAGTTGTGGAACATCTAAAGTCCATAATATGTTATCATGACCACAACAACAACAAATTACATTTGTATAGCACCTTTCACGTAAGCAGGACGTCTCAAGGCATTGGACAGTCAGGGATAGCACTATGACTGCTATAAGATCTACAAAGAAGATTTTTTTTTGATTGCAGGCACACATGTTCTGAGACACTGTACATTAATTACCTCTACCACATGTGGTCCTTGTGTTCCTGGAAGTTACATGGATCGTCCAAATGGTATGGAGGAATGCTTGTCCTGTAAGAGTTGTGATGCTGGTAAGTGTTTCGTGCTATTTATTATTTTAAACAGTATTTAAATGGTAACGTTAATCTAGACTAATCTTAAAAAGTAGCTTCTCCAAATACACACAGTAATAATAATCATCTTACAATGTAAAGTGGACTGATTGTGTATTTTATTGGGAGCAAAATGCGGCAGCCAGTTGCGCATAGCAATGTCCCACAAACAGCCATGGAGTGACCACATTTATGTTGGGGGATTGTTGGCCAGGACACCATCAGAGAGAAATTCCTTGTCTTTTTGAATAGCGCCATGGGATCTTTAACATCCACCTGAACAGGCAGATGGAATTGTTCATTTTGAAGCCTTAGATATTTAAGATGGTTTTAAGACCTGGCTGAAAACTATAGCAGACTAATACAGGAAGTGATTTGGACAGATTTCAATTAAACTGTTATTTTCTCTCCCTCCTCCCACATTTGTAGACGCGGGATTTAAATCAATAGAGGAATGCACCTATACGATGGATACAGTGTGTGACTGCAAAGAAGGTTATTACTGCACACAGAAAGGAGATAAAGGCTGTCAAAATTGTAGAAAACAAATCCAACGTAATGCGTATGAATCGACTGATGATAAAGGTACAATAATGAACTAGGCTGGCGCGTGTCTCGCATGTGAACAGTGCAATATTATAATTCACAGAAACATTGAACTTCTGTTTATAAAGTCATTATCAGTGGCGGAGGTAATGGAGAGGTATTGATTGTTCCATGAGTATGATAAACTCCAGTTCATCTCCTCACCCACCCATGATGCCAGCTTGTGACCACATATTGAGCTTGCTATCTAACGCAACAAAAAAAAATTAGTATGAAGATGGTATCTGACTGATCAACACTCCAGTCAGTTAGCTTCAGGCCCATCTATTTATGATGGAGTAGGGAAAACACCTGTGAATCCGTATTTCTCATCAGGGGAAATTTAACAATGTATTTAATTAACACATCCTCAGCCACAACTGTCACCCTGTTATCAAAGTATAACACTTGAAAAATGTCTGTAGAAACCTATTTCCAAAAACTATAGGGATGGCTTGTACATTTAGAATAAATTTAGCATCCCAACCAATGACCCATTATTATGGTCATAGCGCCGTAGAAATTTACAGCGATTCAACAACAAGAAGATTACATTTGTATAGGGCCGTTTACGTCGGGAGGACATCCCAAGGCGCTGATTCAGCCTTTAGTGCGGGGACTAGCTCCATCACTGGAACTTTCTACACTAATTTCATTCTTTGTCTTCATATCCTTTTTCATTCACTTATTTTACACAGGTTTCAATAAACTTATACAACCCGGATCCAAAGCATCACATGCGGTCCTCAAGGAAAACATCATAAAAGCTATTGGGGAGACCCACTCACAGAAGACATCTACGGGGGTGCACCCCCCCTCAAAGAAGAAACTTGCTTCTCAGTTAGAAGGTACAACTGCACTAAAGAAGGAGGAATTCGACCTGGGGCTAACTGAAAAGAAACACATGTTTGGGTCCTCGCAAGATGCTATTAGAAAATCACTGATGCAAATTGGATTTTCTGATTTTTCTAGAGAAGCTTTGAAGTCGCAGGAGGCGGGGAAGAAAGCGACAGTGGAGCTAAGGTCTGTTATGCAATCGAGCATGGCAAACATGCACGATGCCATACAGAGTGGAATGGCAGGGATTCGAGACGCAATCCAGTCTACCATGACCGGTATTCGCGGCGTTATGCAGACAGGCATCACAGACATTCAGGTATCTATGGAAAATGGGATGGCCTCCATTCAGGAATCTATCAAATCTGAATTGGCTAACATTAAAGTTATGGAGAAGGCGTTCAATAATATTGGTAAAAGCCTGGAAAATCTGCACATATCTGTGCAATCCGGCTTGGGAGAAATGTCTTCAGAGGTTGATTTATTGGTCAGTCAGTTGTCAAAATATCTCTCAAGCCAGGCACTCTCTCCCATCCAATTCAAAGATATTGCTTCAACCTTCCAAGAGAGAACTGATTCTAGCTAATCTGGTAAGGAGTGTAGACCTCAGAAATCAGATTCCCATCTCGGAACTTTGACTCACTGCTCCACACAAAGCAACACTCAATTCTGCTGAAAAAACACCCCGAACCTCTAGCACTCTCATCCTCTATCCTTCCAAGGCCTTGCCCCTTAGTTCCCCATCCTCAGATCGTGCCTGAAGAACCTTCCTCTTCGATCGTGCCTACTGTCATCTTGCCCCCTCCCCCCGGCTCGGTGTTGTGCTCCGCCACTGTGAAGTGCTCTGGGACATTACCTTGCATGAGGGGCACTATATAAATGCAAGTTGTTCTGGCTGAAACAAAGCAAAGGATTCAACTAAAAAATGGGAAAAAAATGTTATTCTTGCAACTAAGATGCACTGAAATGTTTCTTTCAGTGCTGCATTTTCTCCTTGTCGTGTCTTCCCTATAATGCAATTGTATTTTTATCAGTGCTCTCCATTCATAATAAAAATCCTAGGCTTTGAGAGGTTCCTTACATTTTTCCCATTTTTCCAATTCAGAAATTGTGTAATAAGATTAAAAATGCCCATTTAGATTCACTACCTGAATTTAAAATCCACTAAATATTAAGACATGATAATGTTCGAAGAAAGTGACTCTTAAGCTACTGCCCTATCTTTAACGTGCCCTTTCTCTGTAAAGTATGGGTACGTATTACCACCTCTGGAGCTGCCTTTGTTAAAGTCACCAATGACATCCTATCTGTCTTTCCTCATTCTCTGTGCTGCCTTTCAGTTCGTTAAACTGAGATCTATCTACATATATAATATGTATATGTGTATATATATATATATATATATATACACACACACACACCATGGGCCAGCATTAGAGAAGGGTGGATATCACAACGCAAAGAACAGTCAATGTGTTTAGCTACTGACATGGTGGATTTTCAATGTCTTAATTAACATCAATGTTAATTAACCTGTCACAGGTTTCAAATGCTTAGAATATTACTGCAACCTGATGACTCGGGAGGCTGACAAGCAGTTTTCTTATGTATTGAGCAAATGAGGCTTGAACTTTACATCTGTCCTAAGATTATGGAATGTTAAAATGGTTAATATTATGCAACAAGGAAATTACCAACTTGTGCATTGTGTAAGAAATTGTTGTTTTCCCATCCTGTTGTCTTTATTAAACAACTTTGTTCCTACAATTGTCTTGCAGTCCATTCAAACTTGGGGAAAAGGCCATATTGAACATCAAAGTTGATGTTTTTCCTGAGAACGTGTTTCATTTGCACAAATTTTACAAGAATTCTAGTTATCTGTCCTGATCTATTTAATTATTATTATAATCTTCAATGCAGACATGAAGAACTAATAGATGAGCATGTTCTTAAAGAGTGAAAGATGCCTGGAAAGAGATGTTAACTTTAAGATTCACAACTTTAACCTGTATCCCTTCGGTTTTTACCCTCGCACACTGCTTGTCCAGCTTGAACCACCCAATTGATTTGAAGGATTAAAGGGAGCAGAAAGAACTCCTGCCCCTGCTGAGCTAGGCTGGCTGGTCAGTCATCAGCAAGGCCTTGCACTATTGCAGACTTTAATCAAAAGGCAAAATACTACAGATGCTGGAAATCTCAAATAAAAAAAGTAAGTCACTGGGAACACACAGTAGGTCAAGCAGCACCTAAGGAGAGAGGAAAGCAAGTTAACGTTTCAGATTGATGACCTTTTGTCAGAACTATTGTGGACTTGCCTGGTTCAGGATAACGACTACTGAGACTGTTACAGAGAGTTGGCTCAATTCTAACAGTTTATTGCTAGCTCAGCCCCAAGGAGACTCTGTTTGCATCCTCCTCCCCAAGATAGTGAATGAAATGCGGTACAAACCACCCTAAGAAATTACAGACACAGCATAACATCATCACTAGTACAAATTGCATTTGTATAATGCCCTTCATGCGAGTATCGCCTTGATACTTTGTACAGCTCAACAAAGTATTGTGCGAGGGGAAAGTGGATGGAAATAACTTAAAACGGTTCCAGTGAGTGGAAGATTCAAATCGATGGGATTCCACGAGCCTATAACCGGGTGGAATTCACAGCAGATTTCTGCTGTTAACTAAACCAGTGACAATAATAATCCTTGCGCTTCATGCAGCGCCTCGTCACGTCATCCGGACTCGAAGCGCTTCACAGAATATATTGTAAAGTCGTCTCGACTTCTGTATCGTTGTGGGCGATTTCATCGCCGTAACAGCATTTTGCCTTTAGTTCTCTGCGGGTGAGAGTGTGGTGATTTATTCCGAGCTCCTTTTTTATTTTTTATATACTTTATATGTATATATATATAGAGAGAGAGAAAAATATAGAAAGGCATTTTGTGATAAAACAATGCAAATGTGTCTTCTCACAGGAAAGGGGTAATATTCACAACGTTTGAGGTTCAGTTCCTGATTAGGGGGAAACCTTTTTTTTTGTTTGGAACCAAACCCTGAGCATAAACCACGATATTTGCTAATTGGGACGTATTCTTTCTCTCTTGTCATCGCTCTCTCTCTCTCTCCCCCACCTTGAAAAAGGCTTCACACACCAACAAGGCCTCACTGCGCTCCTTCCTCCATCAGCGGCCCGGTCAGGCGGCGGCTTTCGTTGATTGACAGGTCCCGTCGCCAATCAGAGACCAAAGCGATGACAAAGGGCCCGGTGACCGCTGCGCCGCAGCCAATCAGCGCCGCGGTCTGGCCCGGAAACGGGCGGGGACATCCGGCGACGCCGTGGGCGGGAAGGAAGGGGCGAGTCGAGCGAGAGAGAAGCCGAAGGAAAAAAGAGAGCGTAGAAAATGGCGGCCGACGGGATCCTCATAGGCGACAAACTCTACTCCAGCATCGTCCTGACGCTGGAGAACTGTCTCATCTCCGAGGAGAAGCTCTCGCTGACCGCGTCCGTGTCGGACGGCCTGGACCCCGAGGTGGAGACCGACCTGAGGATCGTGGGATGCGAGTTAATCCAGGCCGCCGGCATTTTACTCAAACTACCTCAGGTACAAGTACAATGGAGGGGAGGCCCTGGGCCTTCCTTCGCCGTGTGTGGTGTGTGGAAGGCCTCTGAGAAGCACGGCCTGCGCTCGTCTCGCTTCTCTTCCGATTCGCCTCCGTTTGTTGGGAGATTTTTCAGGAGCCCAAATGGGATTAGAGCTTCTTATTAATTCTTCTTATTAAGTAAGATCCGTTTCGCCCCCACAGCGTTACACAATTACTCAATTCACTTTACAGTGTATTTTGAGGCGCCTCGAAGACGTGAAGGGCGTAATATCAAACGCAAGGATTGTTGTTGTTATTATACCGAGGGGGTCTCAGGTGGACGTTAAAGATCCTCATGAATCGATTCGAAAAGTGAAGGGAGTTTCTCTCTCTCTCTCTCTCTCGTTCTCTACTCCACTGTCCAGGTCGACATTCCCCCAAAATAGAATCTGGTCACTGTTTGTGGGACATTGCTGTGCGCAATCGGCTACTGCGTTTAGCCCACACAAAGTACACAGTCACTAGACTTTACAGCATATTCTGTGAAGTGCTTTGAGGCGTCTCAACGACGTGATGAGGCGCTATGTCAAATGCAAGGATGATTGTTGTTAATAGTATTGTGAACCGGGTTGCAGTTCGGGTTGCAGTCGACCCAAACCAGTACATGGCTGGCATGGTGGCTTTATTTATCTCCTCTTCTGAACCAAATCTGCCATGTAGTTCTGAGTAAAAGCAGTGGTGTAACATCCCTCTAGAACAAGAGTAAAAATAATACAGAAAGGCTGCCAGTAGTAGCGATGTCAATGGGTGGAGAGCAGGAAATGAGGTGACTAGTGACCATGACTAGTGCTCGATATAGGGGAATAAGTCATCTTCAGTGTCTTTAATATTGGATTCAGGTGATTCCTCACGTACCAGTGGTCATGATTCATCCTTGCCATTAAATGACCAGTGCGGATGACTCAATTTTTGGTCACCTTTCCCTCTTCACCTTCCTTGGCTTCAGTTGCGGTGATTAGGAAGAATTCATAAATAATACCAACAAACCTTTTTTGAATTAAAATGTCAGATAACTCAGAGATTCTTCTGATTCAGTTGGTTGTTTTCATTTGTTCTTGATGAATAAATTAGAAGGGACACTTTCAGAAATTGAGCATTAATGTTGGTTGCCTAAATGACAGCATGCGGTTCAGGAAAAGTATCATTTGATTTTTTTGGAATAACAACTCTACTGCCTTACCATTACATCCTATACCCATGTCTCAAATCGGTTCAGTGTGCTATATCTTCCAGTATTCTTTTTGTGTGTTGTTGGTTACTCTCTGTAAGCCAAATATGGCGAAGCGCACTACAAATGGTGTTCTACAACAACAACAACAAGAAGATTGTATTTATAGAGCGCCTTTCACGTCGGGAGGACAGTTGGCTCGGGACCCGAGCAGGGGGGAAATGGTCAGGGTGAGGGGAGGGAAGGGAGGGAGCGAGGAGGGGGTAGAGAGTCAAGAGGGGAGGTGAAGACGCGGACAAAGAGTAAGGTCTTGAGACCGGCCTTGAAGGAGGACAGGGAGGAAGCGGCGAAGGCACTGGGGGGGAGGAGTTCCAAAACCTAGGGGCTGAGAGGCTGAAGGCCCGACCACCGATGGTAGGGCAGGGGACGAGGAGCAGACCGGAGCCAGAGGAACGGAGGGTACGAGCAGGTAAGTAGGTGGATAGTAGGTCGGAGAGGTAGGAGGGGGCGAGGCCGTGAATGGCCTTGTAGATGAGGATGAGGATCTTGAATTCGATCCTCTGGGGGATGGGGAGCCAGTGGAGGCGAGCGAGGGTTGGAGTGATGTGGTCCCAAAGCCTGGTGCGGGACCGTACACGAGCTGCAGAGTTCTGAATGACCTGCAGCTTGTGGAGGGAGGTGCCGGGAAGGCCGGCGAGGAGAGAGTTCCCATAGTCCAGCCTTGAGGTGGACCAGTGTTTCAGCAGCGTCCAATTCTAGGTCCAATATGTCAGATGGTGTAATAAAAGAGAACACAAAAAAGAGGCTAACTTCTGAATTGCCAAGTCTCCACTGCATAATAATAATTCTTGCTTTTGATATAGCACCTCGTGACATCATTGAGACATTCAAAACGGTTCACTGACTATACCGTAAAGTGAATTGACTGTATATTTTGTGGGTGAAATGCTATCCATCACTTCCTTTGTGAGGTTACGTCAGCAGCATTTCCATTGCACCTGTGGAATGTGTACAAAACAATATTGCCGACCTGACTTACATCTCATTAATTATCTTGTAGATCTCTACAGTAGTCTTCTGAGAAATGATCTACAAAATGTATAGATCACATTACATTTTGAAAAGAAAAAATGACAATTCTGAACCAGAATTATTTTGGGTTTACCCAGAACAATTCTGTTTATTCAAATTAACTTCTTTGAGCATAACTGGACTATACTTACTTATACTTGTACATTTTTTGTGTTTCTTTTACATTTTTAAAGTATTTATTTTACTTCTACTTTCTGGAATTAGATGAGCAGGACACGTCCCTACAATAAGAGCATTCCATTCCAACAAGCTATTTCTGGGATTTCCATGTGTAGGTTGGATGCATTGAAAATCTCAGCTTAGTTTGGACACTTTTAAGCATGGTGATGGGTTTACACATTTGTCAGACAACCCGCTGACCAAAAAAAAAATAACTGGACTAAATTTTGTGTAGTGCAATTAAAGGATCCCCTTTATATTTTTCTGATGTATTTTTCTTTTCATTTAGGTGGCAATGGCAACTGGACAAGTATTGTTTCAGCGTTTTTTTTATTCAAAATCCTTTGTGAAACACTCCATGGAGGTAAGGAATGTCTGAGGTTGACCATTGAGCTAAAATTGAGTCTTCAGATCAAAAAATTAGTGAATGTCAAATTCAGATAGTCTGGTCCATCTAGTATGTTTATATTTTTAAATCATTATAGTTTAGATATTGGACAATGAAATTGGTAGGAGTGAGCGCTGTTCTGTTTTGAAAAATTGCACCTGGGCTATATATCAACTGTCAGTTGTCTGGTTCCCGGTGTTTTGCTCTTGAAGTTGAGCAAGAGGAACCGTACAACTGTTTATCTGTGTGAATTGCCTTGTCCATTCAGTCTCATGTCACAGCTTGGATCGGTAAATCAGTTGTAAACCCATTTTCTCACTACGGAAATTTATCTAACATAAACCACTTTAGCAAATATTGCCTGTACCTCACCCAAACCAATTGTAAATCTGATGCTCTAGGGAATTTTACTGATTGTCTTTTTTTACCTGCTGGTCAACACAACACAAGTTCTCATTTTTTTTATTGTCTTCCATAGATATTGTCAATGGCTTGTGTTCATTTGGCATCTAAAATCGAAGAAGACCCCAGGCGCATTAGGGATGTCGTCAATGTGTTTCATCATCTGCGAAAGCTCAGGGAGAAGAAGTAAGTGCTTCAGATTTTTGTTTAGCTGTTAAACATGAGCTATCTAGAAAATAAACTGTATTGCTTTAAAATCAAGCATGACTACTAAAATGCAATAGGTGACTCAGTATTTGCACTAATTGGAGTCCTGTAGCTTAGTGTTGAGAGCACTCGCCTCGCAAGCTAGAGGACCTGGGTTCGATTCCCGGGCAGGGTGAAACCTTAGGCAAGTTTCCTTATTCTGCTCGCCTCTGTTTACTTAGCAGTAAATAGGAACCTTGTTGTTGATGATTGGTGGATAGCTTTTCCGGCAGTAATAGTCCTTCAAAAAAAAGATTTTTAAAAATTATTCACTTAATCCATGACTGTTTGTGGCACACTGGTGGGCGCAATTGACTGCCACATTTCGCCCACAAAATATACAGTCAATTCACTTTGCAGTATACTTTGAAGCACTTTAAGACATCTTGAAGACGTGATAAGGCACCGTATCAAATGGCAGAATTATTATTATTAATGGGGACCAGCCACATTGTGGATAAAACATTGTATATGTTCTTATTTGTTGTCTCTATCTAATCTTATACTTGATCTAATTTTACTCCATTAAAATTGCGCCTGGATACCTTGAGTGCAGCAACTTTCATCCTGACTTTAGTTTCATATTGGAGCTTGATGTGGGGACTTGGTGTGTGGGGACTTGGAATGCTGCTGTACAATTATATTTGAACTAATGGTGTTTTCTGTTGAAGATCTCCTGTACCACTTCTTCTGGATCAGAGTTACATCAATCAAAAGAACCAGGTCATAAAGGCAGAACGGCGAGTGTTGAAGGAGTTGGGATTCTGTGTTCACGTCAAGCACCCTCACAAGGTTTGTCACCAGAATCTTTTACATAAGGCAGTAAATACACACCTCCTTTTGTTTTCATTTTGATGTGAATGGAGAACAATTCTGATTTGACAAGTATTTTCTGTGAGTTCAGATGGGTACTAGGCTCAGGATATTCCTTCCATTTACCATAGTATAATTCCTTGCCTTTCAGCAGCAACCTGGGATTATCAGTGGCTAGATTTCCTTTTATTGCAAGTCAATTGGTTATTTTCTACCTTTGGGATTGACATAAATGAATATTTTGAAAATAACGATTTAATTAGTTTGTCTTGGCCTTTCTTCTATCCTTTAGTTGTTTCTACGTGATTCTATAAATTCACTAGATATAACAGATTGCAAGTATTTGCTTGTAATTGCTGCTGGTATTGCAGTGCTGAATCTTCTTAGGTTGGAGGCCTTTTTTGCCATGCTGGGTATGTAAACATCTTGGTCTACCTAGCAGTAGAATACTGAATCCACCCAACTAATCTTATTATTGGTTGATTTCTGACATTTCTTCACATTCCAAGATTTTAGATGTCATTCGGTATTGACATAGTGGCCAGTTTTTGTTGGGGAGGTGGGAGGAGTTTGAGTGATGGGAACCACAGTACCAGTCTTACTTGAGGAAAACACCTATTGTTGACTGTGTTGATGTCTGTGATTTGAACTATCCTGAGAATGCAGCAGTTTTAAGTAAAGATGCAACCACTTAATACTGTCTCACGAAAGTACAGTATTCTTGGTGGTAATAGAAATCTTCAAGCTGAAGCTTGATGTCTAGTAGCAATCTGTTGTAGTCCAGAAATAGAAAATTTACAGTTCCATATAACAACAACATTAACAAATTTTACAGATCCACGTAGTACAGTTGCAATACTGTATTCATTACCACTTCATGCTAAAGAGTTTTCTGGTGGCAGAAACCGAATAATGTAATTCTGTAGTTATTTTTGTACACTTGCTCCGACCTTACTGAGACTTCCAAGTTGGTCAAGACCCCAAATAGTAGGTTCTGATTCTCAGTCCAGTGGAATGTTCGACACCTGAAATCAAAGGCATTTAGAAATGGGAGAGACATTACAGTGAAGTAAGTATCATTTGTAGTGTGTATTTTTCTACTTGGAGCACATTTTTTTAATAAAAAGGACTGCATTGTTTTATGTATCAATTGTATGTTGAAAAAGATGTTCTATAAGAGGCAATGCAGAATGTTAATGTTGTTCTGATATAGTGTACAGGATGTATCTTGGTTCTCTATGTGGGTTCTTGACCTAAAACTGAGGGGTGGAGAAGGCGCTGGCTTTTTTTTCCCTCACTCTCTTTGTAGGGACAACTCTCTCGTACACTTGACTGGCTGAGTTCAGGTAATGATAGTTGCCTGCTAGCTAGCTATCTTGAATGCGAAAATGCCAAAAAAAAATTGTAAATCTAATGTGGATTTGTATTTCATTACCCACTAACTAGTGTGGCCATAATATAACTTCATTTTTGAGAGATTACACCCCAAGGAGAAAATTAGAGCAAAGCCAGGTAAACTTTAAATTAGAAAACATTTCTTCATTCATAGAGTTAAGAATTGGGAATGCACTTCCCTAGGATACTGTAGTTAGAAAATGATCATTGCGATGTTTACAACTGAGGATAGGTATATTCTTTGGGAAGTAAGTGTATTAAGGGATTAAGAAAAAATGGGGACATGGGATTAAATAGCTCCTGTTTTGTTCCAAAAGACCTGACTTTGTGAAAGAAGCGACTTGTGGTAGTAAAAAAAAATCCTTGAATACATCCTTTTCCCTGCCTTATTTGAGGTTCAGTTGTAACTCTATAACCTGTATCTTCCAGATTATCGTTATGTATCTTCAGGTGTTAGAATGTCAACATAACCGGCCTCTGGTTCAGACTGCATGGTAAGTTGATTTTCTTTGTTATTGTTAGATGACCAGCAAAGGCAGTGGCAGAAATATGTGTGTTTTTCTCTGTAAATGCCACCCCATTGCTGCGCACCATTCCCTGGTTGAGGCACAGTTGGCAACCCTATCCCAAACCTCAACCAATGCTGCTCTTAAGTGGCCACTGAAGGGTGCATACTAGTGGCTCAGGGTGACTGATGTGTTATTTTAGGCCTCTTCTCCCTCCATGTGGGGAAGTGTGTCTTTACTTCTTCCTCCCTTGACAGCAAACATAAGATCAGAAAAGTTGTCAAGTTGGAAACTACGGGCGTGAAGCTTACATGCTGCTCTGTATGCCTAGGTAATGGCACAAAAAACTGTTCAGATACCTGCAATGGCTTCTGTTCAGCATCCTCCTTAATTATATTTGTCAGAAGAGTAATAAACGTTACGATTTTCACCGGTTACATTTTTTAAATTAAGTTTGCTCGATTTATTTTTGAACTGGCTACTGCCAGATTAATGTAAAGGTTAAACTACATTTCATATTTCTGCTTACTGATCTTCTTTGGCTGGTATAGTATTTGCTTAATCGAGAACCCATTTTAACTTCTTTCTTTTTTCTACTCTTTCGATCAAAGGGTAGTCCCTGATGGTAAGTGACTAAGACTTCTGAACTGCCCTCCAAGCACTTTGATGCCAGGATGGCCCTAACTGGCTGCCACTTTGAACCAATCCATTGCAGGTTCTCCTCCGAGAAGGCTGACTGTCTAGTGAGAGGTGGTATATAGTAACTGGCCGACTGCTTCTTGTGTTAAACAAACATTAATTGTAATAACTAGCGCTTGAAATACTTTTGGTTTCTGTTTTAAAACGTTGTAAATGTTAAATTTTAAAAAGTAACGTCTCTTTCAGTAAGCGTAAATGTTATCATATCTGTTAAATGTTTAATTTATCCATACCATGTAATGAATGTATTTTTGTTAATTACGTTAAATAGAAGAAAGATTGTTGGTAAGGCTGTTGAAACTCTTCTGACTGTTGTGCAGCACCTGTGATATCTTGCAGCTTTTGAATTTCTGAATTGGCAGCATGCCGATTGCTGGGATTATGAGTAAGAAGAATACATCTGCCATTTTCAAGACAAACTTGGGGGAAGACTCGGAACTTCCTTCATTTAATGAATGTTGGCGGACAGACATTGCATCAGATGTGATGGTCCTGGGATGAACGTTGTTTGCATAATTAACCGCATGGATCAAGACTGATCAGATATGCAAAGCAGCAAATCATTCTTATCTTTAAACTACAGCCTTGAGAAGATTTCAGTGACTTGGAACTGAATATTGCTGGTGCATGGGAAATCTCATTTATAATCATTTCTAAATTAACACGTGAACAAGGAGAAAAGATCAGACATTCTCGCGCGGATTGTTATCTCAGACTTTCCTAAATATATACAACAGTTTTGTTAAATGTGCTCAATTTTATATTGCATGTCTATGAAACTGTATTGGTTTGTCACACGAGAGCAGGCCAGTGATTAGATCAGCACGGAGGTTAAAATGGGTTCTCTGCATTTTTTTTGACATTGTTTGTTGTCTCACAGGTATCAAAATGCTCTCAAAAGTGAATATTTTCTTTTTTTTAAAAAAAGTTAACATCCGTGCAATGCCTTCGTGGAAAAATCAGCAGATTGGCTGATATACTAAAAATAATATACCAAGATCTTTGGCAAATTGGTTTAAAATAATTTTACAGTTAAATCTTGATTGTAGATATGGGGAAAATCCCATCTAGAAACCTGGTATTTCTCTCAGTACTGCCATGAATTCCAGCCTCAACTCGCATTTGGAAATGTATATCATCTGGGCAAGGATTGATCTTTTTCCAGCAGGCTAATAGATGGAGTGAGTGCCTTCTGATTGAATGCTAAATCTCGAAGAAAGGAAAATAGTTTTTCCCCTACTCCCCAAGTCTTTTCTTAGTAGTTACTTAGAGAAATACGCAACCCATATTGTGACCAGGATGTTACACAAGCTTGGTTAGATGTATTCTGGAACATCAGTGTATCTGGAATGAAGAATTCTGGTCATCTGAAAGATCCATGGAGCTATGCTGTGGTTCAAACAAGCCTCCTAATAAATGATCATACTCTTTGATCTGAATTCTGAATTATCCTTTTGACTGCCATGGTGGCCTAGCTAGTAGAAATGTGTCTAGTTCCATTGGTGTCATACTAAGTCTTGCAGACTAACAGGCTACCGTCTTTTATTCTCAATTTGCTCAGTTAGCTGATCTAAACTGGGAGAGCAGTCGTGATTCAATTATTGGCCTTTGTAACCATGGACCTAGCCATGGTTGAAAAATCAGTGAGGGTGCCCCCTCTGGATGGCTGTCCAGATATCCCAACTGAAAACATGCCTTTGTAGACTTCAGTTAAGGATGGGTCATGTTTGACTCCGATACCGTCCACTATTAATTAGTCTTCTAATACTTAAATGCACTCAAGAAGACTAGCCTCTCGGTTGAGATTGCAGGGTTACTGGGTCAGTATCTTTATGGAAAGAAATGAGAAAATATGGCCTTCGCTCTGAATTTACTATTTTTTAAAATCACGTTCTGCTATTTAGAGTACTAGACAAATACCAGGGAAATGAGCATTTTGAACCATGTATAAAGTAGCACACTCTGAAATGAGTATATATATCGGGTGGGTTGCGTTAAGGGGTGCTGCAACATTCTTCTTGTCTATTTCAGGAATTATATGAACGACAGCCTGCGCACAGATGTGTTTGTCCGATACAATCCAGAGACGATAGCTTGTGCATGCATCTACCTGGCAGCTGGAGCACTTGAGGTTGGGAACACATGTTTTATGAATCCACTTGCGTTCAGTTAATTGGCAATCAATGCAGATTTTAATACCTTTATTTCTCAAGCAAGTTTATTTGGCCGACAATTTTTAATACTAAATAATGAATTGCTGTGCACAATTGGCTACCGCGTTTCGCCACAAAACATACAGTCAATTCACTTTATAGTATATTCTGTGAAGTGTTTTGAGGAGTCTCAAAAAAACGTGATAAGGCGCTATATCAAATACAAGGATTATTATTATATGTTATAAATAAACTTTGCATAATCAATGCAGTGTTCTTTGTACGCAAAATGTGAACTTGGCAATGGGGAATTTGTAAATCCTATAAGGGTGATGGAAGGGGGAGGAAGTTAATGTCACAAAGCCATCACAGACATTTTATTGAAAGTTAAGTTAAAAAAACAAACATTTTAAAGGGTTAGTTGCACTGTCAACATCCGATCTATTAACTTTTCAGATTCCACTTCCAAATCGTCCCCATTGGTTTCTGCTGTTTGGAGCGACCGAGGAAGATATTAAGGAAATCTGCATGAAAATCCTAAAGCTATACACTAGGAAAAAGGTAGGCATCTTCAGAGACCATCAGTTTGTCTTACCATTGTTCCAATAAATGATTAGATTTTCTGCACCAAAATAAGTCAAAAAAAAATTCCCATTTTTGTTTCACTCACATAATAGCCAATCTACAGTATATTCTGCGAAGTGCTTTGAGACTTTTGAGATAAGAGTCAAATAAAAGGATTATTATTAAGTAGAAGATACTTAGGTTTTGTTTTAATCTCCCAGGCAAATTTGGAACACCTTGATGATGAAGTTGAAAGAAGAAAGGTGGCACTTCAAGAAGCTAAAGCTAAAGCCAAGGGCCTTCTCCCAGATGGCACACCGGCTTTAGATACTCCAGCAGGTTTCTCACCATCCTCAAAAACAGGTGAATCATTTGTTTTGTGGTTGCATCAATTTCTTTAATCTTTTAATTTTGAATCTGTATTTCCTTGAGTTTAGAAAGTTGAGAGGTGATCTGATAAGAGTTTTTTTAAATAATAAAGGCATTCGACAGGGTAGCTACAGAGAAACCATTTTGAGTGAGGGAATCCAGATTAAGCAAGCATCATCTTATTATTTTTTCAAACAAAGAGCAGCGGCAATCTGGAGCTCTCTCCCTCAAAAGACTGGGGATGCCTCAAAACTTCAAGATTGGAGTGGATAGATTTTTGTTAGGTCAGGGTATCAAGGGATATGGAGCAAGGGCGGGTAATTGGAATTGAGATACAGAGCAGCAATGATCTTGCAGAATGACGGAACAGGATTGAGGAGCTGAATGGCTACACCATGGCTATGTTCAGAATCGCAAGAGCATAAGTGAGAAGCACTACTGCTTTTGTTTAGCTTGTACTAATGAAAACTAAAATTACTAATGATTAAAGGAAATTATAGTATGCTTGTGCCTTGCTGTGCTTTTGGATGTTCTGTAAGGTGAAAGGTATTTGTACAGCCAAACTAAACGTTTATTTTGTTCTCCCCGGAATTCTGTTCTTAGATTCGCCAAAGGATGGCAAATTTGAAAAACCATCACCGCTGTCTGCGCAGGCGATGAAAAATGCCCGAAGAAAACTGGACGAAGAAGAAAAACGGGCTCGATCTGGTAGCCCATTCAATGGGTAAGTTTAAAAAAAAGCACATCATTAAGAGCTATAACATACTGTCTCTAGTTTCGCCCACAAAATATACAGTCAATTCACTTTACAGTATATTCTGTGAAGCGTTTTGAGACGTCTCGAAGATGTGATAAGGCACTGTATCAAATGTAAGATTATTATTAAACAGTGGGTTTGAATGGTGGGCAGCAAAGCTTCAATATTAACTAATTATTTGTGTATATAATTCTAATTCTTAGTTCTATGACTTGTATGTTTCTGAATAGAACAAATCCATGGAATGGCAAATTTCCAGAATTATCTGTTTGGCCTCAGTAAAGTTCAATTTCATTCTAAATCAGTTATGCAATTGGCGGTATTTTTAAATTCTAGTGTTCAAAAGGGAAGGAATAGCAGGAGTCGGAGCTACTCGAGATCTCGCTCAAGGTCACATTCTCCTAAGAGACGGTAAGTAGAATTTCATCCTTTTCTTGCTGTTTGACCTGAATCGTTGATGCAATTTGGCACAAGATGAACAGTGGAAGGAACAAGAGACCTAGAAGTGTCAATTGATAAAAGTAAGGATGGCAAGATGAGGTGGGACCAGAAGGTGCTGTTTTTCTTAGTAGCTAACAGGCATGTAAAAGCAGATAAATTGATCATTCAACTCCTGACTTTGTGGAACTTTGCTGTGCGCAAAAAAGCTGCTGTGGTTTCCTTCAAATAGTCACTACACTTGACATTGTACCTTTGCAATGTTTTGAGACATTTTTATTAATAGGAGCTACAGGAAGAGCTCATTATAAACGGCATCATTTATAGTATGTATGTCCTGTGGTGTACCGGATGTGCGTTGTACTTTCAGCACATTTCAGATGAATTATTGGTTTTCAAATGCTAGAACAGAAACTCAAGTGCCTGTCTTCTGCCATTCAATAGCTAACATTGCTAGATGGAGTGAAGCATTCAGAACATCTGCAGAAAAGATGTTGAAGGAGCTTTGAACTTAGATATTCTCGTTTGGAAATTATTTTCTGACTTGTTTAGAGTGACAAAATGGAGTCACTGATAATGGATTGAGCTTTTTTCTCGTGATATTTACATACATTAAGTACTTTGATTTTCTTTAGGATTTCCTGAGTTTTTATATTTTTTTTTTGCCAACAGAAGAACAAGAAGTCGTTCTGCATCGAACAGCTCTCGATCCCACAGCCACTCGAGAAGCCGTAGTGATTCTCCCCCGCAGCGGTTTAAGCGCAGCTCGCCTTATATTGGCAGGTCAAAAGTGAGGGAATACGATGACATGAGAGACTACAAATACTTGGCCCATAAACACAGACGCTCACGCAGCAGGAGTTACAGCAAGAGCTTGTCGAGATCCAGAAGCAGGTCCAGAGATCGTTTAGATTTTTCTCGCAAACACAAGGAGAGTCGGGGTCATCACGGGGAACGGAGGCACGAAAGATCGCGATCTTATGAAAGACCGCCCAAACACCACAACAGCAGTCATTCTGGCCACAGCAGGCATAGGCGGTGACTGGTTCAACCGATGGCCGATGTACAGTTTACATAGCTTTCTCATTTCAGGGTTTATATATAATCTCTTAAACTTGCCTGTATTACAGAAGAGATTTTAATGGGAGATTTAGAGTTGGTGTGTGCACATTGCACTGCTCCTTGTTTTATTGTTTCTCCGAAGGCAGATCAACATGGCTCCTCTCATCCGCTGGCATCCCAATCAGTATTTTGATAGCATCCCTGACCGCTGATGACATTTCGCATTCAAGAATTTTCCCATCAACTTTCACGTTTTTTTTATACAGCCCTGCCTGTATTGTTTCAGGATTTATGAATGAATTTTTAAACTCGCCCGTGTTGCAAATTTTTATTTGCTTTCCTGTTTTAATTTTTTTTTGTTTGTTCAAATGAGAAGGCTATAAGCAGCCTTACATGTGCAATGCCCCTTGGGGTTGTGGAAAAATGACAAATGCCCCCTTGGGTACAGCCAGTGGTGGTTGGCTTGATCTACACTGAAGAGAATAAATAGCTCAGCACATTTGTAAGTGTGTGCAATTGGGAGATGCCATTTTCAGTTAGCAAATTTTTTTGCAATTGGAAAAATCCCTTTTGAAGTGATTGAATACTTCTGTTACCTTGCACTCGGTCCACATATTATACCCTTGACAGGAATATGTTTTTTTTAAAAAAAAGGTCACTTTTGGTACATCGGTACTTTTTTTTTGCTGCTGCTGCATACACTAGCGATGTATCTTTCAGGAAGTGGCCGTGCTCCTTGTAATTATTTTCTGTAAAGTACTCAACATGTGTTCTCTTCGGAGATAATGATGTATCAAAAATTGTGTGGTTACTTGTGTTTTGTAAAGATATTTTGTGTTTTTTTTGGAAGGGAGGGAAAGGGGTTATTCACAATTAGCGAGGATTGTGTTTGTCTCTGTGTTAAAGCATATGCCATTTTCTGTTCTATTAAGTAAACAAAATTATTTTAAACAAGGAAATATTGTACATAAATTATCTTTTTAATGTAGTGCAGCAAACATACATGTGCCTTGAATATGTAGGTTTTATGAACTACAGATAGACTTTGAATATGCATAAACTGTAAATAAAATTTTGTATGAAACTGATGGGAAGAAGCAAACTTTATTTTTAATCTTGTTGGGTTTTGAAACGGTACTTGGTCTCATAAAATTGCTGCCATAAAGTTTTAGTCAGCTGTTGTGAGTAATATGCAATGAAGGATATAATCATACTTTTTGAGCTTTCTTGAACCACCAAATCCTTTAAATATATTGAATATTTCTTTCCTAAGATTGCCTGCTTTTTTATAACTGATTTTACAATCGTCTCATCAAAGCCTGTAACAGTAAGAGCCCTGGAACTTACCGAAAACATAATCACTCTCCCTGTTGAACTGGTTCCTCCATATAAGAAGCCAATGCCCTCTAATCCTAATTTGAAATATATATATAAAGAATATTTTTCTGTGCCAGACAAATGGTAAACTAATTGAGATAATGTTTGTGTTATTTGTATGTTGAAGTATTGCAGAACTCCTTCAGAAGTGTTTCGGTAAATCCACTAGTTAGGGCAAATCAGCTTTAGGCTCTACATTTTATCTTACTTAATGCTCAAAGCTAATGGAGGTCTTGATCTTTACTGAACTGTGATCAGTTTTGCATTTGAATGCTTTTGTACAGAAAGTTGTCACTTTCCAGACTTGTCCTTTCCTATATGGAAACATTTTTTAAAAAATTCTAAGGAGAAAAGGGGTGAGAAAATTGCAATTGTTGCTTTAGAGGTTATACAGGAATAGAATCACTAGATGGCATGATTCACTCATGGATTTCTTTTCTCAATTTACATTTTGAGTGTTGCTTAAAAGGGTCCATATCAAATTGGTGCTTCTTTGTAGCAACAGATCTTTTGAAAGAATAGAAAGCCATTATTTTTTTAAAAAAAGTATTCATTTTTAGTGTTACTTAGATGTACAATTTAGCAACATTTGTTTTTATCAAGGGTTTTTATACAGTCACTACACTATTATATCCTGTGAAGTGCTTTGGGATGGCTCAACTGTGACGTGAGGGGTACTATTATCAAATGTAAGAATTATTTATTCTTCAAAAAGTCTTACAATTGCAAAATAATTTTAGTGTTCAAAAGGGGACGTGTTTTGGGACTGAATATATTCCAATACAATGCTTCCAATCCACTGACAAAATAGTGCTGGCAATTAAGCAGCACTTCACAGAATATACTGTAAAGTGAATTGAATATACTGTTAAAGTCTCCCACAAACAGTTGTGGATTGAGTGACCAAATTATTCCTTTCTTTATTATATATGTTCTTGGAGGCACTGTTTGGGTTTAGAAAGTAGAACAGTTTGGAAATCAATGTCCGTTTCATGCTCATACCAGACTATATGTGGCACCCTGACTTTTCCAGCTGTCTGACAGATGTATCATGCATATAGGTGGATTGTTTTAATCTTACACTTTCCACTAAATAGAAAAACATGAAACGAGTTTGAAATATTGTGACAAAGTAAAGAAATCCTTGCAGAAAGGGGGGGGAATTCAGAATGCAACAAATAGATGAGGAGCTTTATCCCAAAGAATGGTACAGTAATAATGATAGCTGGCCTTACAGCCTCAACAGTCTCTCTTCTGAGAAATGTTGTCCAGGACACCAGTAGAATAATGTTCTTTTATGTCCACTTGAACAGATCAACGGGACCTTGGTGTCATTGAAGAACAGCGAAGGACAGCTCTCCCGTCGTTGAGTTTTAGCCGAGACCACTTTTTATTTGACAGTATAACACTGTTATAACACTATAATAACCTTCATTCATCCAGAGCATAGTTTAAAAAGATTTTAAAAGTCTCTCCTCCCTTTTATAATAGTTATCGGAGATGGGTCCAGATCAGCTGGACTGACAATTGCTCTCACGTGTACATGGGATTCTAACAGGCACCAGGCATTTAAAACTGTAGCCAGGACAGGTAGGAAGGGTGTCATTTTTGCTTCAAATACATATTTTCCAAATTAGATATTTTTATTAGCAGGTTACTGCCCGTAGAATCACAGTGTCAGCGATTCTCTTGCCAATCACAGCAACGCAATACAAGTTCTATTTAAATTCCGCCTTTCGCAGCTGGGGTGGGCGGCGGGTGGGGGGGATGTCTCAAAACGCGTTACACGACTGGCTGGGTACCTGAGCCAAGAAAAAAAGCAACACTATAATTAAAAAATATATGCACTTAATTCCCCTTAAATCGTCCCTGGAATGTTTGCTGAAATGTACCGACGTGATCGGGATTCACTGATGCAAAGGAAATCTGTTGTGTTTGTTGTTTATAGTAAGTCGGACTAACAGTAATGTTTCCTTCAATATTTAGGCAACTCCTTTCAACTTCTCAGCATCCAGTATTCACTTACAAGTTGACAAATAGTTCTGACATGAGTTAAGATTTTCTTTCAGGCCACGATAATGGTTACATTATTACTTCTAAATCAATAAACACAGGTGTACCTCTTAAAGGTTCTGAAGAGTATTTAAATAAACCAAAAATATTGAGAGTTACTTAAGTCTAATGTTTGTAAACGTCTAAACCCAGTTTTGCTTTCTTTGTTTCAATTTAAATAAAAGGTCAAGCAACGTGAGGGAACTGAGACGTGATGTCGCGTCTGAATTTATGAGCTGGAAAAAAAACAGCAAAATAATGTTATTAACAACATACATTACGTTTCGCCCACCAATGACACCGTCGATCCACTTTCCAACGTATTCTGTGAAGCGCTTTGGGCGCCTCCAACGACGTGAAATGGCGCTGTATCAAATTGCGGGGATTATTATTGTAGAAATAGACTTCACATAATCAATGCATTTGTGCTACAAAATGTATTATTATAATCGCACTAACGCAAAACAATTATCTCAATGATTAAAGAGGGCGGTGGTGGGGGGGGAGTTGGGTGGGTTGGGTGGGGGCGCTGTGGGTTGGGTGGCGGGTCCAGTTTTTTCGGACGGGTGTACGCGGTCAGAAGGAGGAGCGCTTCGGGACCTCCTCCCGACCCTTGTCCCGCTCCGTGACGAACGGCTTCAGACTCTCGCTGAACCTTTAGGAACTCCAGTAACCCTCAACATTTCTGGTTTGTGGACAACCGACCTGAGACCTTTAAACACCTCAACTGTCCTCTCTCCATGGATGCTGCCTGACCTGGACCTGATCTTGACCTGGACCTGGACCTTGTCCTGGACCTGGACTTTGTCCTGGACCTTGTCCTGGACCTGGACCTGGACCTTGTCCTGGACCTGGACCTGGTCCTGGACCTGGACCTGGTCCTGGACCTGGACCTTGTCCTGGACCTGGACCTTGTCCTGGACCTGGACCTTGTCCTGGACCTGGACCTTGTCCTGGACCTGGACCTGGTCCTGGACCTGGACCTTGTCCTGGACGCGCTGAGGCCATCCCTTAAGACACTTCTGTTTTTATTTTAACTTCAGATTTCCAGCATCTGCAGTGGTTTTGCCTTTGACTATATATATATAATATATATATATATCTACCAGTGGTTTGCGGTTTGCTGCTGTTGTTGTTGTTGTACAGCAGTGTGTGTGTGTGTGTGAGTGAGTGGGTGGTGGTTGGGTGGTTGGGTGGAGCGGTGGTGGAGTGGTTTCCGCGGGGACCGAATTACCGGTTGCAGACGCCTGAAACCACTCCACCTGCGCCCAGGGCCGGGCGGGCGGGTGCGCCACCCTCCAGCTTCCCCCGAGAGCACGTGGCCGGGTGGGGATGTGACCGGGTCGGGGTCGGTCGGGTGGTGGTGGTGGTGGTGGAGGGTTTGGGCGGGAGACAGACCGGAGGCGCGAGCGACGTCCCGAACACTCTCCGCCGCAGCCCTGACAGACACCGACCGACAGACCGACCCCACCCACCGGGCGGGAGCGGCCCTGAGCTCCACCCGGGACCACCGGCACCACCACCACGACGAGGAGGAGGAGGAGAGGAGGAGGAGAGTCCGGTCCCGGTCGCCGGCGGTAATGTAATGGTAATGTTGATTTTGAAGCGGGGTTTTGCCGGAGAGAGAGAGAGAGGGAGTGACGGAGAGGGGGAGAGGGAGAGAGACGGAGTGAGGGAGAGGGAGAGGGAGTGAGAGGGAGAGAGAGAGAGAGGGAGTGACGGAGAGGGGGAGAGGGAGAGAGGGAGAGAGGGAGAGGGAGTGAGGGAGTGAGGAGAGGGAGAGAGGGAGTGAGAGGGAGTGAGGGAGAGGGAGAGAGGGAGTGAGAGGGAGTGAGAGGGAGAGGGGGAGAGGGAGTGAGGGAGAGAGGGAGAGGGAGTGAGGGAGAGAGAGGGAGAGGGAGAGAGGGAGAGGGAGTGACGGAGAGGGAGTGAGAGAGAGAGAGGGAGGGAGTGAGAGAGGGAGTGAGAGAGAGAGAGGGAGTGAGGGAGAGGGAGTGAGAGAGAGAGGGAGTGAGAGAGAGAGAGTGGGAGTGAGGGAGAGGGAGAGGCCGCCCACAGAGGGCCCCGGGCCCCGGGCAGCGCTCACTGCTCTCCCCAAATAATAATAGTAATTCATAATTAATAATAGTGATGAACCGCTCCGAGACTGACACTCTCTCTCTCTCTCTCTATCCATCTTATTCTCTCTCTCTCTCTCTCTCTCTCTCTCTCTCTCTCTCTCTCTCTCTCTCTATCTATCTATCTATCTATCTATCTATCTATCTATCTATCTATCTATCTATCTATCTATCTATCTATCTATCTATCTATCTATCTATCTATCTATCTATCTATCTATCTATTGTACAAGTTGTTGTAGTAACACCCCCCCCCCACCCAACCCTCTCCCAACTGCTACTCCCCCCCCTCCCCCCCCCCCCCACAAAATGCACAGTCACTACACTTCCAATGTACGTTTTCGCCCACAAAATGCAGTCGCTCCACTTGACAGGTGTATCCTGCGAAGCGCTTTGAGACGTGTCGGAGATGCGATGAGGCGCTGTAGTCAAAGGCAAGGATTATTATTATTATTATTATTATTATACGCTGGACTGTGAAGCTGCTTTGAGACGTCTCGACGACGTGATAAGGCGCTCTTATGCTCTTGTGGAGTCCTGTA